CGTTTTGTGACCTCTGTTAAGGCCGACGGCCAATTCGTACCTGGGTGCCATCCTGGAGAAAAACAAAACGCACAAATTAGAGGTTATGTCAACTTTGATTTTTCACTGATTCCAAAGATTTAACGAAAAAATGCGAAATATTCATATAACAATTAACAATAGTTCATAAACTAACAATTTTTAATAATTATATCCGTCAAATATTACGGATTTTCACAAAAAATACAGATAACAATTGCTCTAACCTTCACTCTACGAAAACACGCTGGAGAAAGAAAAAAAAATGGCGGATCGTTGGATGTCGCGAAGTTGCGCTACTATCGATTATTCGATTCTTCACAATCGAACATGGCGGTAAATTTGAATTTTCAATTTTTCATTTTTTCATTGAAAGTGTTTTAATAATGTTTAAATAAATAATAAATATTAAAATACGTAATTGATAAATAAAAGGAGAAATAAATATATTAATTAATGTTAATAAAATAAAATATAGACAAATAATTATATTTTAGGGAAAGAAAAGAAAACTTGACTTCACTGAAGTTGCTGTGGATTAATTGCGGAACCAATGAAATCGCAGATTAGACATCACGTGACTTATTGGTGGGAAATTTTGAAAATAATTTACATTTAAAATCAATATTGACAAAAAAAATTATTCTTCGCGAATAAAATAAAGAGTTTGATTAAGTTTTTTTTGAATAAAATAACTAAAAAATCATTAAAATTATAAATAAAAGAATAAAATTACTATTTTTTTAATATTAAAATTTATTGTTAAAAATTGTTATAATTTTTGTAATTTTTAAAATTTCGCAAATGAAATTATATTATTCTTTACTAGATTTTTATAAAGATTTTTAAAAAATAATTGAATCTTTTGGAAAAATTTTAATAATTAGGAAAATAATTGAATTCTTTTAAATAATTTTATTACAATTTTAAAAAATACTTTAATTTTTTCGAAAAATTTTATTACTTAGAAAAATAATTGAATTTTTTTTATAGAATTTTATTAAAATTTTTAAAAATAATTGAATTCTTTTGATGAATTTTATTATTTCGGAAAATAATTGAATTCGTATGAGGAATTTTATTATTTAGGAAAATAATTGAATGCTTTTGATGAATTTTTATTGAAAATTGGAAAAATAATTGAATTCTTTTAATGAATTTTATTTTTTAGAAAAATAATTGAATTCACTTGATGAATATTATTATTTAGGAAAATAATTAAATTCTTTCGAAGAAAGTCATTGAAATTTTTGAAAATAATTAAAATTTTTCAATGTATTCAATTAAAATTGTATTAAAAATAATTTAATTCTCATAAAGAATTTTATAACATTTTTGAAAATAATTGAAATTGAAAAATTCCATTAAAAATTTCTTTTTTTTGAAATTGTAATTGAAAATAATTTTATTCTCGCCAATTATTTTATTATTTAAATAAATTATCAAATTTTTTTAAAGAATTTTGGAAGAATTTTTGAAAATAATTGAATTCTTCCAAATATTTTTATTATTAATGAAAATAATTGTATTCTTGACAAGAATTTTATTGAAATTTTTGAAAATAATTTAATTTGGTGCGAAAAAAATTTAAATTCTTCCGACGAATTTAATCAAAATTAGGTATATTGAAAATTATTGAATTCTTTCCAAGAATTGTATTGAAATTTTGAAAAATAATTTAATTCTTTTGCAGAATTTTATTGAAATTTGGAAAAATAATTGAATTCTTTTGACGAATTTTATTATTTTAGAAAATAATTGAATTTTTTCGAAAGAATTTTATTGAAATTTGGAAAAATAATTGAATTCTTTTGATGAATTTTATTATTTAGGGAAATAATTTAATTCTTTCGAAGAAAGTCTCTGGAATTTTTGAAAATAATTGAATTTTTTCAATGAATTCAATTAAAATTGTATTAAAAATAATTTAATTCTCATAAAGAATTTTATGACATTTATCAAAAATAATTTAATTTCATCAAGAATTTTTTTTTTAATTTCTAATTGAAAATAATTTTAATTCTCGCCAATTATTTTACTACTTAGATAATTTTTTCAAAGAATTAAAAAAAAATTTTTTTAAATAATTAAATTCTTTTAAAGAAATAACAAAAATAATAATAATCTCAATAATCGGTCTCGATCTCTCAATGATCGTCCTTGAAAAAATAAGTAATCATGCGTAGGAAGATGATTATTAATGTATTTTTTTTCTCAATAGAAAAAAATCGCGCAAGCGCAGTTAGAGTGCAAACATTAAGTAAACAATAATTTGCAATTATCATTCATAATTATCTTCCTCCCGAAGATAAATACTAAAGTCGTAATTTACAATTTCTCATACTTAAAGAAAAATCGATCAGTGAAATTGAAAACGTCAGTGATTTTTTTCTTATTAGTGAAACTAAATTAATCTAAAAATGTTTTCCCTCAATTTTTCCACAATCATCAATATTCTCGGTTTATTATTATTTCTTGTACTCACCGTCTATATTTATTCGCAATATAAATTGAATTATTGGAAGAGAAAAGGAATTCCCTCAGTTCCCACTCATTGGCTATTTGGTAATTTTAAAAATGTCATTCTTGGTCGCACATCAGTTGGTGTACATCTTGGAAAATTGCACAATGAAGGCGGCGATGAACAATGTCTTGGTGTTTATATAATGCACAAACCATTTCTTCTCCTCAGAGATCCTGAATTGATAAAACAAATTCTCGTCAAGGATTTTCATTTATTTCAAAATCGTTATTTTGCCGCGGAAAAATCGAAAGATTTAATTGGTACCACATCATTGTTCTCGATAAATAATCCCGAATGGAAATATCTTCGTACAAAATTGTCGCCAACATTTTCCAGTGGAAAGCAGAAGAAATTATTTTCCTTGATGATTGAATCGTCGGAGAATATGAGTAAATATCTCGCTGAACAATTTAATGGCGATGAGAATAATGTTGATGGGAAAGTGAAGAATGTCGATACAAAATTTGTTTCTGTTAAATTCATCACCGATGTGATTTCATCTCTTGCTTTTGGCATCAGGACCAATTCGTTTGGCGATAATTTGGAATTTTTCAATAATGGTAAATTTATCTGGAAACAATTTTTAATTTTGGTAATTTAGTCTTTAAATTTTTTGGCGATTATAAAAAAATATAAAATATATAAAAATAGAAATATATATAAATATATAGAAATATAAAATATACAAAAATAAAAATATATAGAAATGAAAATATATAAAAATAAAAATATATAGAAATAAAAATACGTAGAAATAAAAAAAAATAAATATAAAGTAATTGTCACATATATTTTTTAGAAAATAAATGTTTAACGTAATTTTTAGTTCGGAAACCTTTTGAGAGATCCCTCGTGGTGGCGTTTCAACTTTTCGTTGTCTTCTTCTTTCCAATGTTGAGAAATTCCTTTAATGGAGCAATCTTGGGCAAATCGACGGAATATTTTCGCAATTTATTTCGACAAGTGATGGACGAACGAGAAAAATCGGGTCTGAAACGTGGTGACTCCATTGATCCTTTACTGCAAATACAAAAGGAACGACATTCTTTAGATTTTGGTATAAAATAAATAATAAATTTCAAATTATAAATAGAAAAATGTTATCAACAAATAAGTGATTATCAGCAAATTTTTTTTGCTATCATTTTCTCACTACTAGATTAATAATTAAATTAATAAATCACTAACAACTAACTAATATTTTTCCAAAAGAGAAAGAAAATTATTTTACTAAAATTCTAATGAAGAAATAGAAATTATACGAACTTTTTTACTTGCTTCTAACTGAACATACAGTTTTTTTTAGAAATAAGTAAAAAAAATTGTTAATATAAATAATACAGATTTATTTCCCTTTCTCCAAGAAAATGAGAATTTTGTACAAAAATTATAATTACGAAATGGAAATTAATTTCTTTTCATTTATTTCTAAAAAGAAAATGACAATTTCGTTAAAAGTCTTAATTAACAAATAGAAACTATGCAGAATTTTAAATATATTTTATTGAGTTGACTTTAATTTTTTCAAAATATAATTTTTTTTTCAAAAAAATAATTGAATTTTTAAAAAACTTTCTGGAAATTATTCAAAATAATTGATTTAGAAAAAATTTTCAGTTAAATTTAAAAAAAAAAATTTTCAAATAATAGAATATTTGAAAAATTGTAATTAAAATTTTATTTACAAAATTAAATTTCAAAAATTATTAATTATTTTATTCAGTTACTAGAAAATAAAAAAAAATAGTAAAATTCTCCTGAGGAATTCAATTATTTTCATTAATAATAAAATTCTTCAGAAGAGTTAAATTATTTTTTTTATAAATAAATAAAATTTCTCGAAAGAATACAATTATTTTTAAAAATATTAAATAAATTCAATTATTTTCCAAATTTTTAATGAAATTCTTTCAAAAAATTCAATTATTTTCAATACATTTTTAATAAGATTTCTCGAAATAATACAATTATTTTTTAAAATATTAATTAAATTTGATTATTTTCAAAAATTTTCATAAAATTCTTTAAAAAAAAAATTATTATTTTTAAACGCTTTAATAAAATTATTTGAATAAGTTCAATTATTTATGAAGTTTTTAATAAAATTCTTTCAAAAAATTGAATTCAATTTTTTTGTAAATAATAAAATTCTTCGAAGGAATTCAATTATTTTTATAAATACATAATAAAATTCTTCACAGGAATTCAATTATTTTTGATAGAATTTTAGTAAAATTCCTCTGAAGAATACAATTATTTTTAAAAACATTAATAAAATTCAATTATTTTTAAACGTTTTAATAAAATTTTTCAATTAAATTCAATTATTTTCCAAATTTTTACTAAAATTATTTCAAAGCATTCAATTATTTTTAAAAATAATAAAATTCTCCTGAGGAATTCAATTATTTTTAATACAATTTTAGTAAAATTCCTGAAAAGTATACAATTACTTTTAAAAACATTAATAAAATTCAATTATTTTCAAAAATTTTACTAAAATTCTTTCAAAACATTCAATTATTTTCAAAAATAATAAAATTCTTCTTAGGAATTCAATTATTTTTAACAAAGTTTTAATAAAATTTCTCGAAAGATTTTTTTTTATTTTTAAATTTATTTTTAATTTAAAAATTTTTTTTTTAAATATTATTTAATTAAATTCAATTATTTTCAACAGTTTTGATAAAATTTTTAAGAAAAATTAGTTATACTTATTTATACGTTTTAATAGAATTTTTCGATTGAATCGAATATTAATTTAGATTATTATTATTCAATTATTATTAATTAAAAAAAAATCTTTTGAAAATTTAAAATTATTGATAGAATTCTGAAGAATTTTGTTATTATAGAAAATTTGCAATTAATTGAATTTTTAAAAAATATAGATTAATACTTTCTGTATTTGTTTTTAATAATTGAATTTCCCAAGAGATTTCTTGAAATTATTGAAAATAATTAATTGAGAGGAGAATATTAGTAGAAAATTGTATAGAAAATAATGGAATATTTTAAGAAATGCGCACTAGAAATTTATAGAATTAATTGAATCTCATAAAGATTTTTATGAAATTTTTAAAAATTTTTATTAATTAAATAATTTGAAATTGAAATTCGGAAGTATTTAGTTGTTTTGAAATTTTTTAATTCAAATTATTTTGAAAATTATTATTTGGAATGTAATTAAATGTTTGAATGAGTTTAATTAAAAATTCCAACGAAAGAGACAATTTTTTGTTAAAAATTTGTGATTATAAAATAGAAATTAAGTAAATTCTTTTCATTTATTTCTAAAAAAAAAATTATAATTTTGTTAAAAATCGTAATTAAGAAATAGAAATTACGGAAAATTTTTTTCCATTTTTTTTTCAAAAAAAAGAGTAAAAATTTAGTAAAAATGTTTTTCTGTATTTACAAAAAAAAAGGAATTTTGTTAAAATAATTTAATTGAGAAATAAAAATGATGTAAATTATTTTGTTCTTTCTAAAAGAAGATTTGAAAATTGTTAAACAGAAAATATGCTAAATATTTTTCATTTCTGAATCTTAATTTTTTAACAATTAAGTTTTTATAGAAAAAAAAGAGGAAACTACTTTGTGTAATTTCTGTTTCTTAATGACAACTTTCTAACAATATTTTATTATAGTTAATATAATAAAAAAAATTAAATTAAATACCCTTTTTTCGCAGAAATACCAGACGACACGCTTTTGGCGCAACCCGTAATTTTCTACGTAGCCGGAACAGAAAGTAGTTCAACGACAATTGCATTGACACTTATGGAACTTGCAAAAAATCCTGAACTCCAGAAAAGAGCGAAAAGTGAAGTTCAGAAAGAATTGAAGAAACATGGATTCACTTATGAGGGAATGCAGAATTTGAAATTTTTACAACAGGCCATTTCAGAGACATTGAGACTTTATCCAGCGGCACCAATTATTGACAGAGTTGCCCTGGAAGATTATAAAGTAATTAAAAATTTATTACAATTAATTTTTTCAATAATTAATATTAAGTGAAAAAAAATATTCTAACAAGTAAATTATTAATAACAAAATTTGCTCTGAACTCACAAAAATTAGAAATATATTTGAAAAAATTTTTCTTTAGATTCCAGGAACTGAAATTGTCCTCGAGAAAGGTACAGTTGTCTATGTTGCATTGAGTGGAATTCATGAGGATCCGAGATTCTTTCCAAATCCATTAAAATACGATCCAGACAGATTTAGCGATGAAAGAAAAGGAGATATCGTTTCTTGTACTTATTTGCCATTCGGAGAAGGTCCAAGAGCTTGTATAGGTTCATTTCTCCTCACTGAAAAAATTGAAATTATAAAAATTAATTTATGCCAAATAATAGAATACTTTTATTAAAATTTTCAAAAATAATTGAAAAATTTTATTATTTTTTTAGGAGAACGAGTTGGAATGCTACAAACTACAGTTGGTTTAGCCACAATTCTACGAGATTACGAAGTTTCCCTAAATCCAAAATGTAAATACGAATTGGATCCCAGGGCAATTTTTATACAAACTGTGGACGGAGTAAAATTAGATTTGAAAAAAGTGTCTCACTAATATTTTGTATAAAAAAAAACTCAAAAAGTTTTCTTTAATTTTGCTAATTTGATACTACTGTGAAACTTCTTTCTTATCCTGCTAATAAAACAAATTCCTACAACGATTTTTTAATAATTCATGAAAAAATTTAAATATTTATAAAAATTAAAAAATTTATTTACAAATTTTGCAAATTTTTTTATAATTGTTGTATAGTAAATTTTACGAACATATAAAAGGAAATTTCCAAATTATTATCTATTTTAAAGAATACGAAAAAAAAGGTCAAATACATAAATATAAAATTATAAAAGAAAAAAAAAATACAAGTAATTTATTATACACAATGAAATATGCAAGTCATTTAATAAAGATATTAAATAATGATAAAATGCAACGAAAAGTGACTTGCAAACAATTATATCTTATACTCAGATTGTATAAAAAATAAAACCTTCCAGAGAACACTTTCAGTTGAATAAACGAATTAAAATAAAAAACATGTTTCCCCTAAATTCCTCACTGCTTTCAAATATTTTTCTAATTATTTTCGCACTATTCGCGATTTTCTATTTATTTGCCCAATATAAATATCAATATTGGAAGAGACGCGGTGTCAAATCATTGCCGACACATTGGTTTTTTGGCAATTTTCAAAATATAATGTTTCTTCGTGAATCGGTGGGAAATATTTTTCAACAATTATATCGCGATGCAAATAACGAGCCATATGTTGGTGTTTATATTTTTCAAAATCCCTGTTTATTGATACGCAGTCCCGAATTGATAAAGCAAATATTAGTCAAGGATTTCAATATATTTCCAAATAGACAATTTGCAAGTAAAAATGGTCGCGATCAAATTGGTGCGGCAAATCTTTTTTCAGTGGAAAATCCACGTTGGAAATATTTTCGAACACAATTATCGCCAATATTCTCAAGTGGAAAGCAAAAGAAATTATTTTCATTAATGTTAGAGTCGGCGGAGAATATGAAAAATTATTTCAATAGTGAATTGAAAAATGAAGGCGAAGTTAAAATGTTTGATCTTAAAGAAGATAGTAATAAATATATTACCGATGTTATTTCATCAATGGCATTTGGAATAAGTACAAATTCATTTGAAACACCGACACCCGAATTTTTCAAACGTGGTACGTTGCCTGCTATCAATTTCATTTTTCCAAAAAATAAATTTAGTAAAATTAACTAAAACAATTAATTACAATTAACTAAAGTAATTAATAAAATTTAACTAAAAAAATTTATTAAAATTAACCGATATAATTAATTAAAATTAACTAAATTAACTCATTTAAAAATCTATATTAATAACCGTTGTGTTGTCGATAATCTGTTCGGAGTTTCAAAAATCAATATTTTTGAATGATTGCAGATTAAAAATTGAAAGAAATCACTTATTAAGTACATAATATTAATAATTCTTGTTTATTATTATTCAAAAATTTTTATAAAACTTTCCGCAAGAATTTCATTATTCTCATAAATAATAATATTTTTTGGATCAATTATTTTCAATAAAATTTTCATAAAATTTCTCGAAAGAATACAATTATTTTCAAAAATATTAATTAAATTCGATTATTTTCAAGAATTTTAATATAAATTCAATTATTTTCGACAATGTTGATGAAAAAATTCTTTTTAAAAATTCTTTATTTTAAAAATTTTAAAAGAAATTTCGTTAAAAAAATGCAATAATTTTCAAAAATTCAGAAAAAATTCTTCGTAACAATTCAATTATTTTTATGAATTTGTAAAATCTTCGGCAACAATTTAATTATTTTCATAAATAAAAAAATTTAAATATTTTCATAAATAATAAAATGTTACAAAAGAATTCAATTATTTAAATAAAATGTTTCCGAGGAATTCAATTAAATACAATTTTAATCAAATTTCTCGCAAGAATACAATTATTTTTAAAAATATTATTTAAATTCAATTCTTTTCAAGAATTTTTAATAAAAATTCAATTATTTTCAACAGTTCTGATAAAATTCTTCGAAACGATTCAATTATTTTTATAAATTGTAAAATTCTTGTCAAGAATTCAATTATTTTTGTAAATAATAAAATTCTTTTTCTAAATTCAATTATTTTCAATACAATTTTAATCAAACTAGGAAAAAATTCAATTATTTTTAAGAATTGTAATAAAATTTTTCTAAACAATTCAATTTTTCGCAAAAGTTTTTAATAAAATTCTTTGTAAATTTCAATTATTTTCAAAAATTTTCAATTAAAATATAAGCCCGTTTATATACTAAATAAATAAATAAATAAATAAATAAATAAAATTAAATTAAAAAATTACATTATTTTTACGAAATTTAACGAAATTCTTAAAAAAAAATGTAATTATTTACAAAAACTCTAATAAAAAATTCTTTAAAAGAATTTAATTTTCTATGAATAATTTTAATATAATTTAATAGGAAAATTATTAATTGCCATTAATGATAAATACGATTATTTTAAAAACATAAAAGAAAATCTTCATAAAATTCAATTACTTTCAAAACTTGCAGAAAAAATTATTTTTAAAAAACTCCATTATTTTCAAGAAAATTGTAATAAATTCTTCAAAATAATTCAATTATTTTTAAAAAAAATTTTAATAAAAATATTTGCCAAGAATTAAATTATTTTCAATATAATTGTAATAACATTTTCAAAAAAAGAATTCAATTATTGGAAAAAATATTTCGAAGAATTTATTAAAAGTTTAAAAAATTAAAAAAAAATTGAATTCTTTCATGAAATTTTATTAAAATTGTGTTTAAATTAACTTTTCCAAAGAATTTTACTATTTATAAAAATAATTGAATTTAATATTATAATTTTAGAAAATAATTGAATTCTATTGGGAATTTTTAAAGCGAATTAAGAAAAAAATTGAATTCTTTCGTGAAATTTTATTGAAAATAATGAATCATTGCAAAGATTTTACTATTAATATAATTGAATTGATTCGAAGAATTTATTAAAATTTTAGAAAATAATTGAATTCTCTCGTGAAATTTTATTAAAAATTTGTATTAAAATACATAATTGAATTTTTGTAAAAAAATTTACTTTTTTTTAAAAAATAATTAAATTTTTCCAAAGAATGTTATTATTTATAAAAATAATTGAATTCTTGCGAAGAAATTAAAATTTTTGAAGATATAAACAATAAGAAATTAATTGAATGAAAAACAATTACCTGATTATTAGGAAACGAACTCTTTCAACCAACTTTGAAAAATTTTATCGAATCGTTTGCCCTCTTTTTCTTTCCAAATGCGAGCGAAATTTTGAATCCAAAATTATTGGGCAACTCGACGGAATATTTTCGCAATGTTTTCTGGGAATCGATGAACCATCGTGAAAAATCGGGAACAACACGTGGTGATTCCATTGATGCTTTGCTGAAAATAAAAAAAGAACGAGTTAACTTAGACATGGGTAATTATTAATAAGCAATAAAATTATTTGTTTGAATGATTAAAAAATTTATGTTTAACTTACTCTAAACAGACATTTCGGACGATTCACTTGTGGGACAAGCGGGAGTATTTTTCGTTGCTGGTCGAGAGACAAGTTCCATGTCACAAGGATTGGTTCTTTATGAATTGGCGAAACGTCCCTCGATGCAAGATCGTGTCCGTAAAGAAATCGTCGATCAAATTAACGAAAAAGGCTTTTGCTATGAGAGTATAAGTGAAATGAAATATTTGAATCAAGTCATTTCCGAAGTATTGCGAATGTATCCGGTGGTGCCGATCATTGACAGAGTTGCCGAACAAGATTACAAAGTAAAAAATTCTCCTGAGAAAAAAATAAAATGACAAAATTATCAAAACTATTTTTTCTTAATAATTAATATTAACAATTAAATATTAAAATTAATTTTATTATTATAATTCAAATATTATAATTCTAATATTATAGTCCTAGTATTATAAATCCAATAATTCTAATTCTAATATAATTCTAATATTAAAATTCCAATTTTATACAATTGTTAATTATAATAATAAATCCTAAAACTTACAGATTCCAGGGACAAATGTTACAATTGAGAAAGGAACGCCGGTGTACACTTCATTGCACGCTCTTCATTTTGATCCTAAATATCATCCGAATCCTTATGAATTTGATCCGGACAGATTCAGCGAAGAAAGAAAGAGTCAAATTATTCCATACACTTATATGCCATTCGGCGAAGGTCCTAGAATTTGTATAGGTATAATAAAAATTATAATCACTAAAAATATGAAACTAAAGAAACAAAATTTTTTAAATATTCAAAAATCAAAGGAAACGATGGGAAAATAAAAAATCCATCTTATCTCTTTCTTCTATATTAATAATCGTTTCCTCCAAAGATTTTATAATTTATACAAAATAAATTCAATTCTTCCGACGAAATTTTTTAAAATTTTCGAAAATTATTGAATTTGTTCGAGAAAATTAATTAAAATTATTTGAAACAAATATTGAATTCCTGGGCATTCACAGGAATTCAATTTGTTTCAACTTTATTATTTATGAAGTTTTAATAAAATAAAAAAAATAAAATTTTTAAATACAAACTCAATGATTTAAAAGAAAATTTAATTTAAAATTTACTGAAAATAATTGAATTCTTCTAAAAAAAATTTTATGAAAATTATTGAAAATACTTCAATTCTTTTAAGGAATTCAATTTAAATTTTTAAAAATAATTGACTTTCATTATCAAACTTTTTATTTATTTACAATATAATTTTATTTAGAATAACTTATAATAAAATATAAAAAAATTTTAATGAAATTATATTGAAAATAATTGAATTCCTCTGAAATACACTTATTTTTATATAAATTTTTAAAAATAATTGAAGTTCATCATTAAATTTTATTGAAATTGTATTGAATATAATTGAATTCCTCTGAAAAATTTTAACATCTACGAAAGTAATTGAATTATTTTAAGAATTGCATTAAAATTTTTGAATATAATTAATAATATATTAATATAATATATTTTAATAATAATTATAATAATTATAATATATTTCAATATACATATTTTATCCACAACTTTTATTAAAATTGTTTTGAAAATAATTGAATTGTTTTGAAAAATTTATTTGAATTTTTTGAAAATAATAAAATTTTTTAAATAATTTTTATTGAAAATTTTTAAAGTTAAATTGAATTTTATGAAGAATTTCTTTTAAGAGTTCAAAATAATCGTGTTTATTAATAAGTTTAATTAATAATTTTGTTATTAAATTTTATTACAATTATTATCATGATAGAAAATAAAATTCTTTTAAAAAATTTTATTAGACTTTTATCGTAAGTAATTAAATTTTTTTGAAGAATTTTTTTTAATTTCTTCGAAATAATGTAATTTTTCTTCTTAATTTTAATTAAAAATTTTTGAAAATAATTGAATTGTTTTTGGAGAAAGTATTTAAATTTTTTTGAAAATAATGCATTTTTTAGAAATTTTAATTGAAAATTTTGAAAATAATTTTAATTTTACAAATAATTTTTGTTAAAACTTTTGAGAAAAATTGAATTTTTTAGAAATGTTTTATTACTATTTTTTAAAATAATAGAATTCATTCTAGAAATTTTATTAAAATTGTATTTGAAAATAATTGAATTTTATCGTTTTTAAAAGTAATTGAATTCTTTTAAGAATTTTATTAAAATTTTCGAATATAATTGAATTCTTTCCAGAAACTAGATTAAAATTGTATTTTTAAAATAATTGAATTCCTGAAAAAAATTTTATTATTTGCAAAAATATTTCAATTCTTGCGAAAAATTTTACAATTAATAAAAATAATCGAATTGTTACCAAAATTTTAGGAAATAACATTGAATTCTATCGAAAAATGTTCGTATTGTTTATTTAAATACTATATAATTTAATTATACTCACAAACATTTTTTTTCAAGGAATGCGACTTGGTATGTTACAAATGGCTGTAGGACTGGCAACAATTTTAAAAGATTTTCAAGTTGCTCTCAATCCATCACAAAAAGTCCAAATAAGTAATCGCGGTCTCTTCCTTCAAGCTCAAGATGGAATAAAATTGGATTTAAAAAGGCTGAAAATTAAGTAAATTGCAAATTAACGGAAAATCGTTACTTTAATAATGTTAAAAAAAAATTAAATGACACTTTTTAATTAAATATAAAAATAGAAATAAAATATTTAGTAAGAATTTACGTATAAGTAAAATGTCGAAAGTTATGACTGATGATAATTATACATTACAACTGATTTTCAAACGATATACAGTAGTTATTAAATAAAACTATTCGTAAAGAAAAATTTATGATTCTGCACGAAGAAACATAGACAATAATTATCCTAAAAGAAAATTACGTAAACTGTAATAATAAAAATTTTCAGAGTGTCATTTTGAAAAAAAAATGTATTTAATACTCACGTAAAATCTTCCTTAGAATTCTGGATAATTTCTTTTTAATTAAAGTTTCTTTACCAATAAAGTTAATAAATGAATGTTCTTTACTTAAAAAATTAATTGATAAATTTTCTTTACTAATAAAAATAATAAATAAATTTTCTTTACCAATGAAATTAATTGATAAATTATCTTAACTAAAAAAATGAATTAAAACATTTTTTTACTAATAAAATACATAATTATTACTGAAATAAATAAATCAATTAAATGGTATTATTAAACGTAATTAATAATAATGATTATTATTAGAGAGTTTAAAAGTCGAGATTAATTATTGAAAAGTAATGAATTTAACGTTTAATTTATTTCTCTCTATTCTTCTGACAACAAATGTCCCAAATTTTAAATCGGTTTAAAAAAACTTATAATTATAATCTTTCATAATTATTTTAAATGAAAAATTTATATTTTAATTTCATTTATTTATTTATTTATTTATTTATCCTAAAATTTTGCTAAAACATAAATTTTAATATTGTTAATAGATAAATATCAATAATTCCAGTATTTAAACGTAGAAAAACTGTACATGAAGATTAAAAAATATTGTGAATAAGTGATTTCTTTTACTTCTCTGCAACAATCTCAGATGTTCCTTTGAATTATAAAAATACGATTTTTTTTATGTACACACAAGTTCTTTTTTTCTCGTCTTGTAGCGCTCAATGATGATTAAAAAATAATTTACTTCGGTAAAAGTGCCAAATACTTTTTAAACTCCGGTAATACGCATTCTCGAGGGTTAACGGGCGAATTCATAGTTAGAAGATTGTGAAGATACGTTGGTGGAAAGCATAAAATTCCTTTACTCGCCATTCGAGCCCAATCTATCGTTTGATCCTTTTGCTTTAATTGAATAAAGCTGTGAGTGATCCTTTGGTCCGTTGACGTTGGATCGTAAGATGATCTATGAAAATAATTTCTTCTTCATAAAATTTCAATTTGAAAAAGAAAACAAAAAAAAAAGAAGAGAAAACTAGTTTATATCTTCTTTAAAAAATTTCAATTTGAAAAAGAAAACAAAAAAAAAAGAGAAAACTAGTTTATATCTTCTTTAAAAAATTTCAATTTGAAAAAGAAAACTAGTTTATATCTTCTTTATAAAATTTCAATTTGAAAAAGAAAAAAAAAGAGAAAACTAGTTTAGCAGTCAAACCTGGGGAGTACAACGCGTCCGCTTCCAGCGACAATGAGTCTTTCAAATGACTCGTATTTTTCTTCTTGAACCAAAAGTAAAGCAACCATATTCTCAAAGGCACCGCCAGGCTCCTTGGTTAATTTTATTCTCCAACGATAAGCAGCAGCGGCCATCATTTGCTCGATTTCCGTCGACAATGTTGATGATAATTCATCACTGAACTTAGGATTTCCCCATTCGTATTTTTCCTCCTAAAGCAAATTTAATGTCAGGGTTCGAACTCATCTACTAAAACCTACTATTTAGTACTTTTTTTACGTTATGCTACTATTTGGGGACATTTTTTAGATTTCAGCCACTAAAAGCTACTATTTCTGTTTTTTTTTAGAATTTCCTCTACTTTAAATTCGCTAATACTAGAAATCAAAAAACTATTCTCAAAAATTGTAATCAAATTCTTTAAAACGATTCAATTATTTTCAAAAAATATTCGAAATTCATTTTCAATATCTAGTATATTTATGAAATTTCGCAAAAGAATTCAATTATTTTTAAAAAAATTGATAAAATTCATCAAAAATTTAATTATTTTCATAAATAATAAAATTTCCAAAGGAATTCAATTATTTAAAACAGAATTTTCCTAATATTTTTCGAAAAAAAACAATTATTTAAATAGATTTTTATAAAATTCTTCATAAGAATTCAATTATTTTCATAAATAATAAAATTCTTCTCAGGAAATCAATTATTTTTGAAAATTTTAATAATAATCGTTGCAAGAATTCAATTATTTTTATAAATATTAAAACTCATTGCAATGTTTTAATTATTTTTCATGCAATTTTAAATTAAATCCGCGAAAATTGCAATTATTTAAAATGTTAATGAAATTCTTCGGAAAAATTCAATTCTCTTCACGGATAATAAAATTATTCGCAGGAATTCAATTATTTTCAGAAATTTTTATAAAATTCTTTGCAAAAATTCAATTATTTAAAAAAATTAATAAACTTTCAAAGAATTCAATTATTTTTTTTAAATTTTAATAAAATTCTTTGCAAAAATTCAATTATTTCTCATAGCAGGATTTCAATTATTTCTTAAAGTTATAATAATAATCGTTGCAAGAATTCAATTATTTTTAATAGAATTTTCAAATACTTTCAATAAAAATAATATTTTTCATTGAAATTCAACTTTCTAAAAAAGTTTTTTGATAAAATTCTAAGCAAGAATTTAATTACTTTCATAAATAATAAAACTCATAGAATTTCAATTATTTTTAATTACTATTTTAAATTAATTAATCAAAAAATACAATTATTTTCACAAATAAAATTTTCCACAAGAATTCAATTATTAAAAATACAATTTTCATAATATTTATTATATTTTGGAAAAATTGATTATTTAAAACAATGTTAATAAAATTCTTATATATGAAGAATTCAATTATTTTCAAAAATAATAAAATTTTTCACTAAAATTCAATTCTTTTTAGACATTTTAATAACAATTTTTCGCAATAATTCAATTATTTTCATAAATAATGAAATTCTTCTCAAAAATTCAATTATTTTTGAAAGTTTTAAAAAAATTCTTAACAACTATTTAATTATTTTTATAAATAATAAAACTCATCGCAGGATTTCAATTATTTTTAATACAATTTTACAGGAATTGCTCGAGAAATGTAATTATTCCTAAAAATTATATTAAAAATCATAGGAAGAATTCAATTACTTAAAAATTTTTTTTTTAATTCTTTGAAAGAATTCCATTACCTATTTACAAAAATATTTTCAAATATTTTTAAAAAATTGTTCGAAAGAAATCAAATATTTGAAATATATTTGTAATTAATTTTTTTTTAAATAATTCAATTATTCTTTTAGATTTTAATAAAATTCTTCAAAAAAATTCAATGATTTACATAAATAATTCATCCTAAGAATTCAATTATCTAAATAAATAATTCTTCCCAATAATTCAATTATTTACATAAATAATTCTTTGGAAGAATTCAATTGTGTCGATAAATATCAAAATTATTACCGAAAATTCAATTATTTTGAGGCTTTTTAATAAAATTCTTTGCAAAATTCCATTATTGTCATAAATAACAATATTCATTACAAGAATTCAATTATTTTAATAAAATTCGAATAAAATCGTTTGCAAGAATTTAATTATTTTCATAAATAATAAAATACCTTTTAGGAATTCAATTACATATTTTAAAAAACAATTTAAAAAAATGCCACACAGACATTCAATTATTCTTAAAAATGTTAATAGAATTCTTTGTAAAATTTAATTATTTTTAAAAACTTTTCGCAATTTAATGATTTTCAATATCTACTATTTTCATAAAATTTTCAAACAAAATTCAATTATTTAAAAAATTTTTGAAAAAATCTTCGTAAGAATTCAATTCTTTTCATGAATAATAAAAATGAATTGAATTTCTCAGGAATTCTATTATTTAAATTAGAATTTGCATAAAATTTGTCGAAAGAAATGAATTATTTAAAAAAATTTTGATAAAATTCTTCGCAAGAATTAAATAATTTTTATAAATATTTAAATTCTTTCATGAATAATAAAATTCGTTGCAGGAATGAAATTTATTATCAGAATAAGAAGGAAGTAAATATTTTTGATAAAAATTAGAAAAAAAGTCAGGAAAATAAAATAAAGAATGGAATTTTCGTCAGTTTTGTAAAGTTTCTAAAACGATTTTTTTTTGTCTTCAAGTTAAATTTTTTGATAGCGTTTTTTTACTCCTTTTTTTAAGTTTAAAAGCTACTTCTTTAAAATTAATTATCAAGTGCGAAGTTGTAATGTTTTTATTTTATTTACTTTTTAATTATTATTAACGAATTAACGAATTTTTGCTCGAATTTTTACGAAAAAAAGTATCGAAAATTAATTTACAAGAAAAAAAAGAAATAGAGAAGAAAACTTACGTCAAGAAATTTATTGGCAATCTCGCAGTCTTTAATATAATTCGCGTGTAAGATCCATTTTCCCGATGCAATGCTGCAGAGAATTTTTTCATTCCTCGAAGGTTTCATGCAAAGTAAATGCGTTGCTGTCGAATCGAAAGTTGATTCCGTCGAGACTTCACCGCCAAGATTTAGAATCACCTTCTCACACGGCGCTTTCTCCTGGAAAAACATTTTTAAAAAAAATTATAATATACCGAAAAAATTAATTTCAATTTAATTCAATTAATTAATGCGATGAATTTCCCCTAACTTTTAATCCCGACAGCATGAACTTTCGTTTTGGAAGTTGTTCTATATGTTCCTCAGCTGTCCCCGGATGTTGCCAACCGACAGTAAATGGTTGAGTTTCCTTCTCCATGCCTGGAAATCAAATTTTTAACTTTAAAAAAAAATCTAACAATATTTATCGTTAGTAGTTTCAATATTTGTTGTTCTTCTCTTTTTTTAAAATTTTTTTTAAAAATTAATTTAAAAAAAGAGAAAAAGAATAAATATTGAAACTACTAACAATAAATATTGGTTTCGTTTACATTGTGAGTAAATAGAAATAAATTTCCAACAAAAAACTTACATTTGTCTGATTCCGGATCCAAGAGGTAATTTTTGTCAATGTCCACAAGCATTGTTTGTCTTCTGTCCGGCGAACTTGTAGACGCCCGCAATGCTCGATCCAATTTCTCTATTTGTCTTCAATTATTCAAGAAATAATAAATTAGTTTTCACAATAATTCTTTTCTTCTTTAATTAAATAGAAGAATTAAAAAAACAAAACTCACAAATCGACATGATTGGCTTTTGCAGGACTATTTTCATCAGAAAAGGAGAGTTTTCTATTTGTTCGATCCTCGGTTTCTTCAACTTTATTATTCTCAGCGGCATTATTCGAAGTTGCATCCCCACCTTCACACTTTAGTAAAAAAAATAATATTTTCAATACAATTAATTTTAAAATTGAAAACGTTTAAAAAGAAAAATTAGGAGATAAAGAAGCAAACAAAAGGTAATTTCATACTGCGAACAGATTATTAATATAGATTATTTTATTATTTATATAAATAAAGAGCGACCTTACCTCTTTTACTATTTTCGTCCAGAATTGACGTATAAGTGCATCCATTGGCTGAAAGATAATAAAAAAGAATATTTTTTGCAATTACTAAATTTATAAATTGCACAATTACTAAAATAATAGATAAAAAAAAGAATTTAGTAAGAATTTAGTAAAAAACATCTTATATATAAAAAAAAGAATGTTACTTTGTAAATTGAAATATTTTCGAAAATAATTACAGTGCTAGCTCGTCGTTTCGGTGGTGGTGGAGTTTCGGTGCCTCTTAAATCAGGAAAACGATTAATCCACTTGAGCCATTCTTTTCTCGTATTCGGCGATGGATTTTCTGTGAATATTGCACCATAAGGTGTATCCGGTGTTCTCACATGGAATGGAGATTCAGGTGTTTTAGTTTTATTCAAAATTTCACTGAGTCGTCTATTTATAAGGGGTGTTTGAGCTCCTGGCGACTCTTGTTGCTGGAAATTAATTAATTAATTAATTAATATTAAGACAATTAATAATAAATGTATTGATATTTATTTTTTAACTATTTTCCCACTAATGTAAAATTCTTGAATTTAATTTATTGGAATAAAAATTTTCCGTTATAAACTAATAATTATTATTTACCTGAACAGCTGCTAATCGTGCAGGTGTAAAAACTCGTGAAGAAGTTTGTACAAGCGGTTTTTTCGCACTTTGTGACTCAGACACTGTAAGATAAAAATTTCTATTAGATTTTCAAAAATTTTAATATTTAATTCTTGGCTAGAATTTAATTATTTTTGTAAATAACAAAATTCTTTTGAGAAATTCAATTATTTTCAATAACATTTTAATTAAATTTCTAGGAAAAAATTCAATTATATTCAAGATAATTTCAATACAATTTCTTTAACAAATTCAATTATTTTTAAAAATTATAATAAAATTTTTCTAAATAATTCAATTTTTCTCAATAGTTTTTAATAAAATTCTTTGTATAATTTCAATTATTTTCAATATTTTTCCGAAAAATTTGTAAAATAAATAAATAAATTTTCAATTTAAATTATTTAAAAAAATTACATTATTTTTACGAAATTTAATGAAATTCTTAAAAAAAAAATATAATTATTTAAAAAAAACTCTGATAAAATTGTTTAAAAGAATTAAATTTTTTATGAATAAATTTAATATAATTTAGTCGGAAAGTTATTAATTACACGATTATTTTAAAAATTTAAAAGAAATTCTTCTTAAAATTCAATTATTTTCAAAATTTTCACTAAAAATTATTATCTAAAAAGCTCTTTTATTTCCAACAAAATTGAAATAAATTCTTCAAAACAATTCAATTATTTAAAAAGAATTTAAATGAAAATCTTGCTAAAAATTAAATTATTTTCAATACAATTTCAATTACATTTTCTCGAAAGAATTCAATTATTGAAAAAAATTTCGATGAAATTCTTGAAATGAATTCAATTATTTTCAAATTATTTGATGAAAAACTTTACAAGAATTTAATGATTTTCAGTACATCGGAAAATTAATTATTTCTGAAAATAATTGTATTCTCGAATAGAATTTAATTAAAACTTTTTTAAATAATTGAATTCCTGCGAAAAAAATTTATTATTTCTATACAAAGAATTAAATTTTTGCAAAATTTAAAAAAAAGAATGGAATTTTGGAGAAGAAGTTTATCAAAATTGCATTTAAAGTAATTGAATTCCTGCGAAAAATTTACTATTTAGTGATATTATTGAATTGTTTCGAAGAATTTAAAAAAAAATGTTTAAAAATATTTTAAGTTTCCCTAGAATTCAATTAAAATTGTATTTAAAAAACATAATTGAATTCCAGCGAGAATTTAATTACTTTTAAAAATAATTGAATTTGATTTTATTAAAAGTTTTTTAAATAATTGAACTCCTGTAAAAAATTCAATTATTTTTTAAAATAATTGAATTTTCTCGGAGAATTTTTTTCAAGATTTTTTAAAAATAATTGAAATTTTCGAAGAAATTAATTAAAATTGTATTGAAAATAATTAAAATCCTGAGAAGAATTTTATTATTTATTTATTAAAGTAATTGAATTTTTTGCGAATATTTTTACTATTTATAAACTGACTAAAGAATTTTATTATTTTTTTTTATTTTATTCTATTTTATTTATTAATTATTGAATATAATTAAATTCTTCATAAAATTCAATTATTTTCTAATTTTTTTTTAAATACTTTTGTTAAATCTTGATAAGAATTTTATTATTCATATAAAAATAATTGAATTTTTACGAAGATTTTTATTATTTATAAATTGACTAAAGAATTTTATTACAATTATTGAAAATATTTTAATTCTTCATAAAATTCAATTATTTTCTAATTTTTTTTTGTTAAACACTTTACAAGAATTCAATGATTTTCAGTACATTAATTTAAAAATTATAAACATTCAAAAAGTTTTAGGAAACAAACAGTTACGCTATTAAAATTCTATTTTTAGTGGTAAATTAAATTTCAAAATGGAAATAGAATCTCATCAGTATTTAAAATGACTACGTTACCTTTTGTCTCTCCTATGAGATAGGGCGTTTCATCAACAAATGCCAATTTATTCGCACATTCCAAAAGCCACTTGGCAGAAACTGCTGGCAAATTCCATTTGACAGCTGCTTGATATTTCGAACCTTCAGGTACAGGACAAATCAAATGAGTGTTTGCCAAAGTTCCCTTCGCCATATTTGTCCTCCTCGCAAATGTGTCTTGATGCCTGTAAATCGAAAGATGTTAATTATTTTTTTTTATTTGAATTTTAAAAAAAATACTTTGCTCATATGATAAGAATATGTAGAAAAGAAAAAGAAGTGATTAAAATGAAAAAAAATTACAATGCTCCCAAACATTCGGCCAATTGTTGCAGATATTGTCTCTCTTGACCGGAATATGTGCTTATTGCTATTACACAATTATTCAGAGGTTTCACACCTTCCACTACGGCAATCGGACGATGATAATATTGCAGAGGCACCAATTCATCTTTATCGACACATTCATCCTGAAAATTGTCACAATTGGTAAATTTCAAATTAAAAAAAAAAATAATAGCAAAAAGAAAAGAAATACAAACAATAAACATGTCGGTGACAATTTCGTTCACGGTTCCATGAAAGATACCGCCGCAAAATGGAACGACTCCATAATCAGGAATTCCGGAATAAGATCGAGAAACAATTTCACCGCCCATTGCGCGAATACGTATTTCCAAGTGTTGATAATCCTCACGTTCAAAACCAGACAAGATGAAATTTTGATCTATAAAAATTTTAATCAATAACAAGTTTTTTTCAAGTTATTAATTTTTTTGCGGTATTAGGGCTCGAACCAGTGAAAGTATTTAAAAATACGGACTTTATGGACCAAAAATGAAAAATTACGGACAAAAACTATAAAAAAAACTGAAATAAAAAAAATAAATAAATAAAAAATAATAATAATAAAAAAATAAAAACTATAAATTCAATTTTCTCATAACTATAAAACGAAGATATCGATAACTCCGAGTCTTCGACTCGGAGTCGAAGTCAATTATCATTTTCAAGAATTTTTAACTAAAATTCTTCTTTAAATCATTTAATTTTCGAAAAAGTTCTCTGACAATTTTCAAATCAATTTCTTTACAATATTCAATTTTACGAAGTTCAATTAAATATAAATATTACAAAATAAAAACTTCAAATAAGACATAAAAAAATTCAATTACACTTTTTTTAAAAAATTAATTAACTAATTTTAACTGAAATTCATTTTTAAATCAATTTTTAAAAGAAAATTCTACTAGAATTCAATTATTTTCATAAATAATAAAATACCTTCAAAAAATTTAATTATTTTAAAAAATTCAAATAAAATCAGTTTGAATTATTTTCATAATATAAAAAAATTCATTTAAAAAATTCAATTATTTTCATAAATAAGAAAATTCTTGGCAAGAATTAAAATATTTCCATAAATAATAAAATTCTTCAAAAGGAATTCAATTATTTTCATAAATAATAAAAAAATGTTTCGGAGAAATTCAATTATTGTCAATAAAATTTTAATGAAAATTCTCGAAAGAATACAATTAGTTTTAAAAATATTATTTAAATTCAATTATTTTTAAGAGTTTTAATAAAAAATCAATTATTTTCAAGAATTCTGAATAGAATTTTATGAAAACTTTTTTTTAAATAAAAAAATTTATTATTTCTGCAAATAATTGAAATTTGGAAAATTATAAAAAGTAAGTGAATTTTTAAGAAGAATTTTATTAAAATTGTATTAAAATTCTCATAAAGAATATTATCAAAAAAATTTTTTAAAAAAATTACATTTTTCAACGAATTCGATTAAAATTTTATTAAAAATAAAATTGAAATTCTGCAATGAGTTTTATTATTTATGAAAATAATTAAATTCCTAAAAAAAAATTAATTATTGAGGAAAAGAATTGAATCCTTGTAAAAATTGTATTATTTATGAAAATAAGTAAATGATTGCAAAGAAATTGATAAATAATTTCTAAATAATTGAATACCTGTAAAATTGTTATTATTGTATGACAAAAATTATATGTTTGGGTAGAATTTTATTAAAAAATTTTTTAAATAATTGAATTCTTTCGACGAATTTTATGAAAATTTTTAAGAATAATTATATTTTCCAGAAATTTTATTAAAATTTTATTAAAATAATTGAACTCTTCTAAAGAATTTTATTAGCCATGAAAAAAATTAAATTCCTGCGATGAATTATTTTTCAAAATAATTGAATTCGTCTAAAGCATTTTATTATTTATGAATATAATTGAATTCCTGCGATAAATTTGATTAAAATTGTATTCAGAATTGAATTCTTCTGAAGAATTTTAATATTTATGAAAATAATTGAATTCCTGCGATGAATTTTATTGAAAATAATTGAATTCTTCTAATAAATTTTAATATTTAAGAAAATAATTGAATTCTTCTAATGAATTTTAATATTTAAGAAAATAATTGAATTCTTCTAATGAATTTTAATATTTAAGAAAATAATTGAATTTCTGCAATAATTTCTAATTTCTCTAAAATTCTCCAAAATTATATATCGTAAAATTTACGAACTTTTCGTCCTTTTTCTATCAAATTACAAACTTTACGAACTTTTTTTTTTAAATTGTCTTTTATTTCTCATTTTATGCTTACCTTCGAATATTTTTCCGACAACTGTATCAGTTTGACTCAATGGAACTAGTGATTCATTTTCTCGTGTTTTATTTCTAAACGATGCAGACTGCGATGTTGTATTTTGAGTTTTCATTAATTTTTCATTTGTATCTTTAGTGATCGCTTGAAATAATTCTGCCGTTGATTTTGTAGATGCTTAAACAATTTTTTTTTTATCAAAACGTTTGAAAGTAATTAAATTTTTAAGAAAAATTTCTCTACTTTCGAAAGTTTGAAAATATTGACTAATTGAATAAATAAAAATGTGGAATAGAAATGAAAGACTAATTAAATATAATTTACCAGTAGTTCTTCTGGAATACTCGGCAATAAGATCGGGTTCATAAAAAACTTCGGCATCCTTTTTCCGCTCGTCAAATAAAGGCGGAGGCGGCTTTTGTGGTCTCTTAAGCATTTCCATATTCTAAAAAAATAAGTTACGAATAAAATTGTTTTCTTTAATTTCAAAACAAAAAACAATTATTAAATATTTTGATTAAGTTTTTTACCTTTTTACTGAGTGGGGAAGGAGGTTCAGGAACTTTTGGCGTCGTTTCTTCTGTTTCTATCAAGAAACATTCCTCCGCTGCAGGTTGTTTAAGTCTAATACTTTCTTCCAACCATTTAAAATTCACAATATGTGGTCTAAAAATATGAACGAATTTTTATTCTCCTTTTTCTAATTTATTTCTGTCTATTAAATATAATTTAATTTGAAAGAAAATAAAATTCTAATTTACCTCAATCCGTTGGAATAAATTGTTTTCAAATCACTCTTCGCCTTATTAATCTCTCCGACCAATACGTGTGTTATATTGTCTGTAATTTCGTCTAATCTTGTCGCAGAACTTACATTTATAATCTTATTCAGTTTATCTTTATAAATCGTTTGAAATCCAGTAAGAAAAATCTAAAGTTTAATTAAAAGGAGAAATTAGAGAAGAATAAAGGAAAAAATTCTTATAGTACAGGGTTGCCACAAATATTTAATTTTATTTTTCCCTGACTTTTTCCTGATTTCCAGACAAAATTTTCACTTTTTCCCTGACCATAAAGAATATTCTGATTCACTCTAAAAATTATTAGATACTCAAAAAAAACATTCTATTACATTTACTTACGAATTTCTTAAATTGTAAAATTATTCGTAAATATCAATAAATAAATTTTTAAATAAGTATTTAATTATTATTTTTCCATAGGAATTAAAATTCTTCAAAACATTTAAATTCAAACATTTTTAAAATTCAACAACTTATAAGAATATTATTATAAAACATGAAGATATCAATTACTCCAAGTCGAAGACTCGGAGTGATTGACATCTTCATGTTTTCTGCAATCATTTTTAACTTTTCCAAAATTCAATTTTTTCCAGTTACTTAAATAAAAATCCTTGACGTTTCCCTGACTTCTCTGACCAATTTTACTTTCCCTGACTTTTCCCTGAATTCCCTGATCTGTGGCAACCCTGATAGTAGGAAAAAAATAAAAGACTTACGTTACATCCGTCAAGAAATGGTCCTAATTTCTTAACCGCTGCAAGAGCAATGCCATCGAGGAAGATCATGTACGATTCTTTATTTGTCATTGTATTGTTTGTCAACATTGTACTCGATGGAGTGCAAGTACTATTCATTCTACTCATTGTACTCATTTGAGCAACTGATTCGTCGACAATATGATTTTCGAAAGGAATTATACTTCCACAGGTGAAGTCAAGTGTTGCGTTTGCTATTTGAAAATTATAATAAATAGGAATTTTAAAATTATAAATTATATAGGTACAAATAAATAATAAACAAAAAAATAAATTTTTCTCGTAAGAAATCAATTATAGAAAAAAATTGAATTCTTCATAAAATTCAATTATTTTCTTTAATTTTTTGTAGACTCACTTCTTTCTGGAGTGGAACATGCATTTGACGAAGTAACTAAATAATTTTCAAAAGGAAGGGCATATCCTGCTTTGATGCTATCGATAATCCAAGGATATCGTAAGCACGCAAGTTCCTTTTGTAAAGCAAATTTCAATTTTTCGGTCATTGTTCCTCTCTCCGATGTTATAAGAATATTCGTCTCCATTGCATCCAAATGACCCATATATTTCTATTAGGGAAAAAAGAATTAATTTTCAATTCAATTATACAAATCACTGACAATTATACTGATTATACAAATAAAAATTCAATTTTTCTTACAAATACAAACAAACTAACATTTACAATAATTATAAAAATAAAAATTCAATTTTTCTTTTTTAAAGTAAAATAAAAACAATTTACTCTGGAATATTTGTACTTACTCCGCCATTTGAATTCACAAGTGATGATATTTCCTTCTTTTGTTGTCTCGGCAAATCAGTCGAAGTAATAAATGTATTCAAAAATACCGGACATTTATATCTATCAAATTTCGAATCTGTTGCCTGTATAAATTTCGTTAAATTCTCTTTCCAAATTGCGTTGATCCAATCGATTGTCATTATTTTAACTGTCTCTATTTTCACAGCGCTCTAAAATTTCAAACACTTTGTTACATTTAGTTACGATAAAAATTTCGATACTTTCTAAGAATTCAATTATTTCCAAAAAAAAATCTATAGAATTCTTCGCAACAGGAATTTAGGAATAATTTTAATTTTTATTAAAATTATAATAATTATAATTTTATTACTATTTTCCAAAACAATTTAATTCTTTTAAATAAATTTTAATAAAATTCTAGAAAAGAATTGAATTATTTTCAATAAAATTTTTATTCAATTCTTTGAAAAATTACAAGAATTCAATTATTTTCATAAATAATAAAATTCTTTAGATAAATTCAATTATTTTGAATAAAATTCATCGTAGGAATTCAATTATTTTCATAAATATTAAAATTCTTCAGAAGAATTCAATTATTTTGAATACAATTGTAATCAAATTCATCGCAGGAATTCAATTATTTTCTTAAATGTTAAAATTCTTTAGAAGAATTAAATTATTTTCAAAAATTTGAATAAAATTCAATGTAAGATATAAATTATTTCAGATTCAAAATGATAAAAAAATATAAAACATTCAAAAAGTATTGTTTAATAAAAAATCAGTTGAATATTTTTTCGAACTAAAAATTCGGTTAAGTAGAAATTCGATTTCATGAATTTGGAAACACTAGAAATTCGGAGAAATAATTTTCACGCGCTCGAAAATTTTTTTAATCTGTTCAGAATTTTCAGATTCAATTAATTCCCATCAATCAATTAATCGAATATAAATTCTATGAAATCTAATGATTTCCAGACTTTTCTTGACACTTCGTGTCCTTGACTTGTAAAAACTCTGAATATCGTTTTATTATAAAATAATTTAAAAAATCACCTCATATTTTTGGGACATAATTCGATCGGTTACTAAATGAGTTACACTTCCTAGTAATTGACGTGAATAAACGCCGCCCATGAATTCTACTTTTTGTTGAATGTAATTCTGAAAGAAGAAAAAAAATTTTAATTAAATCTAGAAAAATAATTTCAAATCTTATTTACATTAGAACTCGACTGTCGATAAACCGGTTGTACTCAGGAGAGAGGTTTTCTACAGTTTTCCCTCTTCTCTGGCGAGAAAACCCATTGACGGTTAAAACGAATTAAGAAATGAAAAATATTCACCTTTCTTTCTGCTGAAAATCCAGAAGCGCAAACGATAACATTTCTCATTGCAGTGACAAAAACGGGATTTGACCCTTCGGGTATTGCCTCATTATTCATTAGGCAACAAAGTAGACATCTTGGTCCAACAATTCTGCTAAAAAATTTATTTTAAAGAAAAAACTACATTAGACCTATTTCTACAAAAAAATTGACAAAAAATATGTATTAGCAAAAATTCAACAACAATAAAATCTCTTTTCTCATTGAGACGAAAATTTAAGTACTTACGAGCACTTTGAAACTTTTAAGCTTTCAAATAGTTTTCCTTCGAATTCTTCCATGATGAAAACATCTACTTTTTGCGGTTGCATTTTTTGACATTCATCTTCAGTAATCCACGCAGGATTTATGTCAAATTCCTCGCATTTCTGAAATAATTGAATTCTAATTGTTAAATGAATAAAAAAAAAGAATAGAAAAGAACAATTTTTATTTTCAAAAATCTTAATAGTTTTAAATTTTTAATCTTAATTAAATAAAGAATAGAAAAGAACAATTATTTTTAAAAATCTTTATATTTTTTTGTACACAAATCATAATATAATTGAAAATATAAAAACAAAGATTCCTGTGCGGAAGTAATTTATTAATTAAGTAAAAGGGAAAAACTGTCAAAATCGTTTGAAAATTCAGGAAAAAAAATAATTAATAAAAGAAAACTTACATTATATGCCAACCACATATCATCGGAGCATTCTTTTTCACTTTCATATTTGCCAGGAATAACGAAATAAACATTTAATCCATCACCACACAAAGTACTTTCCTGTGTCGCCATTATTTTTAATTACTAATCTTTTTTACAGCTGCAATAAGAATTCGACAATTTATTAAAAAAATACATCAATTATTCCCTCCATTGATATTAATAATTGTAAAAAATGAAACTACATTACCGAAAAAAAACTAATGAATAAATAATTATTATTAGTTTATTTTTTTTCATTTAATCACTTATAAAAGTGATTAAATATTGCGTGAGACACAATAAATGTTTAATAATTAATTATTAATTCCCTTTAATCAGAATTTTAAAAAAACGTTCATTTCAGTATTTTTTTTTTTTTTTTTGTAAAAAACTGTTTCGTTTAAAAAATGTCAACATATGAAAAAAAAGACTTATTTAATTTGTTGTTTCATAAATTTCAAATTTCAAAAGAATAAAAAAGCATAGAAATCATCAAAATCTTAAAAATTAATTAAATATTCTAAAAAAAAACAATGGCAGTTGACCTAACCTTGAAATTGCAGAAAACTTCGTCTCTCGATAACTGACAAAAATTGTTAAAAATAGTTCTTAATTATTTGTATTCGTATAATGTAGTAAAACTTAAAGACTCTTTTTAAGAATAAATAATATAAATAATAGTCTTTTGTTAAAATTCTTTCGTTAAAACTTTATCCTTCGGAACCTGTTGACAATTTCACATCTTCTTTCCCGCCAGTTCGTGAATTTTTGAACCTGGAATATTCAGAACATAGTTCTACAACTTCGTGGTTCTTTCTACATTTAAGAATAAAAGGCCTGTTTACATGAAAATTTTTGCGAAACCCCTCTTGTTTCCAATTCTCACACAAGCACCTTTATGTTTTTAAAATTTTCAAAAACACGTGGTTTGACAGTTTAGTTCATTTTAGTTTGTTGTCGTACATTATTTTTTTGAAATCTTTTTCATTGAATTAATTGAATTAATTGAATTCAATTGAATTGAGTGCGTGAAAACGAAAGAATGTTTTATCTAAAATGAATCCTATATGTACAATATGCTTCGAATATCTTTCAAAATCGGAGAATGTAAATGTCACAAAATGTGGGCATCTTTTTCATTGTTCGTGTGTGACGGAATGGTTTAAAAGGTATAAATCTTTTTTTATTTATACACAAACGTGACGCACTCTGTCAAAACAAAGAACAAACTGCAAACAGCAAAAAAGAATACAAAAATAATACAAACATAACCTTAAAATGAATTACCTCTTATTTCTTATCATAAAGGGCGTCACAAATTGTAACGAATATTTTTTTAATATTTTTTTATGTATAAATTCTTTTTCCAGGAACCAAAATTGCCCACAATGTAGAAGGAGAATTAGAGGTGCAGGAAAAGTCTTTCTTAATTTCTCATGTAGCGAGACAATAGTCGAAAATAATTCGTTTCTGCAAAACGAAGTGAAGTCACTTCAAGATCAATTGGATAATCAACGCGAGTACGTATTTTATTTTTTTTTTTAATTAAAAAATTTTATATTTTCAAGAATAAACATTATTTTCTTAAATGTTAAAATTCTTTAGGAGAATTCAATTATTTTCATAAATATTACAATTCTTCTGAAGAATTCAATTATTTTCAATACAATTTTAATAAAATTTCTCGAAAGAATACAAATATTTTTAAGAATATTAATTAAAATCGATTATTTTCAAGAATTTTAATATAAATTCAATTCTTTTCAACAATTTTGGATGAACTTCTTTTAAAAAAATCATTATTTACAAAATTTTTAATAAAATTTCTTCAAAAATTCAAATAAAATTCTTGGAAACAATTCAATTATTTTTATGAATTGCTAAATCCTTCGAAAGAATTCAATTATTTTCATAAATAAGAAAATTCTTCTCAGAAAATTTATTAATTACAATTAATGATAAACACGATTATTTTAGAAATTTAAAAGAAATTCTCCTTAAAATTCAATTATTCTCAAAATTTTCAGTAAAAATTATCATCTAAAAAAAACCCTTTTATTTCCAAGAAAATTGAAATAAATTCTTCAAAACAATTCAATTATTTAAAAAGAATTTTAATGAAAATCTTGCTAAGAATTAAATTATTTTCAATACAATTTTAATTACATTTTCTCGAAAGAATTCAATTATTGAAAATAATTTAATTCTTGAATAGAATTTTATTAAAACTTTTTCAAATAATTGAATCCCTGCGAACAAATTTATTATTTCTACAAAGAATTAAATTTTTGCAAAATATAAAAAAAATAAGTGAATTTTGGAGAAGAATTTATTGAATTGTTTCGAAGAATTTAAAAAAAAAAGTTTATTATTTTAATTTTCCCTGGAATTTAATTTAATTTAATATAGAAGAAGAACAAAATACTCTTAATTAAATTTCGTTACATTAATTAATTGCAAATTTTTCATTTCTTTATTCTTTTTATGAGTAGTAGAAATATGAGAGAAACTTCAGTTAATTTTACCATTTTGTAAAATTCAATTATGATTTTATTTTCTAGACTTAGTAGACTAGACGCAATTCGACTTGATTATTTCCAAAAGAAATTGTTGGATTTGGAGAAAAAGAATCGAATCTTAAAAAAAAAAAATAAAGAGATAAAAAACGAAACAGTTGTTAAAAAAAGAAAAGATCCAGAAAATGCTCCAATTGCGGTAATGTTTATTTTTTTTTCATTTTTTTTGGCGGTAACTATTAAAAAAAAATAAACTTTTCGTTTTAAGATTATCTAAGTTTTCTATCTTATTTTTTATGAGAAGTAAATTTGATCAATTCATCTATTTATAAATTTACGTATTTATTCTTTTTTTGTTACTTAATTTTGAAGTCAAGTAACTTTTGACAGAAACTTCCCTTCTGATTTTCTAAAATTACAAAAATTCCTCTTATTTTATTTTTTTTTTTCAAGTTGCAAAAATAACTTTTTTTTCTCTCCTATTTTGCAGAATTCATCCGGTATACGTTTGCGATCAGGAAAAATTATAGGTGTCACAGAATGATTTCCCAGTATTATTTATTATTTATTTAATTTATTTCATGGTTTATTTTATTTATTTATTTATTTCATGTTTATGTATCAAATAATTTATTGAGTTTTTTAAAAAAAATATTTATTCCTTTAATGGATTTTTTAAAGAACGTATAGAACTTATTTAGGAATTGTATATATGGTTCATTGATTGTGATAAGAAAAAAAATTGTGTGGGAGGAGTGATGTGAGAGAAAATGTTTATTTTAATCAGTATTTGCTAAGGATTTGTTATGTATTTCTTTTTAACAAAAGAGATGCAAAATTATTTTTAAATTAGAAAATTTTATATAATATTTTAAATTAGATCATTTTTCAAATAAATAAATATTGTGATCTAATTAAATTTAGGTTGTTATAATTTTTTTTAGTCAAATTACAATATTATTTAAAAAATTACGTATATTTATTACGTATATGAAAAAAACGTAAAAATAATTATTTAAAAGAAATATTCAGAGAAGAAAATATTACCGTTTATAATATTGATTTGTTTTATTATACCAGAACTTCGAAGTGGAAATTAATCTAAAGTGCCTTAATGTCAAAGTTATGATAAAACAATGGCAATTGTTAATTGTGTGATTAAAATGATTCATCGAAAAACTAGTTTTTGTATTCTGATGGTCATTGGTTTAATAATAACATTTATTCAGGTATTTTTTATTTACTGTATTTATATTATTACTATTATTATTATATTATTTGTTTATTATTATTTATTTATTTATTTATTCATTATTATTATTTATTATTACTTATTATTATTTATTGGTTTATTTATTTATTATTATTATTTATAAATACACATTATTTGCCAAAAATAAATATAAGTAATTTGTTTAATTTGAGTAAAATTAGATTTGCATTTTACATTTAATTACAAAATTAAATCATCTAATTGCTTTTAGATGTGGCTATTTAATGAACCGGCGAATTCGAATTTTAAAGGTGAAAAATTATAATCTTTGAATAAACAAATTAACTGAGAAAATATTTGTGTTTGTTTTATAAAAAAGAAATAATCTATTTAATAATTAAATACTTAAATAATTATTATTTTCAGATATTAAAAAGCCAATCATCTTGTGGTGGAATGATTTCGGATATAATGGTTTCAAAAGTTGTGGAGAATTTATTTGTTACTTTACTCAGGATGAATCCTTTCTGTCGCACAACTTCCTCAAGGTAAATATTTTTGTCAAGGAAAATTAATTTTAATTAAAAAATTAAAAATTAATTAAAATTAATTTTAAAAAAGCATAATTTTTATTTATAATAATAATAATTAATTACTAATTTTAGGCGATTATATTTTATGGTAGTTCCATGGAATATCGTCACTTACCAATTCCGAGAGCAAAACACGTACAATGGGGTTTATTGCACGAAGAATCCCCTCGCAATAATCCAGCCTTCGTTTATGAAGATTTTTTAAATTTATTTAATTATTCATCTACATTCAGTCGATACAGTGACGTGATTTCATCACAAGTACCAGGAATTGATGAATTAACAAGTAAAATTTCTATAAAATAAATATAATTTTTGTCAGTTGTGAAAAAAATTTCTTTTCTTTATAAAAAGAAATTTTATTATTAATTTAATATAGTTTAATATAATATAATGATTTACTTATTAAAGTGAATCTAGTTTTTAATTGACAGGCAAAAAATTCTTTTTCTCATTTGAGAAAAAAAATAATCTAATGTCACAAGAAGACTTGGCGCCTTTGCTTTATATTCAATCGAATTGTGATACGACGAATGATAGAGACGACTACATTGCTGAACTGATGAAATTTATTCGAGTTGATGCTTATGGCCTTTGTTTAAATAATCGAAAGTTACCAGAAAGGTATTTTTTTCATTTATTATCTAAATTGCATTTTTATTTTAATTTAAAATTTTAATTTAAGTTAATTTAATTTAATTTAAAACTATTTTAATAAAATTGAAATTTTTCTAAACTTTCAATAATATGTTTCCAATTTAGTTTATAAATTGTTCTTAATATTTTTGTTAATAACTACTTTAAATTCGCTAATACTAGAAATCAAAACACTTAATAAAATTATTCGCAATAATTCAATTATTTTCATAAATAATAAAATTCTAAGCAGAAATTCAATTATTTTCAAAAATATGATTAAAATTTGTTGCAAGAATTTAATTATTTTCATAAATAATAAAATTCTACGCAGAAATTCAATTATTTCCAAAAATATATTTAAACTTCGTCACAGGAATTCAATTATTTTGAATATAATTTTAATAAAATTCTTAAAATGAATTCAATTATTTTCATAAATATTAAAATTCTTTAGAAAAATTCAATTATTTTAAACACAATTTTAATAAAATTTATCACGAGAATTTAATTATTTTTCATAAATATTGAAATTCTTCAGAAGAATTAAATTATTTTTAATTTAATTCCTTGAAAGAATTCAATTATTTTAAATAATATTAGAATTTTTCATAGGAATTAAATTGTTTTCAAATTCAATTATTTTAAATACAATTCTAATTAAATTTTTTGAAATAATTCAATTATTCTTTTAGATTTTAATTAAATTCTTCTCAAGAGTTCAATTATTTACATAAATAATTCTTCCAAAGAATTCAATTATTAAAGATAAATAACAAAATTATTTCGGAAAATTCAATTATTTTTTAAAAATTTAATAAAATTCTTTGCAAAATTCAATTATTTTTATAAATAACAATATTCATCACAAGAATTCAATAATTTTTAAAAGTTATAAATATCTTCTTGGAAATTCAATTATTTAAAAAAATTCTAATAAAATCGTTCGCAAGAATTCAATTATTTTCATAAATAATAAAATACTTTTTAGGAATTCAATTTATTATTTTCAAAAAAATTGAATAAAATACCACACAGACATTTAATTATTGTCAAAAATTCTAATAGAATTGTTTGTAAAATTTAATAATTTTTAAAAACTTTTCGCAATTCAATGATTTTCAATTTTTACTATTTTTATAAAATTTCCAAACAGAATTCATTTATTTAAAAAAATTTTTGTAAAAATCTTCGTAAGAATTCAATTCTTTTCATGAATAAGTAATAAAAATTTCTCTTGAATTCAATTATTCAAATTAGAATTTCCATAAAATTAGTCGAAAGAAATTAATTATTTAAAAATTTTTCTAAAATTCTTCGCAAGAATTAAATTATTTTTATAAATATTTAAATTCTTTCATGAATAATAAAATTCGTTGAAGGAATCCAATTTATTAGCATCAGGATAAGAAAGAAATAAAATATTTTTGATAAAAATTGGGAAAAAGTCTGGAAAATAAAATATAGATTGGAATTTTTGTCAGTTTTGTGAAGTATCTAAATCGAGTTTTTTTTGGTCGTCAAGTTTAATTTTTTGATAGCTACTTTTTTTAACTACCTTTTTTTTAGTTTGAAAGCTACATTTTTAAAATTAATTATCGAGTACGAAGTCTGTAATAATAATTTACTTACAGTTTAGAAAGTGATCATCTTCGCACTTTATATGACGACGAATTTTATACTTTTGTTGGAAGATATAAATTCACTTTGGCCTTTGAAAATGCAGACTGTGAGGATTATATTACAGAGAAACTTTGGCGACCTCTCATTGTCGGTTCTATTCCAATTTATTACGGTTCTCCATCATTCAAGGTATTTCCACAAACATTTTTTTTTTAACCATCTGGATTGCTAACGAAAAGGAGAAAATCAATTTTTTCCATGTCAATCCTAATGAGAATTTTAATCAATTTTCTACATATTTTTTCTAATTATTTTATTTATCAACAGGATTGGCTACCAAACGAAAAATCCGCAATTTCAGTTCGTGATTTCAGTGGTCCGAGAGAATTGGCGGAATTTATTGAGAAAATATCGTCAAATGAAACATTGTACAACGATTATTTGTCACATAAATTAATTGACAAATTCTCCTCTCTAACTAATGAGCGACTCCTCACTTTATATCGAAATAATCCGCAGGGCTTTGATTTTTTGGACAGTCTCAACGATTTTGAATGCCACGTTTGCAAATCGGTGAGTGTGGAGAATAAAAATGAAAAATACATTATGACCAGAAAACAATTTAATTGCTCACAGCCAATAAGTGCACTTACACAGAAATTAAATCCAAAGAATAGATGGCACGATTGGTGGATTTCGGGAAAATGTGAAGCGAAACTATTAGCATATCACGTTGCAAATAATTTGCAAATTAACGAGACTGCATTTAATGAGGAGACATCACGAATGTACCTGGAAAATAAGTGTTAGAATTATTGAATTTCCTCAATTAGAATTTAAGAAAAATTTTAAAATAAGTAGAAAATATGTAAAGAATACATTTTTTATATTTCAAAGAAGTTTTTTTATCTTTCAAAGAAGGTTATTAAAAATAAAATATATATTTCATACAGATACTAAATTCATTGTCTAGATTCATATAAAAATTAATATTTATTAAACAATTTGCAGTTTTTTAAAAAAGCGTAACATTTACATTAAAAAAAAATTGATTTTAGAACTTAAAAATAAAATTTTCGGTGTATAATTGAAGTGTTATTGTTAACTTTCGCTTTTTTTTTATTTTTGTGCTTTCGTTTGAAGTGTAGGCGCTGGAACTTTCATTAATTCACAAAGATGATTTCTAATTGGTCGCAAATCCTCGACCGGTTTCTCCCAATCGGTTGCATTTAATTCCATGAGTAAATTAGCGAGATCCTCTTCTGAGATATCCATGTCCTCTCCATAGAGAGTGAGTGCCTCGTAAATTCGTGTCGCTGTTGCTTTTCTCAAATATTTGTATTTATTACATAAATAAAGACTCAAGTGAGCGAACGCTTTTTTACTCACAGCACTTCTCACCTACAAAGAAACAAAAGAAAATTTAGAAAAAAGAATTATTCAATTATTTTCAACAACAAAAAATTGTTAATAAAATTCCTTAGAAGAATTCAATTATATTTTCAGTAAATTTTTAATTTATATTCCAAGAAAGAATTTAAATTCTTTTCAAAATAATTGAATTTACATTTTTACATGTTTTATTATTTTGCAGAAAATAATACAGTTCTTCGCAGGAATTCAATTATTTTTATTAATAATCAAAATCTGCGGAAGAATTCAATTATTTTGAATACAATTTTAATAAAATTCTTCATAGAAATTCAATTATTTTCGTAAAGAATAAAATTTTAGGCAGAAATTCAATTATTTTCAAACATTTGATTAAATTTAGTCGCAGGAATTCAATTATTTTAAATATAATTTTAATAAAATTAAGCGCAAGAATTCAATTATTTTCATAAATAATAAAATTCTTCAAATGAATTCAATTATGTTCAAAAATATTAAAATTCTGTAATAAAATTCAATTAGTTTCAATACAATTTTAATTAAATCTCATGAAAGAATTTAATTATTTGCAAAAAGTTTTTAAGAAAATTCTTTTAAACAATTTTTAAATTTTTCTTACAAAAATATTTCTACAAAGAAATTTAATTCTTTTTTGAAAAATTGTATTGCAATATTCAAAACAAAATAATTTTATATAATTTTTTATCGTAATTTTTTAAAATGCAATCAACGGAAAAATTGGAAAAGAATAAAATTTTTCATTTTGAAATGTAACTTTTCTGAAGAATAAGGAAAGTGCAAAACCTGTAATTAGAATTTAGCCAAAGTTTTGAAAAAAGAATCTAAAATTTATAAACAATTATGAAAAAATAAAATCAAATACCTGAAGTAGCTGACAAATAATTTTAATACTGCTCGTGATCATTGTAGTATTGTGCATGACTTTCATTTCCTTTTTCAAAAGACACAGCATTCGAGATGGAATTTCACTAGTGGTGTCATCGAGAATAATTTGAATACTCCCCGAACTGAGAAGTCTATCCAAGAATGCCAATATCGAAGTAATCATTCTCTCATTTTTGTGGCTCTCCTCGCAAATGTCGAGAATTTTATTCGCCAAATCTTTGAGTGTCTCCTCGTCGATTTCTTTCAGATAGGAAAAAAGTGAGAAACTCGAGTATTTCACCAGAGATTCGGTAACACCACCGACGCTAAATATTATTCCCCGAAGAAGATTGTCCGTGTACGAAGGGAATGTTAGCATTTTTATGAATTTTGGAAATGTCACCGCCTCCATTTTCCAATCAACATCCGTGCAATCGTGAGTGGGAAAAATTTTCTTCAACTCCTCATGATAAGGAATATTCGGCAATTCTGGTTCACTATTTTAGAGAAATGAACCAAAAAAGAAAGAGAAACAATTAGAATTCAATTAGAATTATTCAAAAACACCAATAACTTCATTTTTAAATAAATATTTAATCATTATTATTTTTCCACGGAAACTAAGATATTCAAAATTTCTTATTCTATAAAAATTATAAGAATATTATTAGAAAACATGAAGATAGCAATCACTCCGAGTCTTCGACTCGAAGTAATTAATATCTTTATGTTTTATAATGAATAAAGATGATCGAGTAATAAACTCATTATTTTTTATTATAAGAATATCGTGAACTGTAACTTCTTCAAAATTATTTTTATCATTTCAATTCAATTAACATTTTCTAGAATTTTTAATTAAAATTCTTCTTTAAATCAATTATTTCTAATAATTTGAAAAAATTCTTTGAGAATTTTCAAATCCATTTGTTTACAATTCAATTTTACGAGAAATTTCGATTATTCAGAAAGTCTTCAATTACATATACATTAGAAAATAAAAACATCAAATAATTTTTTTTTTAAATTCCATTAAACCTTTTCAAAAAAATTAATTCTACCAAATTGTTAATTAAAAGTACCAAAAATTGAAATTTTGACAAGAATTTTTAAAAAATTTAATTCTTGAGAAGAATTATTTTTCTATCTATTTATAAAGATAATTTGATTCTTGTCTAGAATTTTTAAAAATGTTTCATAAATATTAAAATTCTTCAGAAGAATTAAATTATTTCCAATACAAATTTAATAACATTTATCGTAGGATTCAATTATTTTTATAAATAGTAAAATTCATTCCAAGAATTACATTTTTTTAGAAATAAAAAAATTTTTCTTAGGAATTCAATTATTTTCAATACATTTGTAATGAAATTCTCAGCAAGAATTTAATTTATTTTCATAATTATTAAAATTCTTTAGAAAAATTTAATTATTATTTTTATAAAATTATTTTTATAAAAATTAAAATTCTTCAGAAAAATTACATTATTTTGAATACAATTTTTTAATAAAATTCATCGCAGGAAATCAATTATTCTCAAAAATAATAAAATTCTACACAGAAATTCAATTATTTCCAAAAATTTTGATTAAATTTCGTCGCCTAAATTGAATTATTTTCAGAAATTTTGAAAATTTTTTTAATAGAAATTCAATTATTTACCTAAAAAGAAAATAAAATAGATGAAAAAAATTTAATCGTTTTCAATAGGTACAATTTCGAAAAAAATTTCTTGAAGAAATTCAATTATTTTCAAAAAAATGTTACAAAATTCTTTATAATTCAATTATTATCTAAAATTTTAACCAAAATTAATTTTTATCAAAAACTTGTACAAGAATTTAATTATTTATTTATTTATTAATTTAATTTCTTTGAAAAAATTTAATTAAAATTCTAATTAAATTTATTATATTAAAGAATTTTAAAACAAGTTTTGAAAATAATTGAAAACTTTTTAAAGAATTTTATTAAAATTTTTAAAAATAATTGAATTGATGCGAAGAATTTTATTAAATTTTCTTTAAATAATAGAAAATTTTGCCAAGAATTTTATTAAAATTTTTGACAATAATTTAATTCTTGAGAAGAATTTCTCTATCTATTTATAAAGATAATTTAATTCTTGACTAGAATTTTTAAAAATGTTTGAAAATAATTTATTTTCTGCAAAGTGTTTTATTACTTTTCAAAAGAATTGAATTCTTGTAATGAATTTTGATATTTATTGCAAAATAATTGAATTTTGTAAAAGAATTTTATTAAAATTCCTTAAAATAATTGATTTTAAGGAAAGAATTTTGTTGTTTATCAAGCTAATTGAATTCTTTTGCAGAATTACTTAAAAATTTTGAAAATAATTGATTTTCTGCGATGAATTAAAAGTTATTTATGAAAATATTTGAATTATTGCGAAGAATTTTATTATTTTATTGAATAATAAACAAGATAATCGGCAAAATTTTTAAAAATAATTTCATTTCTTCGAAGAATTTTATTATTTTTGAAAATAATTGAATTCTTGTGATGAATATTGTTACTTTTGAAAATAATTTAATTTTGCAAAGAATTTTATTAAAATTCCTAAAAATAATTTAATTTTGGCGAAGAATTTTCTTATTTATCAAGATAATTGCGTTGAATTAAAATAATAATAATAAAAATAAATTAAAAAAACAGACAATTCGAGGGAAAATCGAGAGGAGAAACAATTTTAATTTTTAAAAACTTGCCTGTGAATTAGAGAATTGAAAATAGCGCCAGCTTGGGCTCTTATTCTGTCGATTCTCTCAACTGCCTGTTGAGCAATCCCACCGATCACACTTGCCATTAAACTCTCCGTCAGCATTCCGGAGAGATTCGCTTGTGAAACTAAATTCGTCAATACCTAAAATAATAATATTTTTGCAAAATTCCAAATTTGAATAGAAAAAAAAATCGAAAGTGGAATATCTATTATTACGTTAACAGCGGTCATTGCAGCTTCTCGAACCCAAGCGCCAATATCCCCTCGACTGTCTGTCGTGTACTCTTTCAGAGCCAGTAAATAACAATCGTACAATTCATTGACGAATCGTTTCCACGTATCTAAAAATGAAACATGAAAAAATTGACAGAAAATTAAATTCCTTATTGTATTAAATTTTTCCTAATTATTAAATTTTTCTGGAAATTTTTGAAAATAATTACCGGAATTTTCAACGCCTAAGGTTTGACAAACCAATGTTAGTGAATGAAGAGCTTCTTTTCGGCTCTCTGCCCATTTTGCCGTTTCATCTGTTATTCGAGTGCAAGCAATCAAAGATTCTATTATATTTGCAGTTCTCTCTTTAATTACAAAAAGCGGAAAGCGTCCTAAAAATAACAAATTTTTAATAAAAAAAATTCCAATTAGGAGAAAAATATAAAATTATCCATTTCTTTAATAAAGAAAACGAAAAAAAAATTACCAATAGCTTGAGCAAAACCAATTCGTAAAATTTGATTGCCCGCTTGTAAATTTTTCAAATAGCGATTAATTATCACACATCTTGTATTTTCATCTGCATGAGCAGTCGCATAATATTCAGCAAAAAATTCTGTATGCGATTCAGCAGCCTTTGATCTTATTGCAAGTACTTCGTGACTCAAACTTTCCTCCAATAAATCTTGCCAATCAGCTGAAAAAAAGAATGTATTATATAAATTTAAGTTAACAATTCCGTTAGCTAGTAAATATTTTCATTTTTCTAAATTTCTGGTAAAAATACTTTTATAGTTTTATTAGGAAAAGCAAAAAGAAATTATTACCAACAACTTCTGTTGAGTGAACCGGGAAATGAATAATAGCGCATTTTTTAATTAAAGTTGCACAAGCCTGTTTCATCAATTCACCGCCTAATCCTTTGAATTGTCCTCTGATTCGAAAGGTTCGCACCATTTTCTTAATTCTATCCACGGCCGTTTGACCTAAAATTAAAAAAAAGTATTTAAAATAAAATTCGAAAAACAGTTCCATTTCGAATTTGGAAAATAATAAATTTTAATTAGACTACTTTGAATAAATAAAATGACAGTTTTTTTTACCGATTGTGATGGTAATATCGTCACGATATTCAGCGTACAATGCCTCGAGTATTTCCCCCGTTGCCAATATCGATCCGTGACGAACGTTCAAATCAATTGAATCGTACATATCCAATAAACTCGGTATCACCGTCTCGACCATATAATGAGGATCGCACGATGTTAAATTATGAAGAGCCTGCAAAATTTTATATTACAAAAATATAAATTTAATACAATTTAATAAAAAAAATTGCAAAATATCATTTGAAATATATTTGTGATCAATACCCTAGCGGCAAGTTCTCTGATTGATGTGTCCCAGTGATTGATTTTCTTCCCAATCAAATGATCAATTAACGGTTTTGTATACTCCTCGAATTGTGCTATGTGAACACTGTAAAGTAAGTTTTACTTTTAAATAGAAAATTGACAGTAAAATTAATAAGAAAAAATATTTGTTAATTAAGTATTTTCTGTAACAATTTATTAATTATTTTCATAAATTATTGAATTATTTTAAATATAATTTTAATTACAAATTTTCATAAAAATTCAATTATTTTCATAAATATTAAAAGAATTCAATTATTTTCATTACTATTAGAATTCTTTACAAGAATTCAATTATTTTGAATACAATTTTAATTACATTCATCGCAATGAATTCAATTATTTTTTAAAACAATAAGATTATTCAGACGAGTAAAAATTTTGAGTAAAATTTTAATAAAATTCGTTGCAAGAATTCAATTATTTTCAAAAATAATAAAATTCTTAGAAGAAATAAAATTATTTCTAAAAATTTAATTAAAATTCATCACAGGAATTCAATTATTTTCATAAATAATAAAATTCTACACAGAAATTCAATTATTTTCATAAATAATAAAATTCAACGCAGGGAATTCAATTATTTCCATAAATAATAAAATTCTATACAGAAATTCAATTATTTTCATAAATAATAAAATTCTACGCAGTAATTAAATTATTTCCAAAAATTTTATTAAAATTCATCTTTGGAATTCAATTATTTCCACAAATAATAAAATTCTACGCAGAAATACAATTATTTTTAAAAATAATAAAATTCTATACAGAAATTTAATTATTTTCATAAATAATAAAAATCTTACAGAAATTCAATTATTTCCAAAAATTTTATTAAAATTCATCTTTGGAATTCAATTATTCACACAAATAATTAAATTCTACACAGAAATTTAATTATTTATATAAATAACAAAATTATTCACAGAAATTCAGTTATTTTTATAAACTTGAATAAAATTCTTTGGAAGAATTAAATTATTTTTAAAAGTAATAAAATTCTTCGCAGAAATTCAATTATTTCCAAAAATTTTATTAAAATTCATCTTTGAAATTTAATTATTTACACAAATAATTAAATTCTACACAGAAAATCAATTATTTTTATAAATAATAAAATTCTAAGCAGAAATTCAATTATTTTCAAAAATATGATTAAAATTTGTTGCAAGAATTTAATTATTTTTATAAATAATAAAATTCTACTCAGGGATTCAATTATTTACAAAAATTTTATTAAAATTCATCTTTGGAATTAAATTATTTCCAAAAATTTGATTAAAATTTGTTGCAAGAATTTAATTATTTTTATAAATAATAAAATTCTATGCAGGGATTCAATTATTTCCAAAAGTTTTATTAAAATTCATCTTTGGAATTCAATTATTTCCACAAATAATAAAATTCTACACAGAAACTCAATTATTTTTATAAATAATAAAATTCTACGCAGAAATTCAATTATTTCCAAAAAATTGATTAAAATTAGTCGCTGAATTGAATTATTTTCATAAATAATAAAATTTTACACAGAAGAATTTAATAATTTTCATAAATATTAAAATTCTTCAGATGAATTCAATTATTTTCTATACAATTTTAACTGAATTTATTGGAAAGAAATTAATTCTTTTCAAAAATGTCCATTAAATCGTTTTAAAATAATTGAATTATTTTCGAAAATTTGAATAAAATTCAATGTAAGAATTAAATTATTCAAATTTACAAAACCTGTCGGATGCAACTCTATTTAAAATTTTTTTTAATATTCAAAAATATTCAACAAAAATTGTTATCAATTGGTTTAAGAATATTGTAAAAATATTACAAAATTAAATTGTAAAACAATTTTTTAAGGATTGTTTACTGTAATAAAAATTTTAAAAAAGCATGTTGCATTCTTGCAGGTTTCACTGAAATGATTTTTATATAATTTTTATACATTTGAAAATTTTTGTAATCTGATTAGACGTTTCATGAGATTTCCTTGATTTCATGGAATCAAAGGGAAATTCCATAACAATTTCTTGATCTCCAGGTGTTTCGTGACTTGTAGAAACTCTGTATATTCTTTTTTTTTACAAATTCATTTAAATGAATTATTATTATTAATACTATTATTTATTATTTGTTATTGTTACCTAATTTTTAAAAAAGCATTGCTTCTAACTCCAACTTCAAAATAATCAGCAGCTGTAAAAATGTCAATTCCATGAGGGAAATTTCCCTGACGTCCGACATTTTCTTGAAAGGCAGCCGAAGCTGCTCGTCGACAGTTAATCTAAAACAAAGTTTATAATTTTAATTATTATTATTAATTGTCAATCGATGAATTAAGTAATAATATTAATTATTACGAATAATTTTTTTCCTTGGAAGAAAATAATTTCTCTCAGTTTAAAAAAATTTCTTACTTCTCGATCGAAACATGTGACTGTGAGTAAAGTAGCGGCAATTTCCTTCACGTGCGGCAGAAAAACATGAGGTTCAAAGGCCCTTGCAAACGACCAGCAAACATAGCATGCGGCATCTCTTATAACCGATCCAACTGATCCGTAAGCTCTGGGTTCGTCGAATACAAGAGCTTGAAGAACGAGGGGAATTACGTGTCTCAATTGATGTGGTAAAAGCAAACCTCTTCTACCTAGAAAATTAATCAGCAATAAAATTTTTAATTTATTTTTTTATAAAATTTAAAAAATTAATTCCGTTTAATGCTAAATAAATTTATTTATTTATTTATTTAATTTCATTTAATTTGTTTTGATAAAAAGAAAAATGTTAAATAGATTTATTTTCCTAACGATATGGAATTAAAAAAATACAATTACCAAGTTCGGCCAAAGCCAGACAACCACCATGCCAGGCAGAATCTGATTCGCGACCGGAAAAAAGATTTAAAACAAAACCCACAACGTCATCGGCTAAATCAATCGGCAATCTTGCTGTTATTCTCCCAATGCCTTTAGCGGCCGACCATCTTCGAAAAAAGAAAATTTTACATTCAAACCATCTTTGAAAAAGGAAAATTTTTAATTCAAACCTTCTACCAAAAAAGAAAATTTTTAACTTTTAAATTCAAACTCAAATACCTAATGACGATCGCCTTGTCACGCATTCCTTGAATTAAATATTCAAAGATATCTTCAATCACAGGCGGAATGTCTTCGTCTTCAATTTCAGAATCCATTTCTGTTTTATTAGTTTCAACAGTAACTTCGGCGATCGTTGTTTTCGGGACGCTTGAAACTAAACTAATCGGTTTGCTCGCTCGTTGATATCGCCAAGAAGCAAGTTTTGTTCGTAATAAAACAAAACCTGAAAGAAATTTCATTGAAATTCAATATTCAAAAAATTGTATTAATTATAAAAAAAAATATTAACAATAAAAATACAGTCGACTCTCGATAAATTGAATCACAAGGACTAAAATAGTTGGTATAATAAATTTATTAAAATTGATCAAAAAATAGTTTTAATTCTCACCAATTCGTTGGACAACTTTCATTGCGAATTTTCTAACGAGCACATCAGGAATGTCATTCAATTTAATTTTAAGAGTTGTATCCAAAATTCTTTGTGCGTACGGCTTTAAATCTTCACGGGCGCAGTGCTTTAAAATTGACGCTAAAACCGCCAAAGATCCATGTTTCGATGAATCTTCTTCCAGGCACTAAAAAAAAAATTGAAAATTTATTTCAAATTTTAACTGACTCATTAAAACTGACTGAAGATCAATTTTTTCTTTAAGCAAAAATAAAAATTTTTCTCACTTACAAAAAAATGACAATTTTTACAAGTTTTTCTTAAAAAATAAGGAGAAAAGGAGAGAAAATTTATGATTTTAGGTGATTTTTTTTAATTTATTGGAATAAAAAATATTAAATAGATAAAAATTACTGGTAAGGAAAAATTTACTTTACTTTTAAACACCACATGATCATTTCCTCCAAAAATAATTTTTTCACATCTGACCGTGTGAGAAAATTTGCAATTAAAAATACAGCTGCAATCGAGCAAGAATCTTTTGAGAAACAGTAAAGTTGACAAATTCGCACAATTCTGTAAAATAGAGAAATTAAATATATTTCTTAGTTTGTTTAACAAACAGAATAAAAAAAAATTCACTCACCTCACGATAATTGTTTTCTCCGGATCAATTTGTTCATCAGTTTCCAATCGCGATAAAGGAAATGGAATTTTTGAAATTATCGATAACCAAATTAAAAGAACGTATCTTGTTTCCCATGTTTCGATGTCAGTTGTATCCTGTTTTTCCAGCATTCGCAGAACCGGTAGAAGATCCATTACCTTTTAATAAAGTAAAAGTGAAAAAGAATAAATTAAATTAATAAAAAAAAATTGTTATTTATGCAAATAATTGAATTTTGCAAAGAATTTTATTAAAATACATCAAAATAATTGAATTCCTGTGAAAAATTATAATATTTTTGTAAATAACTGAATTCTTCTAAAGAATTTTAAAAAAACATTTTTTTTTTACAATTTACAATTTTCTTTAATTGTAAAATTATTCGAATTTTTTTATTACTTTTAAAAATAATTTAATTCTTCCAAAGAATTTTATTCAAGTTTATAAAAATAACTGAATTTCTGTGAATAATTTTGTTATTTATATAAATAATTGGATTCATGCAACAAATTTTACTCAAGTTTATAAAAATAATTGAATTTCAGTGAAGAATTTTATTTTTTACATAATTCAATTCTTGCGACGAATTTTATGAACATCTTTTTAAATAATTGATATTTTTCGAAAAATTTTATGAAATGTTGTATTTTAAATAATTGAATTCCTGTGAAAATAAATACTTATGAAAATAATTGAATTATTTCGAAGAAATTTATTAAAATATTGAATTTCTGTGGAATTTTGCCAAGAATTTTATTAAAATTTTTAAAAATAATTGAATTTCGATGAAAATTTTTATTATTTATAAAGATACTGGAAATTTTGACAAGAATTTTTCTTTAATTTTTGAAAAATTTTATGAAATCTTGTATTTTAAATAATTGAATTCCTGTGAAATTTTGCCAAGAATTTTATTAAAATTTTTCTAAAATAATTGAATTTCGGAGAAGAATTTTATTATTTATAAAGATAATTGAAATTCTGACGAGTTTTTTTTTTAATTTTTGAACATAATTAAAATTCTGCGAAGAATTTTTATAACTTTTGAAAATAATTGAATTTCTGGAATTATTTGTAACTTTTGCAAAATTCAATTTTTTTTACTATTTTTAATTAAAATTCTTCTATCAATCTATAGTATTTATGAAAATTGTAAAAATTATTCATTAAATAATTTATAAGTCATAATTTTATGATAGTTCTTGAAAAATTCAGTTATTTAAAAAGAAATTATTGTCAGAAATAGAAAAAATTGAAGGTTTTGTATTAAAATTCGTGGTAATTTCATAGTTTATGAGGCAAACAAAAAAAACATCAAAATTAAGAATTGAATAGTTGCAAATAAATTTATTAAAATTTTCAAAAATAATTGAATTTCTGAGAAGAATTTTATTATTTACGAAAATAATTGAAGTGAAGAATTGTATGAATTAATAAAAAAAGAATTATATTCATTTATAAGTGAAATTTTCTATTTATTTACTAGAAAAATTTAATTTACCTCGTGTGGAAGATACGTGACAATTTTCTTGTAAGTCTTAACCGACATGAGAGTGTACAAATATTTAAAAACATTATGCTTCACACTGTCGGCAATATTTTCATTTTTAACAATTTCCAGCATAGGATCCAAAATATTTTCAAGATGCGGATCCAAAAGATGAGGTTGATCTTGATATTGAGTTAGAATATATTTGAATTGTTCTCTATTCTTTTCCACATTTCGAAATGGTAAATCGGGTTCTCTCAATTGTTTAATGAGAAAATTAATTTCATCAATTTCTTTAAAAGCATTAAAACCACAACCGATACTCTCGAGATCTGGACCTTCGCTCAAGACCATTTTTGCTTATTTTTGTTTTTATTTTCTCGAAATGATAACACTTTTTCTTTAAAAACTCATCACAATATTAGTTACCACTAGAAAATAATTTAAATATTGTTAATGGTAAATAAATTAAAAATTAAATCTTAATCATAGAGAAAAAGCTTTCTATATAAGAAGATTGACAAAATTACCTTTTCTGTTTGTTAAAAACAATTTTATAACGTGAAACAATTTTTATTCAAATAACTCGTAGTTTGTTAATATTTAAACATTTGTATTTAAATCATTTAATTAAAAACCTTGAAAATGACAAATTGACATCAGCAAACGTCAAACTGCGTCAAAGTTTTACATCGAGCAGACGACACATTCGACCTTGAAAGCTAACCATTTAATTTTTCTCATTTTTCTTAAATTCAATAATAAAGAAGTAAATTCTATTCGTGAGGATTTGAAATTATACCAGAATGTTTTCGTAAATACAGTAATTTTTCATTATAACAATTGATTAGTCTAATTATTACCGAAAAAAGTGTTAAAAATGTTTTAAAAAAAGTAAATGATGTTGATTGTTTGCTATTGCGCAGACGCAGAAGATGGCGCTCACTTTTGTGGCGCGAATTTTTAAACTTCAGTTTTAATTATTAATTAATAAATAAAAAAGAACATAAAAAATAATTAATAAAATATTAATTATTACCTTAATTTGTTATATTCTTCATTTTGTTTATTCTTTTTAATTAATTAATTTATTTATTTATTAATAATAATATTAATTCAAATTTAATACCATTATTATTATTTTTATTAACAATCATTAAAAAATGATATTAAAAAACAAAAGTTTTATGTTTAAAAAAAATCACGAACGTCAGAAAATTGAGATTCTTTTTTTTTATTTCGGCTCAAAATTATGTCAACCTAAAAAATATGTTTTTTCCCTAAATTCACAATTTGATTATCAAAAAAATAATTCTTAACCAAAAATCACAAAAATAAGTTCAAAGTTCAAATAAAAATCCTATTCTGACTGATCTTGTCATTTTTTTTCAATCAATCATGAAACTTTGTTTTCCAATTTCCCCACAACTGTTCAGCAGGTAATGATTATTTTCAAAAATATTTATCAGTGATTATTAAAAAAAAAGTATTTTTCATAATAAGTGAAAATTGAAAAATAATTATATCTTTAAATATTTCTATTTATTTTGAAAATATTTTACAGTTTTCTTTTTTCGAGAAATATTTTTTTGAATATAAAAATTAACAAATATAACAATAACAAGAAAATGACACAGTAGAAAATGTTCTCAATTATTATTATTATTATTATTATTCGTCACCGAAGACAATTTTTTTACCTTGAAATCCAATTTTCAAAGCGTCCTGCTGTTTCTTTTTCGCCACCCACGATGGATGTAAATGTTCTTCAGATTTTTTCTCAATTTTCGCAGAATTCTGTCTTAATTCCAAATCCCTTCGTTGTTTTCTATTTGGTTCAAAATTATTTTGTGAATTTCTCTGATTATTTCCATCTGTTGATTTTGATTGATAATTTTGATCCTGTGATTTTTTCTGATAGTTTCTATCCTGTGATTTTTGTTTCGATTTTCCATGAGAATTGTGAGATTTATTATTATCAAGATTTGAAAAGAAACTTTCATTTTTACTGCGTGAAAATTTTTTCCCTACATTTCCTCTATCATCAGCATTGTGCTCGTAATGTTCTTGATTTGAATTGGAAATTTGTTTCTTTGGAATAACGATACTCATATAATTACTATCGCCATTTGCCGTTGTAAAAAAACTGTCCTCTTCTTTTTTCAAACCGAGTTGTTGGAATTTTTTATCGACTTTTGGTTTTTTTGTTGTCTCCGATTTATTTTCTTGTTCAGTTAATAATTGGGAGAATTTTTTTACAGTCGCCTCGTCACTCACTGGATGAATTTCCCTTTCTTGTTTTATTTCCGTTTTGGATTTTTTCTTTTTTAATTTCTCATCATTATCATTGTCGTCGAATTTTGACGATTTTCTTTTATTTTGTCTGGAGAGGGATTTTTTTGTCGAGGTTTTTTCGTTTTTGATTTTTTCATTTTTTGGGGAATCTTGTAAATTTTTTTGCGATGGTTTAAAATTTTTAATTTTCGAATTTGAGGATTTTTTTGTTTTTAAGGATTTTTTCTCTTTCGTTGCTTTCGAATTTTCTGGGTTCTCGTCGTCTTCGATTTCTTCGTCGTCTGTATTTTTGGATTCTTCTTCGTCGTTGTCATAAATTTTTTCCCTCTCGCTTTCTTCTGATTCTTCTGAATTTTCTTCTTCGTCGTCGTCGCTGTCGTCATCACTTTTTTCCGACAATTCGGAATTTTCCTCTTCTTCTTCATCACTTTTATTTTTTTCTAAAATTTTTGTATCATTTTCAACTTCCTCTTCTTCTTCATCTTCTTCTTCTTCTTCCTCGTCCTCATCTTCTGATTTTTTATCCTCATCATCAGAATTTTCTTCCTTTTTCTTCTTCTTTTTCTTATTTTTCCCAATTTCCTCATTCTGCGCTTCGGCATTTTTCTTCTCCTTCTCCTTATTCTTCAATTCCTTTTTCACAGCTTTCATTTCCTGTTTCATTAATTTTTTCCTGCCAACTCCCAAATATTGTTCGTAATCGGGAAATTTCTCTTTCAATGCAATTACTCGTTCCTTTAATTGGGGAAAATCGGCAAATTTCGCAGTGACACGAAGTGTCTCATCAGACGATGGTTCATTTAATATTGAATACAATGTTCTTTCATTATTAATAGCAAATTTTGTCACCTCATCGTCACGAATTTTTTTCGCCGCCATCACTTCGTTCTGAAGTCTCTCGGCTCGTCTTTGAAATTTTGACACTTTCTTCTCATCGCCACGTTTTTCGCGCAAAATCTTTATTTCCCTCGTTAAATTGTGTATCACTCGAACTCGTGATTTTCGAACTAAATGCCTCAGTGAAACGATCTAAAAAAATGAAATTTTTGGAAAAATTAATAATTTTATTTATTTTTATGAATTTATTCTATTTATTTATTTTTATTATTATATTTTAAACATTTTAAACTAGCAAATGCTACTCTTGAACGTAATACCTAAACAAACTTATTTCAACTCAAAATTTTTAGGACAAATGTGATAAAAACTATATTTTGAAAAAAATGAATAAGAGAATATTATAGTCTAAAATATTATTAATCGATCGAAAATAAATTTCCAACAGTATTTAATATTTAAATTAAAATAAATAAAAATTGAATGTTTCCAACGTTTCCAAAAAAAGTGTCAAACATAACCTCAAAATTCTTATTTTGAAAAATCGGAACTAAAGAAAAATGACAATCTGAAGAAAATTTGAAATACTCACCTCGTTGTTAATTTCCTTTTTACTCATTTTGGAAGTTATTTTAATTATTCTTTTCTATAATTATGATATAGATTTATAACATTTATAATATTTATTTTGTTTACAACGTTGACACGTTTTTTTTCTTGTGACATTGACAACCCTGGCGGCGAAAATTTGAATTAAATATCAATTGTCGGTAAGACAGTTTTCTCTCTTATTCAAATCAATAACATAACCTAAAATTCGTTTTTTCCTTTCAAAATAAAAAAAGATTTAATTTCAATTACACGTGTTTGAAACGTTTGAAACAATCGTTTGAATCATTTAGTGAAGAGATAAATAAAATTAACTGTGACATCTTTTCTCTATCAATAAAAAAACTAAGAAAACAAACAAAATGCTCAAGGACGAAAGTTGGACGTTAAAATAAAATTGATTAAAAATACGAGAACCATGAGATTTATTTTCTATTAAACAACTAAATAGGTGACGTATATATATATATATATATATATATATATATATATTATATTATTTTGACAATGAAAAAAAATTATGAAATCTATGAAATATATCGTATAATTTGGCAAAGCTGGCAATGTTTTCGAGGTTAGCATAGTTTTTTCTTTCTACACGTCTGCACTTCATTTTTGAAACAGGTGTCGCTGTTATCGAAAATTCCAGTCGTGAAATTGGGTTTGGGGAACGCCAGGGGAACAATTTTTTTTTTTTTAATAAGAGGACCCTTTGGCGAATCATTTTTTGGAATCCTTCCGTACTGTATACGTTTTTTTTGCACGTCACACACCGCAGGTAAATTCCATAAATTGATAAAGTTGCGTGATTAGTGAACTTTATTTCTCTCTCGATTAAAAAAAAATATATTTTCATTTGATTCATTTCATTCATTTTATTATCGCATGAGACCGCCAAAGTGGGAGTAATAAAGAAGAAGAAAAATGCAATATTATATGTAGTGCTTCATCTTTGACCTTCAATGATATGTATATATTTTTTTTTCTTTTTGTTTTCTTAAATTAAAACGTGTCTTGTTAATCCAATTTGTTTTCATTCGATCGCGATGTGTCAAATTTTTGGCTGATAAAATTAATACCTTTATATCCTTGTGTTTAAATTCAAGACCAATGTACTTTTGACAGCTGCGTGGTTTATTATTTATATTTGAGAGAGTGTAGTTTTTAGATCATTGTTTTATAGGGGAAATATTATTTCACAAATTTTTTCTAGTTTCTTTAAAAGTTATTTTTTGTGATTTATAATTTTGTTAATGTTTGTAAATCAGTTGCGGTAAATGCAGAATTTCCAAGGTTAATAGTGTGTTTTAAATCGAAAAAAAACGTAAGTTTAAAAAAACCTTGTTTTTTGTTTTAAAAAAAAATATTTTTTTTTGACGTGTTTGGAAAAATTGGACGGAATTAATAATGAATATATTGAATTGTTGTATTTAATAAGAGTAAAATAAGAGTATATAATAATAAAGTGCGACGATTTTGACGTGTGAGAAATAGCAATCAGCTGATTCTCCCTTCCATGAATTTTGGTGATACAAAATAACCTATTTTGACATTATTACAATGAGTTTATCGATTTCTTTGTTGCATGACTTGTTTACGAGGATTTTTTATTCTTATCTCGTAATGATTGTTGCAAATTTTTCTTAATTGTTGAAATTTTTAATTAGTTACTTAATTTTTTTCTTGTTTTTTCTATTTTTTTGCTCTTAGCACATTTGCTCTAGTTTTGTAATACTTGTTTGTTTGTCATAATTTATTATAATTGACGCTTGTTATTCGTTTGTTTTAAACTTGTTCTTATTTAACTGTTTAATATTTATTTCTCTAAATTTGTTTTATTATCTAACCTAAAAAAAAGTTTTTATTTCTTTTTTAATGTTTCGAATTCGTTAATATTTTTATTAATTTTATTAATTATTTTGTCCAAGATTGAAATTTTTTCTCAGAACGACTATATAATTTTTTTATATCGAATTATAATGGTTTATTTCGTTTTTAAGTGATGCGTAAATATTTATAGCAGTATAAAATTTGAAGCAAAACAAGTTTTGTTGTGATCGCATGAACTTGAGGTAGAAATCTAAATATAAATTGCAAATTATATAGTTAATAATTCTATATTTGCAATGAGCTATACAGCAAAAATATAAATACAAAATGCATGTATATTGTTATCAAGATCAAAATTTTTTGTCCTCCAGTGAATCGGTTCCTTTTGATTTTTTTACTCCAAAATTTTCTGATTTAATTTTTTACCCCTTTTTATGAATTAATAAATAACGAAACTTATTTAGTGAATAAAATTATTTTAAGTTAAATTTTAAATTAATTCTTATTGATATTTGTAATCTAATTAATTCTAATTTGTAATACTTTAATTATAATTAATTTTTTTTAATCAATATGAAATTAAAATTTTTGGTAATAATTCCAATTTTCATATTTTTTAGTAGCTAATTAATTTAATTAATTTAATAAATAATAATAATAAATATAAATAATTTATTAATAATAAAATAACTTTATTTTTTAATAAATAATTTTGAAAAATTTTGTTCCAGACGTAGCTTTGAATAACATCGTTCTTCAAATTTAGTTTCTTTTTAATAAAACAACACCAAAAAAAAGGAAAAAACAGTGATTTTTTCACTGAATCAGCAACAATGAGTTGTGCCCGATGTTGTTTAGTTGGTGTCAGCCGATTAGCTTCCTCTAATCATGTCGCAAATCACGGTGAGAAGTTTTACTTTTTTATTACTTTTAAAATTAATAAATTAAAATAGAAACATTTTTTTGAAAATTAACTTAAGTAAATTAAATAATTTGAAATTTTTTTAATTAAATTTAAATTAATTGATTTTTTTGAATTAAATTTGAATGAATTGATTTTTTTGAATTAATAAATAAATAAATTGTTTTCTTTTTCGACAGTACATAAAATAGTTAGGGTTGTGGCTTCTCGTCCAATTTGCACGACTGGAATTGTTAATAAAATTCCAACAGAGCCAACAACTCCAAATAAGGACGCAGGAGCGAGTACAACTGGGGGGACAACTGGAAGAGATGGTGGTGGTGGTGGCGGTAAAAAAAATACGTTAACTTGTCCGAAATGTGGGGATCCTTGTACACATGTTGAAACATTCGTCTGTAAGTATTTCGTATTTTTTTTTACAAGTTAGAAAATTATTTACTGTATTTTTAAAAACAATAAAGATACTCTAAAGTTGATAAAGAATATAAAAAATACACTAATTAATTAATTATAATTTACTACTTATTTATGTTTTCTCTTTACTATTTATAATATATTTGCGATAGATGAAATAATTAAAAAATTGAATTTGTGAATTTATTAAATTAATGAATTTATTGAGAAACTAATTAATTTTTGATGTTTTACAGCTTCAACGAGGTTTGTAAAGTGTGAAAAGTGTCATCACTTTTTTGTCGTATTGTCGGAAATTGACTCGAAACGAAGCTTAAAGGAGGCTTTAAGACCAGAGGAAACGAAGCAAGGATTTTATAGAAAACCCCCACCGCCCCCCAAAAAGGTAAAATAATTTTACGCCCTTAGAATAAGTTTTATTTTATCAAAAAACAAAAATTGAATCGTCTTTTATTGAATTTATATAAAGGAAGACTTTTTCTCTAATTATTTTATTAATATGATTTAATAACAAAAAATCAAATAAAGAACTTTGGAAAAATAAAGAAATAAAAGAAAAATACGAAACTGAAAAAATATAGAACTTAGAAAAATAAAGAACTAAAAGAAAAATATAAAAACTGAAAAAATACAGAACTTAAAATTTGTAGATTGAATGTTTTTGTTTCGAATTTTTAATAAAAAAAAGAACGTTTTATTTTCTGTTTTCGCAGATTTACGAGTATTTAAATAAGCACGTAGTGGGCCAGGAGTACGCGAAAAAAGTTCTAAGCGTGGCTGTTTACAATCACTATAAAAGAATTCACAATAATCTTCCTGTACAAAATTCAGGACAATCGAATGCCAATCCAGTTGGCAATCAAGATCTTAATCATCCGTTCACTCATAGAGGTCTTAAAACACGTAAATAAACATTATACCATAGCTTCGCGATTCAATTATTATGAAATATTTTTAATATTTATATAAATGAAATTTTATTTATTATGAAACTAAATTTTGCAAATCAATTTTAATCCTAAAATCATTTTTTTTCTAATTTGCTAAATTGTATTTTTTGTTATTTTGTTTCTGTTCGATTTTAGTCATTTTTTTTTTGCAAATTGGGAAATAAATGATAAAATTTTTCGAATAGTGGTTAAAAAAATTAAAAATTCGTCTATATTTCAATTGTTTGACTAAATTTATATTGATTGATATTATTATTACTAAATTATTATTCATTATCACTATTCTTTTTATTATTTTTGTTATTATTACTATTCTTTTTATTATTATCGTTATTGTTGCTATTCTTTTTATTATAATCATTATTACTATTCTTTTTCTTATCGTTTCTTTTTCTTCTTATTATAATTATTACATATTATTATTATTATTATTATTATTATTATTATTATTATTATTATTATTACTATTATTAATAATATTTTCTTAATATATTATTATTTTTACAGGCCTCGGATATTAAAACTTTTTCGATATTTTTCGATTATTTTCAAAAATTACAAATTATGTGAAAATATTTTTGAAAACAATAATTCTTAGATCTTTTGTATTCTAATTTTTCAAAATTCAATTATTCGCAATATTTTAAATTACATATTTCCGAAAATTTAAATACATGCCAAAAAAATAATAATATTAAAATTTTTTACAATTATTTTTAACATTTTGGAGAAAACAATCGTGTTAAATATTTTTAATTAAAATTCTTCAGAAAAATTTGTTTTTTTAAAATTATACAAAATTTTCCTTAAGAAATTCAATTATTTTCGATAAATTATATTAGAATATTTAAAAAAAAAACTAATTCTTAGAACTGAATTGTTTTTATCATAATTTTTTAAGATTCAATTATTTTCGAACAAAGGCAATTAAAAATTTTTCAAAATTTTCGTTTTTAGACTTATTACAATTTCAGAGAAATTATTCTCTTGTTTGTAATTAAATTTCTTCAAAGTTTTAAACATTTTTTTATTATATTTTTCAAAAATTCAGTTACTTTTCAAAGATTTTATCAAATTTCAATTATTTTTAAAAGATTTTACTATAGATTTCGATTATTTTTAAAAGATTTTATTAAATTTCAATTATTTTCAAAGATTTTGTCAAATTTCAATTATTTTTAAAAGATTTTACCAAATTTGAATTATTTTATAAAAATTTTACCAAACTTGAATTATTTTTTTTTAAAGATTTTAACACATTTAAATTGTTTTTTTTAAAAAGATTTTACTAAACAATAATTTTTTTTTAAAGATTTCAACGAATTTTAATTATTTTTTTTAAAGATTTTACCAAATTTCAATTATTTTTTTTAAAGATTTTACCGAATTTCAATTATTTTTAAAAGATTTTACTATAGATTTCGATTATTTTTAAAAGATTTTATTAAATTTCAATTATTTTTTTTTAAAAAGATTTCACCGAATTTCAATTATTTCTTTTAAGCTTTTACCAAATTTCAATTATTCATAAAAGATTTTTCCCAAATTTCAATTATGTTCAAAAGATTTTACCAAAAATTGTTTGGAAATTTTGCCAATTGTATAATATAATTGAAAAACTATTATCTTTTAAAAATTATTTAAAAATATTTTCAAAAAATTAATTTTAATAATTTCTTTATAATAATTTTTTAAAAATATATATTTTCTTTAATAACATTAAAAATAAATCATAGATAGTTACAATTGTTATAAAAAAAATTGAATTTTGGCATTTAAATAATTTAATTCTCAACGAACTTTCGGAAAATTAGTAAAAATAATTTATTTGGAGATGAAGTTTAAAATGAAGTTAAAAATTATAGAAAATAATTGACTTTTGAAATGGTTATAGTTCTAATTTTCAGAAGGTTTTAAATTAAAAATTTGTAAAATTTTATTTTTCATAGGAAAACAAATTAAAAGTACCTATTTGAATATTTATTTAAAAAAATTATTATATTTTTGAAAAATTGAATTTGAAAATCAGTGAAAGGGAAAAATCAGGGAAATACAAAATAAAATTTTTGTGACAATATTGATTTAAATAAATAACTTTTTCGACTTTTTTAAAAATATTTTTAATCGACTAAAGCTACTTTTTTGCGGCGTAAAGTTGATCCGAGGCCTGATTTTATTATTGTTGTTATTATTATTATTATTATTATTTTACTATTTTTATTTTTACTATTTTTATTTTTTTTATTATTTTTATTATATTACTATTTTTATTATTATTATTATTATTATTTTATTATTATAAATGAAATTTGACTTTAATAGAAGAATAATTTTGTTGTTTCCATTTTCGCAGATTTATTGCATATATCAAACATTGGAAATCCATTGGGCGTGGGCTTTCAACAAGTGTCGCAAACAAATGAGCAACAAGCAAAATCGGGTTCACAATCGACATTGGGCTCCGATATTCTTGACAGTAAACAACATCAATTAAAATTGGAAAAAAGTAATATACTTCTATTGGGACCAACGGGCTCGGGAAAAACTCTACTCGCCCAAACGATAGCACAATGTTTAGACGTTCCATTTGCAATATGCGATTGTACAACATTAACGCAAGCCGGCTACGTTGGCGAGGACATTGAGAGTGTAATAGCAAAATTATTGCAGGACGCAAATTATGTCGTTGATCGAGCACAAATGGGAATTGTCTTTCTCGATGAGGTGGATAAAATTGGTGCCGTGCCTGGTATTCATCAGTTGCGCGACGTTGGCGGCGAGGGCGTGCAACAGGGAATGTTGAAAATGTTGGAGGGAACAATTGTCAATGTACCTGAGAGGAATAGTTCACGTAAATTACGCGGCGATACATTACAAGTGGATACGACAAATATTTTGTTCGTCGCATCGGGCGCTTATAATGGACTCGACAGGCTTGTCTCGAGGCGTAAGAATGAGAAATATTTGGGTTTCGGTGCAACGCCAGCGTCGGAGAGTCCCGGCAGGAGGGCGGCTAATTTGGCCGATGTGGCGAATATGTCGCCATCAACTGAGGACGATAATCGTGAGAAGGATATTTTATTGCGACAAGTGGAGGCGAGGGATCTCATTGATTTTGGTATGATACCGGAATTTGTCGGCAGGTTTCCCGTTCTCGTTCCGTTTCATACTTTAAATAAAGAGATGCTCGTGAGAATATTGACCGAGCCGAAGAATGCCATGGTTCCTCAATACCAAATGTTGTTCTCCATGGATAAGGTAAAGGAATTATTCATTCTTCTATTTAAATAATAGTTTTGTTCAAGAATTTTATTCCTGAATTTTATTCTTATATGGATAAAATTCATTCAAAATTCAATTATTTTCATAAATAATAAAAATTCCACAGGAATTGAATTATTAAAAAAAAAAATTGAAAAGATTTATCCAAAATTCAATTATTTTCATAAATAATAAAATTTTCACAGGAATTCAATTATTTAAAGAAAAATTAAAACGATTTATCCAAAATTCAATTATTTTCATAAATAATAAAATTTCCACAGGAATTCAATTAATTTAGAATAACATTTTCAAAAAAGTTTCGAAAAAATCAATTATTTAACAAATTTTTATTCAATTCTTCACGATAATTTAATTACTTTCATTAATAATAACATTTTTCATGGAAATTCGATTTTTTAAAAAAATGCTTTATAAAATTCTAAGCAACAATTCAATTATTTTCCAAAATATTTTAATAAAACTCTTCCCAAGAATTCAATTATTTATATAAATAGATCTTCCAAAGAATTCAATTATCAAAGATAAATAACAAAATTATTCCTAAAAATTCAATTATTTTGAGGCATTTTAATAAAATTCTTTGCGAAATTCAATTATTTTCATAAATAAATAACAATATTCATCGCAAGAATTCAATTATTTTTAAAAGTAATAAATTTTTTCTTGAAAATTCAATTATTTTAAAAAATTCTAATAAAATCGTTCGCAAAAATTCAATTATTTTCATAAATAACAAAATTTCAATTTTTTTAACGTTTATAATTTCGAATCTGAAACAATTTAATTCTTGCATGGAATTTTATTAAAAAATTTTAAAAGAATTTGAATTTTATCCAAGAGATTTGATTAAAAACTTAAGAAAATAATTAAATTTCTTTAAGAAATTGAATTAAAATTGTTCTGAAATTAATTGAATTCTTCTCAAAAATTGTTACCAATGTCCTTGTAAATAATTGAATTAATTGAAGGAATTTTATTAAAATATTTAAGAATTATTGAATCCTATAAAGAAATTTATAAAAAGTTATATATATATTAATAACAATTGAATTCTTTCAATGAATTTTACTAAAATTTTTTAAGGAAATGCATTCCTATGAGAGATTTTATTAAAATTGCATTACAAATAATTGAATTTTCTCTAATGAATATTGTTATTTATGAAAATAATTGAATTCTTGCCAAGAATTTTATTAAAATTTTCGAAATTAATTTAATTGCTTTGAATAAATTTATCAAAATCTTTTGATATAATAATAAAAATTCTTACAAACAATATTTTAGAAATAATTGAATTCTGGAGCTTTTTATTGGAATTTTTTAAAATAATAAACTTTTTCGTGGAATTTAATAAAAAATTGTATTGCAAAAAATGGAAATCATATACAGAAATTTGTAAAAAAAATTTCAAAATAATTAAATTAGAAAAATCTTATTAAATTTGTATTGCAAATAATTGAACTTTCTTTAACAAATATTTTTATTTATAAAAATAATTGAATTCATCTGAAAAATTTTATTATTCTTTCGTTTCTTTACAAACGAAATAATTTTTATTTAATCATTTATTTTTAATTTATTGAAAGATAAATAAATAATAATTTTTCTATCGTTATTATATTTGTTGTAAATAAATAAACGACTGTAAGAAATGAAAGAGTAGATATTTGTTTGATAAAATTTTAATTTAAATTGAAAATTTGAAAATAATCTTAATTGAATTTTAAGAAATGAAAGAATAGATATTTGTTTGATAAAAATTAAATTTAAATTGAAAATTTGAAAATAATCGTAATTGAATTTTAAAAAATGAAAGAGTGGATAATTTTTTTGCTAAAATTTAAATTGTTTTGTAAGTAATCGTAATTGAATTTTAAAAAATAAAAGAATAGAAATTTTTTTTTTCGGTCAGAATTGAATATTGGAAATTTTGAAAGTAATCGTAATTGAATTTTTTTTAGGTGGAATTGACATTCACGCCAGAGGCACTGGATGCAATTGCATCGTTGGCAATGGACAGAAAAACCGGAGCGCGAGGTCTTCGTGCAATTATGGAATCACTTCTATTGGAGCCAATGTTCGAAGTGCCAGGAAGCGATGTATTGACTGTTCACGTAACCGAGGGCTGTGTTAGGGGCATTGATAAGCCCCAGTACATTAGAAGAACTGAATCTTCAGATGACGAATTACAACAAGCGCAGCGGGTAAATAATTAGCAAATATTCAATTTAGGGACTTCTTCTGCAAAATTATTTTGAATTCCTATACATACAGAAAAAAAAACAAAAAACAGAAAAATAATTTCAAAAAAAAAAAAATACGCATCATATTTTGCAGAACTATATTCAAAAGTTTCCTCCTCCCTTCTCCCCCTCACTAAAATGCCATCTACTCTAAGTGTTCGAAAAAAAATCTGATTGAGATGAATCTAATCGAAAATACAAATTTTTAATCATTTTAAATGTCTCTTAGTTTCCAACGAATAGTTTATCTGCGGCAGGTGCTTGAATTTCGAACAAGGTTTCTTCAAAAAATTTTCCTTTTTATACACTCAATTTCTTTTTTAATTTCTTTTTAATATCTATTTAATTTTTTTAATTTCAGTATTTATTTCTATTCTTTTTATTTTTTATTTCTATTATTTATTTTTGTTTTTATTTCTATTAATATTGAAATCAATTCTTTTTTTTACATTCAATTTCATTTTTTACTAAATCAAAAACAAAATGTAGAAAATATTTTTAGAATAAACACAAGAAATGATAAATATTTGAAGTAATTTTGCAAATTTGAATTTGTTTTTAAAAAATCATTTTTTAATATTAAAAAACCAATTCTTTTTCTGGGGAATTTCCAGTTGTTAATAGATATTCTTTCATTGCATCGTTATAAACTAATGAACGATACGACAAGATTATGGGAGATGAAGAGGCTGGAAGATCGAAATTCATAGCACCTGAATTAAAAAAGTGAGATAAATATCGACGTCGTGATTTTCAAAAGAAATAAAAAAAAAGTATATATATATAATAATTATAAAAAGTAAAAATAATTATTTTTACGCAAATTCAAACTTAGATAGCTAACATTTTTTGTAATATATTGTACATAGCAAGAAATATAAGTAGAATCATTACGAAAAGAAAAATAGAAGAGAATAATGAGAAAAAAAACGTATATTTAACTCTAAACGAAAAATTTACTCTTTTTTTTAAGGAAAAAAAAATTATCTCGACAATTTTTTTTTTTTATGATCTATTGGAAGAAAGGTATTCTTTTTAAAAAAATAATTGTTATTTTACAATGAAATTATAATATCCAAACAAATTCATTCCTTACTATTGTGGTGTTGATATAATAGTCTAATTTTTTTTCAGAATAAGAAATTTAAACGTAAGCAATTTTCATTTTAAAAACACTTTCTGTTTAATATCACTTTTTCTTAATTTTTTTTTTTTTTACTTTTTTGCTTGTGATTAATAAGTTTTTACAAAATTAATATTATAATTTACGCAAGAAACTTGAGAGAGAAAAAAGGAAAACAATTTTATTGTCAGAGAAATTTGACATTTAATAATAAATAATAAATAAATTAACGAAAAGAATATTGAAACTGAAATTGTTTTTTCTTAGATAATTTTACTATTTAAATTTGTAAATTATTAAATTCATCGAGTAAATTAAATTTTATTTTATATTAATATTTGTATTAAATTTATTAAGATGAAAATTAAATTTTAACTTGATTTAAATATTAATAAGTTTAATTTATTAATATTTAAATTGAAATTATAAATTCATTGAATTAATTTATCGATTTTGTTAATGTCTGAAATTTAAAAGAAATTTTATTTTCTATATATTTGGAATATTTGGAAATAATTGAAATTTAAATTAATAATCAATTTCAGTTTCACTAGAAAAGAAGTTAAATTATAAAAGTGTGATCTAATTTTTGTCGAATTTTGTACAATTGTGTACAAAACTGGATATAGAAAACCATGTGAAATTTATTTATGAAATTAAATATCACTGGTTTATATTATAGCTAATTTACATTGTATGAACTTATATTTATAAATAAATAAAGTTTAAAACTTCCTTCTCGCGCTTTTTTTCCTCTACTTTTTTAATGGTATTTTAAAAAGTTTTATTATTATTTAATACTAGCAAATGCGGTTTTTATTTATTATTATTATGCAAAGTAGAAATTTTTTTCTACAAATAAAAATTTTTATTTACAAATATTAATTTCAATTTTGGAATAATTTCAGATTCAAAAATTAAAAAAAAATTCAATTACATATTAACTAATTTACCTACTAATTAAATGGAAAATTTAAATATACAATTTTTTTTAATTTTAAAAAAATTCTTCGTACGAATTCAATTATTTTTAATAGAATTTTAATAAAATGTCTCAAAAGAATTCAATTCTTTTGAAAAATTAAACAAAAATTTTCGCAAAACTACAATTATTTTTAAAAATTTTGAATAAGAGAATTGAAATATTTTCAATGCAACTTTAATTGAATTCCTAAAAAAATTCAATTATTTACGAAAATTTTAATTGAATTCTTAGAAAGATTTCAATTATTGTCAAAATATATTTATTTTATATATAAAAAAATTATTATTATTATTATTATTATTATTATTATTTTATATATTTTTTTTATATTTATTTTTTATATATTTTTCACTAAAATTTAATTATTTTTAAGAATTTTAATAAAATTCTTCGGAGAAATTCAATTACTTTGAAAAATTTGGATAAAATTATTTATTAGAATTGAATTATTTTCATAATTAATCAAATTCTTCGAAAAAATTCAATTATTTTCGAAAATTGAATTCAAATTCTTCACAAAAATTCAATTATTCTAAAAAAATTTTGATAAAGAGAATTTAAATATTTTTAATGCAACTTTAATTGAATTCCTCGAAAAAATTCAATTTTCGAAAATTTAATTCTTAGCAAGATTTCAATTATTTTCATAATTTATAAAAATTTTACGCAGGAATTTAATTATTTTAAAGAATTTAATTTAAATTTTCTAAGATAATTGAATTTTTTTCGAGGAATTTACTTAAAATTACTTATGAGAATTTAATTATTTTAAAAGAATTTTAATAAAATTCTTCGATTATTAATATAGAAGAAGATAGGTTAAAGAAAAATTAAAACTTTTCTCCATTTCTATTTTTTTTATTATTATCAATTAAATAATCAAATAACAAGTCATTTTCACTTCATCGATTGTTTAACATTCTCCTCGTTCACCAAAACAAAAAAAATCTATTAAATATTTTAAAATTAATAACTACAAAATATTTACAAAGTTGTTAATAAATTCTTCTTTTAATTAATTGTTCTTCCACTTCTTTCTTTCTTTCTTTCTTCATTTTTCTTTTTTGTACCGTAAAATCTTTACAAAGAAGAAAAATTCTTCACTTAGACATAATTTCTGCAAATCGAAAAATTTCCTTTTTTTATTTGATTTTCATGAAAATAAAATTTAGTTTATTTAATTTTTTGTTTTATCAAAGAATTTCTTTATTTTTGTTACACGTTAAACGATTAACAAAAATTACTCCCTTGTGTCAAAAGGAAAATCAAATAAATTTTTTTTTGAAATTTTACATTAAGTTTGAAAGTTATTCCTGTTAGAATGAAAAATATTAATAATAATTATAATTATTATTATTTGAAAAATTACGTATGTTAATTACAATTATTATTTAACACATAAGTGAGTTTTCTTCTTGTTTTCTATTTTTAAAGTCAACTAATTTTCTTTTTAATTTGCTAATTAATTATAATAGCAATAATTTATTATCGAAGATTTTAAAAATAGTGAATAGCAAAAATTATGTGAATTTAATCAATAATTGCTGTGATTCAATTTAGAAGATTTGTTCTTTTACTTTTAGTCGTTTATCACAATTTTCCATTTTTTTCTTTCTATTTTATTTTTTTCTTTCTATTTAATTTTTTATTTTATTTTCACTTTTTATTTCTATTTTATTTTCATTTTTTTCTTTCTATTTCATTTTTTGCTTTCACATTCAAATATCTATTTTTCAACTCAATTTTTATTTCATTTTCAGTTAACAATAAATTTTTCTATTCTTTCATTTTTTGCTTTATATTCTCATAAAATCACAAAGTTCATAAATCTTTAAAACAAAAACAATTTTAAAAAATCATTTTTAAAAATAAATCAGTGAAATTTTAATCAATTTTCATAGACGGTTTACTTTCTAAGGCATTTTTGAAATTTATCAATAAATTATAGAACATTTTCTCGTATACAATGATTATTTTAGAAAAATTGATTTTAAAAAATGCAAAGTTTCTCTATATCCGTAATTTTTCATTTTGAAACAAATATATTTTCTCTTGATAAATTTTCTCTAGATCATAATTTTTATAATTAAAATTTGAAAATTTGTAATTTTTTAAGCAAACAAACGAATTACGATAAATTTAATAATCAATTATCAATATTAGTTAATTATTTTTCATATTATCACTTTTTGATATATTTTTCAAAAAATTGAATCACAGCTTTTTACGAGAGAAAAAAAAATTGTAATCGACAATTCGCTCTTGTAATTCGACTTTTTCGTTCTTTTTTTCCGTTTTTTTTTCCTTTTTTTTTGCTTTAATCCATTTTATATTTCGTTATAGTAAGAATGTGGTGGTGCAACTTTTTGAACGGGTTTCGGTCTCAGAATAGAGGTGAGTTCAGTGAGAATCCATTTGGTGGCTCGCAATACCATAAAATGAACGGCAAATTGAAGGACAAGAGCTCCAAAACCTTTATACAATCCAAGTGGTCCTTCAGTGGCAATTATTGTCCGATAACAATCGATAGCGCCACTGTAACCAGTCAATAATGGTCTCACACTACGTCCAGTGTCTAAATTATCAATAATCGTCCGTGTGCCTTGTAAATGTAACCTATGAATAACAGTTTCAAGTGGATAGAAAACAACGTCCGCGGCGCACATTGATACCAAAATCGATTGCAATTCAATATCCTGCACAGCGCTGTCCGAAAGAATGTCTCGACTGTACGCACCCTGAAAATCAAACAAAAAGAATCGAGTAAAATTTCCATTTTTTCTCAAAATTCGCGTATTTGCTTTTTTCATTGAACAAATTTATTTAATCAATTAATTTTGTTATTCAATTAATTTTCAAATTAATTAAAATTTAGGTATTCAATTAATTTGGTAATTTAATTAATTTGTCTACTAAATTAATTTTATCATTAAATTAATTTGTCTACTAAATTAGTTTGATTATTAAATTAATTTGTCCAATAAATTAATTAAATTTACAAATTTAATTTGAATTTATTCAAGGATAAAAGCATTTTTTAAAATTAATGAAATTTAATGAACATAATTGGAAAATGTTGAAATTGATGAAGAAGATTTCTTTTTTCTAGAGAATGAAAAATTACTTTTAACTCCTGAATGTGCTTTCGTCGAAGATGCATCATACGACTGCTGACTCCTCTCACAATGAGAGTAAAGAGATATTTGACAACTCCATAAGCAATTGTGGGCGGTATTAGAGCGTAAATGGGAATGAGTCGACCTTTTGTGCCAACCTCGAGTAAACGAATCGCCCCATCGCGAAATACATCCAAAATTCCTGGTTTTTCAGAAGCAATTTCCGATTGTACAGTTTCAACGAGTGACGCCGAGTAAAATGGAGTTACCAGTCCAATTGAAACACTGTAAACAAATTTTCTACATTTAGAAATTGAGAAGGAAAATTAGAGAACTAAAAATAGAAATTAAATTAAACACAGAAATTAATTTAAAAACAGAAATTAAATTTGAAACATAAATTAAATTGAAAACAAATTAATTTAAAAACAGAAATTAAATTGAAAAGAAAATTAAAATTAAAAACAGAATTTAAATTTAAAAGCAAAATTTAAATTAAAAGCAGAGTTTAAATTTAAAAAACAGAAGTTAAATATAAAAGCAGAATTTACATTTAAAGCAGAAATTAACATTTAAGAAATAAAAATTAGAATTAAATTGAAAATAAAAATATTACATTAGAATTTTATGAACTAAATTACTTTTCTTATTTAGAAATTAAAAATTTCTTTTAATTCGAAACTAATTGATAGTTATTATTAAATACTGTCAAAGTATTTAATATTCAAACAATGTGGAACCAAAAACAAAAAAATAGTAAAAAGTGTGATTTAAAATGTAATTAAAAAATTGAATAAAATTTAAGAAACAATTTCTATTTTTTGCAAATTATTATCTTCGTCTTTTCTTATCGATTCAAATGATTGGCAATTTTGATTCAATGTATACATTGAAATTGTAATAAAAAATATTCACAATAAATTCAAAAATCTATTATTGATCGTAAATTAAATTAGAAATTTTGGGAATAATTGAAATTTATAAAGAATTTTCTCAGAAATTTTGAAACTGACTAATTTATTTGAATTTTTGGAAATTATGGAGTTTTTTTTATTAATTTTAATTAAAAATTCTATAGAACTTTATGAAAACTTTGGAAAATTATTAAATTTGTTAGATAAATTTTAATAATTATCGAATTTCTGAGAAGAATTTTTTTATTTATAAAAATAATTTTCAATTCTTGCGAAAAATATAAAAAGTAATAAAAATAATTGAATTGTTTCTAAGAATTTTATAAAAATTTCAGAAAATAATTGAAATTTATAAAAGAAAGATTTTATCAAAACTTTTGGAAATAATTGAATTTTTTCGAAAAATTTTGTTTAACTTTTAAAAATTCTAATTGAATCGTTCAACAAATTTTATTAAAATTTTATTTTGAAAATAATTTAATTCACGACAAGGATTAAATTATTTATAAAATTAATTCAATTCTTAAGATGAATTTTACAATTTTTTAAAAATAATTGAATTGATTTCAGAGATTTTTATCAAAATTTTTAGGAAATAATTGAATTTTCGGAAGGTTTTTATCAAAATTTAAAATAATTGAATCCTTTCGTGAAATTTGATTGAAATCGTATTGAAAATAATTGAATTACAGCAAAGAATTTTACTATTTATAAAAATAATTGAATTCTTCCAAAGAATGTTATTATTTATGCGAGAATAATTGAATTTTTGCGAAATATTTTATTAAAAAATAACCAAATAGTAGAAAAAAATTTAAGACTTCTACTTACCATTTCAAGAGAATATGTTGTCCAAAGGCTTTCATTGAACTATTACATGTTATTTCCCTGAAAGAAAATTATTTATTTTAATTTACTTGTTCTTAGTTAATTATAGAATTTATAGGTATAAATAATAATTATGTTTTCGTTTTATTTGCCTTATTTAATAATAATTATGTAAATTAATTAATTATACAAGTATCTAAATAATAATTATACAAATTAATTATTAATATGATTAATAAATAAATTTACTAAATAGTTATTAAAAAAGTTATAATAAATTAATATTTAAAAGTTTAATTACTTTGGCCATGGTGTGATTTTTGAGACTAAATCTTCAATCGCTAAACTCAATCCACGAACGAGTAAAACAGATCCAATTCCTTTCCATAAAGTATTGAGACCTTGCGTTTGATGTAAACGAATAATCACCGGTATCAATGTAATTGGCACTAGATGATATTTCGTAGCGACAGGATTCACTTGACATTGTCTTCTTATTACAATAAATGGATGAATCAACAAATTTTCTGTTATTAAACTCGCCAATCCACAACCTAAACCTACATATTTTTTTACAGCAACATCTGAAAATATATTTACATATTTTCATACGAATTTATAATAATAGGTAAATTTAATAAAGTAAATTAATAGTTATGCCAATAAATAAAAATAATAGTAATAATACTTATATTAAAATAAAAATCTAATTAAATTAAACTAATCAATTAATTTAAATTTAATCTTAATAATTTGTTCTCGAAACAAATTTTCATTTTTTTAATCCAAAAAGAAGTTTTCCTTCAACTTGACGAGAATATTGGCAAAATAAACAAGTAACTAATTTTAGATTGAAATAAATAGTATAACAATAAATACAGTTTTTTAAAAATAAAATTTAAGACTGATATAAATAAATTAAATAAATTTCGTCATAAAAGACATTAAGAATTGAATAAAAATAAAAATAAATAAATAAAAATTATCTAATTACCATCAGCGGGCGGAGAATCCTGAGCTACCAGTGGATGCATTACAGGAATATCTAGAGGACGAATAACCTCTCGTCCATGATATTTTGTTGGGAATTCCGCACTACCTATTGACGATGCATCCCAAGGTACATCTACTTGTCGTCCTCGATAAACCCTTTCATAGCTCTCAAGTCCTGCCATTACTTTTTATATCAATTATAGAAAATTAAATAATCACTGACAATTACTACTGGGAAATAAATAATAATACAATAATTTCCTCCTCATAGCGAATCAATTGAAAAATTTGCAATATTTTCTTCGCCGCACGCAAAGAAAATAGACAAAATTTTGTCTCTTCGTCAATTGAGAAAATAAAGAGGCTTCTCTTTTCCCTCTCTTATGTCTTATTTTACGCGCACTAGATTCTAATTACTTAATATATTACATATTATAAAAATTGAAATGTTTTTAAAACCTTTTAAACCTTTTAAAAAACGGAGTATTCCTTTACGGCAATAATGTGAGACTTGAAGTTGTCTGCGTAATGCGATTAAATGACACGCAGGTTTGCCAACATGAAAAGTGGACGACACAATTACAGTCACTGTGAATGACACTTAAGACCTACTTTTGCAATTTCAACTCTTTTTTAAATAAAAAATTAATCTAATTTGTACTTTTTACACTGTTTTTTTAATTTGTAAATATTAAAAAGGTTTAAAAATTAAAAATATTATCATTGAAAATAATTTCGAGAAAAAATTTTAACTTCTCTAGTCTGGCAGCATTGTTTTCAGTCAGGTGTGTTTATGATTTGTAATGATTTCTGCTGCCAAGTGTCAACGTGTTAAGTTTTTATTAAATTAGTAATTAGAAAGTTTAGAATTAACATTAAAAATGACTTTATATCATTTTGGAAATTGTCTTGCTTTAGTATACGTGCCATATTATTTAACATATAAATATTCAGGACTGTAAGTAATTTTTATTTAACTGAACATAACCTCAAAATTATAAGAAAAATGTATATTTTAAAAAAGAGAAAGAAACTTATTAAATTGTTCTCTTTTTATTATTAAAAATTAAAGATCTGAATATGGGGCATTTTGGAAATGTATTCAAGCAGGAGGAATATATATTTTTACTCAACTTATTAAAATGCTGGCACTTGCAACATTTTTCCCCACGGCAGATAATGTTGGTCAGGAGGGCTTCGATCTTCTTGGTGTAAATATAAAAATTACTCTTTTCTTATTTATTAAAATTTTTATTGAGTTTATTAAGTAAGAAACAAATGAACCAAATACTGAAGAAATTATAAATTTATATTTTTTCAAACTATTATTCAATTTATTATGTTATTATTATTATTCATTATTATTATTTTGCAAATTAAACAATTTTGTATTTTCAAAAATTTTAATTACAGTCTTCTTAAAAATTCAATTATTTTCGCATAAATAATAAAATTCTACGAAGAAATTCAATTATTTTTATAAATAAGTAAAATTCTTCACAGAAGATCAATTATTTTTAAAACAATTTTAATAAAATTTTTCGAAATCCTAATTCAATTATTTTTTAAAATTTTGATAAAATTCTTCGAAACAATTCAATTATTTTTATAAATAATAAAATTCTTCTCTGGAATTCAATTATTTTCAATTACTTTTGTAATAATATTTATCTAAAAATTCAATTATTCTCAAAAGTTTTAATAAAATTCTTTGTAAACTTCAATTATTTTCGAAACAATTTTAATAAAATTTCATAAAAGGATTTATTATTTTTTAAATTTTTCGAAAAAATTCAATTATTTTCAGAAGTTTTAATAAAATTCTTCGAAACAATTCAATTATTTTTAAAAATTGTAAAATTCTTCTCAAGAATTCAATTATTTTTAAAAATAATAAAATTCTTCTCAGGAATTCAATTATTTTCAATTACTTTTGTAATAAAATTTATCTAAAAATTCAATTATTCTCAAAAGTTTTGATAAAATTCTTTGGAAATTTCAATTATTTTCGAAACAATTTTAATAAAATTTCATAAAAGGATTTAAGTGTTTAAAGACAATTTTAATAAAATTTCTTGAAAGAATTCAATTATTTTAAAAAAAATTTTGATAAAATCTTTAAAAGGGATTGCAATTATTTTCAAATTTTTGCCGATAAATATTTTGCATCGAATTCAATGATTTCCAATAAATTAATTTTCTATTTCAAAATTGAAAACACATTTAAAAAGTTATTAAAAAATATTCGGTAATTGGTACATTTGCATTAGTAATATAATCACTTGGCATGGAAAATTATAATTCTGTTTATAGAAAATGTGCTTTCAGGAATTTTTGAAATCCTCTATAGATCTTGCGGATTTAGTCGGAATACTTTTGGTTTTAAATGGAATTCCTGGTAAAGGACACGCGAAAGTATTAACCGCTGGAGTCGGTTGGGCAGGAGCAGAAGTTTTATTAACGCGATTTCTCCTGCTCTGGGTCGGTGCACGTGGTGCAGAATTCGATTGGAAATATATTCAAAAAAGCCTCGAATCAAATATTAATCTTGTAAGTAATTTTTCTTCCTTCAAAAATCTGAAAACACTTTTAAAAAAAAGTCAGTATTCTCTTTGAGAATCAAGGGGGCAAGAAGTCAGTATTCTTTTTAAAAATCAGGGAGAAAAAAAACAAATTTTTGCGAGAATTAAAATTAAAGGAAAATAAAATTTAATTAATTTGTCAAATTAATTTAATTATAATGGAAAAAAGTTTTTTTTTCTCGAAAATGGAAGTTTTTAATCGAAAAGGAAAAGAATTTGTCAATTAAAAGCAATTTTTCCTTTTTTCTTTCAGATTCAACATATAACAACTGCCACATTGGTTTGGTTGTGGTCGCGACACGATTTACGACGTGGTTTAGTTCCAATTGTTGTCAGTATGCTTTTGCTAACAGTTTATAGACCATTAATTCTCGATTTTCTCACGTCCGTCATTATTGCCGGCCCTTGGCTAATGCTTTTTATAAAAGCCTTCACAACATTATTCTTGGGAGCGACGACTCTTCACATGTACGCGGGACTCGCTCATTCCATCGGTATTTTTTAAAGAGACAAAAATAAATCCGAAAATCGAGAATAATAATTATTTTCCCTCCTCAAAAAAAAAAAAAAAATGAGTCAGAGAATTTAATTATTCCAAAAATTGTAATTTTTTAATAAAATTAATTTTAAATAAATAAATGCAATAAATTAATTAAATAAATAAATATTGTCTACTAAGTAGAGAAGGCGTCACAATTGTATAAAAGAAAAATAAAGACTGTTCAATATTCTAAATTCTCCTTCAATTCTTTTCGATTTTTGTTAATTCACTTATTTTCAATATCTAGTATTATCATAAAATTTCGCAAAAGTATTCAATTAATTAAAAAAAATTGATAAAATTCAATTATTTTCAAAAATAATAAAATTCTTCCCAAGAATTCAATTATTTACATAAATAATTCTTTGAAAGAATTTAATTTAATTTAATTTCAAGTTTAATTTTTCGATAGCTACTTTTTTTTTACTACTTTTTGAGTTTTAAAGCTACTTTTTTCTACTTTTTTAAAATTAATTATCAAGTGCAAAGTCTGAATTAAATTGAATAAATTATTTAAAACTAAATTCATGAATCTTAAATTCTAGTGAAACGGAGAAAAAGAAATATTCTAATTTAATGAAATGAAAACAATCTTTTTATTAACATATTTGATCAAAACCCTCAGATTTACATTTAATACGAGCTTTGAGAATAATTCTATTATGTAATTATTGATATTAATATAACTGTGATTCAGTCTTTTGCTTAGCATAATATATAACATGCCCAGCACGGAAAATCGATCAATTTTTTTGTTAATTATATTTTTAATGACAACATTTTTTAATAATGAAATATAAACATTTCGACAAAAAGTTAAGAATAACACCACTGTTTTACACATATGAAAAAATTAACTTTAAAAAAAGAATAAACAATAAAAAATCAATTTCACTCATGCAATTACATTTTCTGTTAAATACATTTTTACATTCTCCAAAAATAAAAAAAAGGACTGAAAAATAGTTCAATTATCAAAAATTATTTTTTTCAATTATTCAATAATTAATTTTAATTATTCTTTCAAAAAAAAGTATTTTTTATCAAATCTATTTTAACTTAATTCTAATAAGTGAAAGTAGAATAAATTATTTTTTTTTCTAGAGAATATGTAACCGCAAGAGTAGTGTTTTGTTAAAAATTCGGTAATAATCTTGACAGACAATCGTTTACGGTGGAAAAAAATAAGTTTAGAGAAAAAAATAATCAAGTTGTTGAGGAAAATAAAAATAGTTTTTACACAAGACTACGGAACGTAGTCGTGACATTTTTTTTTCACACAAGAATTCCGATAATTTCTTGATGAAAAATGCCATCTTCAATTACTTTTTTTTTTAATCCTCCTCTTGAGGAGAAAAAGAAATATTCTCTTTCGAATAATATTCTTACCGATAATTTTTAAGAAGGAGAACATTGTGGTCTTGTTGCTGATTCTTCATCGTCTGATGAAGAGCCGCTATTATTTGATGAGGTGTGCTCACTCGAAGACTCGCGGAGATCCTCGTCTCCTCCCCGATAAGGTAAAGTATATCTACTTCTTCTGAAAGCTCTGCTTAAATTCTGTTCACAAAAAAATAGAAATATTTTAATATTAGCAATCATATTTGTAAAATTTGAAATTAAATTAAATATAAAATAAAACCGAATTCGCTATAAGGTAAAAATAATTTCGTGGTAAAATTTGAATTTGAATCTAAATAAAAAATAATTTTTCGGATGAAATTAGAATTTAAATCTAAATAAAAATAATTTTCTGATAAAATGAAAACTTCTGTCTAAATAAAATAATTATTACCATGAATCTCTCCGACTGACGAATACGTCTTAATAGAATCCACAACATTTGTCCATCATAGGCATCCGGTTCATCTCGTAATTCATCCGCTCGATTTTTCAGATTTAATTTCACACACTGGAAATAAAATTCCAATTAAATATAAACAATGTTCTATAAAAATTATTTTTGAATCATTCTATTCATAAAAATTCTAAAAAATAATTGAATTTGGAAAGAATTGCAATTCTAATTTTTAGAAATAATTAAATTTCAAAAGGTTTCTCATTAAAATTATTTGTAATTTTAATTTCTGTGAAAAAATAAACAATAAGTTTTTAAATATTTGTTTAATGAAAATTATTCAATTTTTGAATTTAAAATAGAAAAAAATTTGTTTTTTTAAATGTAATTATAATTTTTTAAATATAATAATTGAATTCTTGAAAATAATTTTAAAAAATTGAAAGTAAATTAAATATGTAACAATTTAGTCAAATTTCATTTCAATTGTAACGAAAAATTTAGAAAATAACTAAATTTTACAAAAAATTATTCTATTTAAATAATTTAATTTCTCGTTTTTGAATTCTGATGGGAATTAATTTGAGAAAAAATGTCAGTTAATGAAAAAGAAATTAAAAAAGTTTTAATTACTTACACTTTGTAAACCTTTCATGGTGAATGTTACATCACCAGAAGCCTCCCACACCTTAACATCGTAATCTAATCCACTTGTTGCCAAAACTGGAACGGACGGATGTGACTCCATGCAATTTACCTAATTTTTAGAAGAAAATTTAATTCTTTCGACAATTAATTCCAATTAAATATCTCTAGAAATTACAGAATATTTTTTCCCTTTTTAAAAAGAACATTAAAAATCATATTTCATCAAAAATAGATGAAAATCAAAATTAAAAGTCATTAAAATTGCAGACTTCGCACTCGATAATTAATTTTAGAAAAGTGTTCTATATTTTATTTTCCTCACTTTTTCCTAATTTTCATCAAAAATATTATTGCGAAAAAATTTTATAAAAATATTAAAAAGATTGAATTGAATTGAATTCTTCATAAGAAATTTATAAACATTGTTTTAAATAATTAATTTTTTCGAAATATAATAAATATTATGAAAGTTTTATTTTAAATAATTGAATTCTTGTGAAAAAAGCTATTTGCACAAATAATTTAATTTTTTGATTAATTAATTTAAGATAGTTTAAAAAATAATTGAATTTCTTCGATGAGTTTTATTATTTATGAAAATAATTGAATTTTGGATGAATTTTATCAATTTTTTTTTATAATTGAATTATTTTGCCAAATTTTATGAAAATACTAAATATTGAAAATAATTGAATTTGATTATATAATTTTTCAAAATAGTATTTTGACTTTTAGTTTTAGCGAATTGAAACTAATGGAAATTCTAAAAAAAAGAACAGAAATAGTGCGAAGCCTGAAATTGATTTAAAAAAACAAAAATTAAACTTGTTGAATAATAATTAAGAAATAATTTTTTTTACCACTCCTTGATTGTCTCCCAACATCCATTGAACAATCGATTCCGTATCTTTGTCCCAAATAAAAATATTCCCACAATCCGAACCAGAAACAATGTATTCACTTTTGGGTCCGAAAAAATTCACTCCTTTCACTGGAAAAGAAGAAAGAAAAAATTAGAATTTCTTTAATTTTTATTTTAGTTCCAATAAAATAACTTTTTTTTTCTTTTTCTTTTTGCAGAGCATTACCAGTGGCATTATTCCTGTGACCCTGATATTTGTGTGCATAATCTCCAGACGGATGTGGATATAATGTGTCGAAAAGATAAATATCCTCGTCATTATAAGACGCAAGAATTTCCGTTCCATTGTAATTGTACAAAGCGCATGTCACGTATTCAAGTTTATTTTGCGTCTATTTTGAAAAAATACAATTTAAACTTGATTAAAATATTCTTTATATTTTTTAATATTTAAGTTTCTTTTCTTTAGCATTTTCTATATTAAATATTTTTTTTCACATATAAATATATCTTTTAGAATTAGAATTTAATTATGTTGTCCCAGGAAACTAAAATATATTAAATATTTTAGTAAATATATTTTTAATCATATAAATATATATTTAATTTAGAAAATTTTTGCTATAAGAAATAAACGATTTTTTACCAAATGACTTGGACAGTATTTGTATAAAGGCGAAGAAACTTTTCTCCTATCAAAGACTTGAACTGTTTGAATTCGGCCTCCGACGCAAAATTCATAACTGTTTAATGGATGACAATTAATGCTGTACAACTGAACTTCCTCAGACTCTTCTTTAACCACCATTAATCTACAAACAATTATTATAATATTATTATGAAAAAAGCGATAGAAAAATTTTTTATTATTAGAAATAAAAAAACCTTCGTGGTCTTGATTCACGAATATCAATCGAAAGTATTTTTCCATCTTCACCACACGAGAGAACAACGTGTGGCATTTCCTTATGCATTGCAATTTTGTGAACTGGTCCCTGATGCGATCCAATTCTACGCGATTTTCCAACGGGAAGTTCAAGTAAACGAACATGACCGTCATGAGCGGCTGTTACCATTAAACTTTCCCAATCTAATGGCATCCATTTTGCCTAAAATTAATAAATTCTTATCAATTATTTATGAATTGTTAAAAATTCAAAATTCAAAAAATCATAATTCGTATTTTTTTTTTTGGCAAAACAAGAAAAAGGAAAAAAAGTTTCATTACCTGAAAAACATTACTCCTGTGGCCGGTGTAAAAGGTAAATTGCTTTTTCTCAGTGGCCCAATCCCAAATATTGACTTTTAAATCATCGGAGGCACTTGCTAAAAGATTTCCCTTTTGATTGAAATTTAAACTATTGACGCAACCCTGAAATTTTTTTGAAAGATGTGAATAAATTTTTTTTTTAAATAAAAATTAAATTTCGCTGGAGTTACGATTTTAGGAAAGAGCAATAATCCTATTATTGACCTAAAATTGATTAGTAAGGACTCTTAGCCTATCCAAAAGAGAGGCAGGTCAGCAGCTGATACTTATGTTAGTCAAGATTTTTTGTTAACTTATATATATTTTTTTATTCACTACCGAGACGCTCCTCTTTTTCTCATCACCATAAAGAAAATATTTTTATTAGAAAATTCTACTAGAATTCAATTATTCTCATAAATAATAAAATTCCTTAAAAAAATTCAATTATTTTCCAAAATTCAGATAAAATTATTTTTATAAATAATAAAATCCCTTCAGAAAATTCAATTATTTTCAAAAACTCCAGATAAAATCCTACGCAAGAATACAATTATTTTCATAAATAAGAAAATTCTTCGCAAGAATTAAAATATTTCCATCAATAATAAAATTCTTCAAAAGAATTCAATTATTTTCATAAATAATAAAATTTTTCGGAGGAATTCAATTATTTTCAATACAATTTTAATAAAATTTCTCGAAAGCATACAATTATTTTTTAAAAATATTAGTTAAATTCAATTATTTTCAATAATTCTGATAAAATTCTCCGAAACAATTCAATTATCATTATAAATTGTAAAATTCTTAGCAAGAATTCAATTATTTTAAATACAATTTTAATCAAATTTCTCTAACATGTTCAATTATTTTTTAAAATTGTGATAAAATTTTTCTAAACAATTATTTTAAAGAATTTCAATAAAAAATCTTGCCAAGAATTAAATTATCATTATCAATTCAATTATTTTTTTCAAGAATTTTTAACTAAAATTCTTCTTTAAATCAATTATTTTTAATAATTTTCGAAAAACTCTTTGGTAAAAAATCTAAAATTGTCGAAAATTATCAAAAATTCAAAAATCCGAATTTCTTAAAATTCAACATTTTTTCTCCTCTTTTATGGCATTTAGCTTCAATATTTTTGTGCTCTTGGAAAATACTTTACTTATTTAATAGTCTCGACTCTTTGGTAAAAAATCTAAAATTATCGAAAATTATCAAAAATTCAAAAATCCGAATTTCTTAAAATTCAACATTTTTTCCTCTTTTTTATGGGATTTAGCTTCATTATTTTTGTGCTCTTGGAAAATACTTTACTTATTTAATAATCTCGACTCTTTGGTAAAAAATCTAAAATTCGAAAAAATTCGAAAAAATTCAAAAAACCGAATTTCTTAAAATTCAACATTTTTTCCTCTCTTTTATTGGATTTAGCTTTATTATTTTTGTGCTCTTGGAAAATACTTTACTTATTTAATTGTCTTTACTCTTTGGTAAAAAATCTAAAATTATCGAAAATTATCAAAAATTCAAAAATCCGAATTTCTTAAAATTCAACATTTTTTTCTCTCTTTGATAGTATTTAGCGTCATTATTTTTGGGCTCTTTAAAAACACTTTACTTATTTAATAGTCTCGACTCTTTTGTAAAAAAATCTAGAATTATCGAGAATTATCTAAAATTCAAAAATCCGAATTTCTTAAAATTTAACATTTTTTCTTCTCTTTTATGCCATTTAGCTTCATTATTATTTGAATTTCTATTTAAGAGAAAAAATGAAAAACAGGAAAAATTTAGAAACTTTTAAAAATTCCATACCATTTCCATGATTTCCATGATTTCCAGATTCTGTAGGAACCCTGTTTATTATTTATAAAGATAATTGAAATTTTTGTGAGAATTTTATTAAAATTTTAGAAAATAATTGAATTCCTAAAAAGAATTTTATTAATTAGAAAAATAATTAAATCTTCGTAAAAATTTTATTATTTATGAAAATAATTGAATTCTTGCGAAAAAATAAATAAAAAAAAAAATTGTAAATAATGAAATTCCTGTGAAATTTTTATTGTTTTTTGAAAATAATTAAAAGTTTGTGTAGAATTTTGTTAAGTTTTTTTTTAAATAATTGAATTCTTTTGGAGAATTTTATGAAAATAGATATTGAAAGTCATTGAATTGAGGAATATTTTTGTGAAAATAATTGAAATTCGGAGAAGAATTTAATTATTTCTACAGATAATTGAATTTTTGATGATAATTTAGAAAAATTTTTTAACATAATTGAATTTCTGCAGTCATTTGTAATTTTTTTGAAAATTATCCAAATTATATCGTAAAATTTACGAACTATTTATCTTTTTTGAATGAAATTCGTATTGGTAGATTAATTTCATTTTCTTTTTTTAAGAAATCTAAGAGAAAACTATTTACCTGATGTTCATTTAATTTACATTTCAGTCTTAATCGTTGAACGGAACGAAGTGAACCATAAAATCTGTCGGCGAAATCTGGATTTCTGCCAATTTGCCGATTAAATAGTTCCTTTAGTACAAAGCATTTGGATTTTGGTGTTGCTTTTTGCATAATAGATGTAGCGACGTCCAACTCCTCTTCACTGGCTGTTGTCCATTCGTTCGAGTCATCTTCTTTTTGTTTTTAATTTGAATCAAATTGTCCAGAGTAGAGTGAATAAATTTTTTGTGTGTTTTTTTTTAAATTTAATTCGTGTCACCAAGTAAACAAAATTACCTCTGATATCTAATAAAGGACTACTTCCTCGTTCCGGTGAAGGATGGCTTCTTTCTCTGTCATCGTCGTCGTCGTCGTCATCTTGCTCCACTGCGTCATCAGAATCCTGCGTCGAATCATCATCAACATCCTCATCTTCATCATCATCATCACTTTTCGATTTTTCTGGAAATTTAAAGTTAAAAATGAAACTGGAATTCAATTGAAATTGAACTTGAATTCAATAAAAATTAAACTAGAATTCAATTAAAATTTTAAATAAAATGAAATTAACATTAAATCAAAATTCAAGTTAAAAAAAATTCTTCACAGGAATTAAATTATTTTCAATAAAATTTTTGAGAAGAATTCAATTAATTTTAGTACAATTTTAATTAAATTCCTTAAAGAAATTTAATTATTTCCAATAACTTTTTAATAAAAAATCTCTTGGATAAAATTCAAATTCTTTTGAAAAATGTTAATAAAATTCTGCGCAAGAATTAAATTATTTCAGATTATGTAAAGATTGTATTAATTATTTGTATTTTGCGGTATTTTGTATAAAAATTTGTAAACTTGAAATAATTTATCACCTTCGCTGGCAGCACTTGATTTTCGCATTCCTGAAGCTTCGCCTAATTCTTCATCAGCTTCGGAACTATTTTTATTCCGATAATATCGCTTTCGAACACTTGATTTCAATTTTGGAAATGAAATATCACATTTCGATGCTGAACATTCGCCTACTTCCGAATCGAATTGTGATTCAGACAATTTTTGTCGCTTACTTGAATCTTCATCTGAACTTTCATCCGTTTTCTCCATGGAAATTCCACTGTCTCCGCTTATTTTTCCTAAATCGATACACACAGAGAGAATATAATATTATATTTTGTAAAAATATTTTACAAATTTTTATTATTATAAAATACTTTTACAAAATTTAATATATATATATTCTCTCTCCGTGTAATATTATTGTTAAAAAAAAAGAAGAAATAAATGTCACTTGTGGTCACTTGTGGTCACTTGTTTATATTCACCAAACGAATTTACCTTTTGATTTATTTCTTTTCGTTGTACTTTGCTCCGATGAGGAAAAACTCGCGGCTTCTGACTCCAAATTATCTTCCTGGAAAAAGGAAAATTTTTATTTTTTAAAAAAAGGAAAGAAAACAACAAAACAAAAAGAAAGAAAAGGGCAATTTTTATTTTTAAATATAAAACGTTTATTTACCTCATTTTTAGAATTTGATTTCTCGGACATTACACCAGCGACTTGTTCGTCATCTTTTGATTCGTCCACCAAATTATCAGAATCCATTTTTCTTGATTTATAGCATTTATAGTGTGATCATCACTTTATTAATCTTAATATCCTGGCGATAAATACCAACGAAAAATATATTTTCCTTTTTTCAATTTTGAGGTTATGAAAACGAACTTTTTTGCCAGTTTCACAAAAATAAGAATTTTATTTAGTATATAAAAAAAGAAAAATACCTAATTCTTGTACTCACTTTTCATGAAATATGCTGATAAATACAATGTAATCCTTTTATAAAGAATCAAGAATTTAATGTAAATTTAATTATATATGAAAAATACAAATATTTACCTATTATTGTGACCTTAAAGACGCAGATGATATAAAACTGTCAAAAAGAGAGAACCGAGTAAAACTGCATTCGGTATTTTATTCTCCTTCTCGACAGACGTTAACAATTATTTTTATTTTTAAATCATAAAATTCAGTAATAAATTTATGAAAATCTAAACTTTCGAATGATTATATAGATAAGTTTTACACTCTAAACTCTAGTTATTATTTATATATAGGAAAAAAAATACATGACAAGTAACAACAAAAATACGTTTTGCAAAAAATTGCATAGTTGCAATTTTATTGGATGGGAATTGGAATCTTTTCAGCCAATCAAATTTGCTTATTTTCGATATTTCGATATATCGAAAGAATTCGAGAGCAATAGCAGCGCCTCTAGTGACGACTCTTAGAAACAACTCGGTTTATACACAGAAATTATTATCGATGATTCCAGTTTTTCCATTATATTTTCCAAATGTTTTTGTAAAAATCAAGTTTAAATAAAAATCTCAGCAAAATGAGAGAATCAGGCAAAATTCTCTTCACTACAGTCGAGTGTCTAGTGAAGTTTTAGTGATACAAAAAAGAAAGACGCTAGTGATTGTTTTTTGGGGAAAATCATAACAACAAAGGGAATAATTTTCCTTCTGTCGAGGGAAAATTGTATTTTTTTTTCTTTTGATTATTAACAAATTAAGAGAAAAGAAGAAGATTGATAAAACCTATCAGTATTAAAATTCAATAAATGGCCCTTTTATTTACTAGTATGTGGGACTCTACTATGTTCCTGAGCACTCTAACCCCCAAATTTTATGTTGCTCTTACCGGAACATCATCTTTAATATCTGGACTTATATTAATTTTCGAGTGGTGGTATTTTAGAAAATATGGTACATCATTCATCGAGCAAGTTTCTTTAAATCACATATCACCGTGGATTAGCGGTGGCGATACATCAACTGATGGAAACAATTCCAGGTTCTTTTTTTTATTCTAAATAATAATCAATATTTTCGATCTCTATCGCATTTAAATTATCGCCTATATTATTTTCTTCCCTTCTCTTTATATTGAAACTGAATTTATTAAATTTCAATTTTTTTAAAATTCTTTTCGTTTTATTTTGATAGTTTTGATAATTTTCGAATTATAATATTTGAAGGTGAAAATTTTTTAATCATTTTGTATATTGATTGGTAAATTTTTATTTTCCAGCATAAGCAGTACAAATTCCTCGAATCAACAAAATGTACCTGAATGCAAAGTGTGGCGAAATCCAATAAATCTATTTCGAGGCGCCGAATACCAAAGGTTTTATTGGGCAACAAATAAAGAACCCCTAACTTATTACGATATGAATTTATCGGCACAGGATCATCAGACATTTTTCACATGCGAAGGCGACAATGGAAAGGCCGAATATGAAATAATGCAAACAGCATGGAGAGAACGAAATCCAATGGTACGAATAAAAGCCGCTCACACGGCACTTGAACACAATCCAGATTGTGCACCAGCTTATATTCTATTGGCCGAGGAGGAGGCGACGACAATTCTTGAAGCTGAAAAAATTCTCAAGCAAGCATTAAAAGTTGCCGAGAATAATTATCGTAAATCACAAAATACACAGCATCAGGGCTCGATAGCGGAGGCGATTCACAGGCGAGACACAAATGTCTTGATTTACATTAAACGACGACTCGCGATGTGCGCGAGAAAATTGGGAAAATTAAAGGAGGCCGTGAAAATGTTTCGCGATCTCACCAAGGAGGTGCCACCAATTATGAATGTTTTAAATATTCATGAAAATCTCATTGAAGCATTGCTTGAAATGCAGGCGTACGCTGATGTTCAGGCAGTTTTAGCAAAATATGACGATATCAGTTTACCGAAATCGGCGACAATTTGTTACACGGCTGCTTTATTGAAAGCGAGGCTGGTTGCTGATAAATTTTCCCCTGATATCGCCAGTAAAAGAGGATTGACCACCTCGGAAATGTCAGCTGTTGAAGCTATTCACAGGTATTTTGATATTTTTTAAAACTTATAGTCAACAGTTGCGGTGTAATTAAAAATAATGAAAAATTGAATTTTGCAAAAATTATAATAAAAAATAATTACAAGAATTACTTTTTAAAAAAAGATATTAACATCAATATCTGAATAATTTCAGATTCAAATTCAACATTTAAAAAATTTAGTTATTAAGTATATAATTAATTATTCTTGTTCATTATTTTCAAAATTTTAAAAAACATTTTTCACAAAAATTCAATTATTTTTCCAAATAACATTCTTTGGAAGAATTCAATTATTTTTATAAATAGTAAAATTCTTCGCAGAAATTCAATTATTTTCGAAGTCAGGGAAAATTCAGGGATATTTATTTAAGTAACTGGAAAAAATTGAATTTTGGAGAAGTTACAAACGATTGCAGAAATGCAATTATTTTCAAAAGTAATAAAATTCTTCGCAAAAATTCAATTATGTTCAGAAATTTAAAAAAATTCTCGTCAAATTTCAATTATCTTTAAAAATAATAAAATTCTCCTCCAAATTTTAATTATTTTCAAAAATTTTAATAAAATTCTTTGCAAAATTTCAATTATTTTCAAAAAATTTTTCTCAATTCAATTTTATTTAATATCTACAGTTTTAATAAAATTTTTCAAAAAAATTCAATTATTTAAAAAATTTTTTTTTGATAAAATTCTAAGCAAACTTCGCAATAATTCAATTATTTTCATAAATAATAAAATTTTTTACAAGAATTCAATTATTTTCATGAATAATAAAATTCATCATAGAATTTCAATTATTTCTTGAAAATTTTATTAAAATTTCTCGAAAAAATTCAAGTTTGTAGATAAAATTCTTTATGATAATTTAGTTTCGAAAAACATTCATTTATTCAATAAATTATTTATTTTTTTATTTAAATAATTGGATTCTTGTAGAATTTTCCAATAAAAATTTATTTAAAATTAGTTTAAAAAATTAAATTAATTAATTTAATTAAAATAATAAATAATAATAAATAATAATTAGTTAATTAATTAAAATTAGTTAAAATTTGAGATAATAATTGAATATTAAAAGCATTATAGCATGAATTTTTAAAAATACATAATTGAATTCTTTCGAAGAATTTTAACAAAATTTTTGAAAATAGTGACATTTTTCGAAGAATTTACTTAAAATTGTATTAAAAATAATTGAAATCCTGTGAAGAATTTTATTAATTTATGAAAGTAATTGAATTCTTGCAATGAATTTTTTCAAATTTTTTTTTAAATAATTGAAATAATGTAAAGAATCTTATAATTTATGAAAATAATGGAATTTATGCAACGAATTTTATTACATTTTATTTAAATAATTGTATTCTTTTGCAAAACTTGTATTAAACATGTAAATTTTGAAAATTTTTGAATTTCAGCGAAGAATTTCATTATTTGTGAAATGTACCTAATTTAATTCTTGCAAAAAATTTTTGAAGATAATTTTATTTTTCGAGAAATTTATTTAAAATTGTATTAAAAATAATTGAAACCATGTGAAGAATTTTATTATTTATGAAAATAATTGAATTCTTGCTTAGAATTTTATTATAATTGTTGTAAATAATTTAATTTTTTTTTTGAAAAATTTTATGGAAATTAAAATTTTTATAAAACATGAAGATATCAATCACTCCGAGTCTTCGACTCGGAGTAATTGATATCTTCATGTTTTATAATAATATTCTTATAAGTTGTTGAATTTTAAAAATGTTTGAATTTGAATGTTTTGAAGAATTTTAATTCCTATGGAAAAATAATAATGAAATATTTATTTAAAAATTTAGTTATTGATGTTTGCGAATAATTTTACAATTTAAGAAATTCGTAAGTAAATATAATAGAATGTTTTTTTGAGTATCTAATAATTTTTAGAGTGAATCAGAATATTCTTTATGGTCACGGAAAAAGCGAAAATTTTGTCTGGAAATCAAGGAAAAATAAAATTAAATATTTGTGGTAACCCTGAATTAGGAATTAAATAATGACATCTTTTAAATGATTTATTTTTTTTGAATTCCAGAGCCGTGGAGTTTAATCCTCACGTTCCAAAGTACCTTTTGGAAATGAAACCACTAATATTACCGCCAGAGCATGTTTTGAAGCGTGGCGATTCAGAGGCGATTGCTTACGCCTTCTTTCACTTGGCGCACTGGAAACAAATGGAGGGTGCACTTAATTTACTGCATTGCACGTGGGAAGGCACATTCAGAATGTTACCCTATCCATTGGAACGTGGACATTTATTTTATCCCTATCCAACATGCACAGAATGTGCAGATCGTGAACTATTGCCGGCATTTCACGACGTGAGTGTCTATCCAAAAAAAGAGTTACCATTTTTTATTTTATTTACCGCCGGTTTGTGCTCGTTCACTGCATTGGTGGCACTATTAACGCATCAATATCCCGACACAATGGGTGTTGTTGCACGTGCAATGCTCGCCTGGTTCTCTCTTCCATTCTACTATGTCAAATTTATTTAAATTTTTCAAAAATAACTCTTATTGTGATATATTCCTATAGTGCGCGCAATTTCATCATTATTTTCGAGGGAAAAAAAATTATTAATTAACGTTCAATTCATTTTTAACGATTCGTTATTTTATCAAATTTATTATTAAATTACTTATGAAAGTAATAAATTACACAAAGTAATTACACAAGGTGGGCATTTCCACGAGAATAATTGAATTTTTCGCTCAAATCACGTTATTATATTAATTAATTATAATTAATTACTTTAAGAATCCGGTAAATAAATTCTGTGTTTGAATTTAAAAACTCGATTATCTTCTTTTCTTTATTTTATTTTACACAAATTTATTTACTTTTTCGTCGAAATGCCCGAGTAATAAATTATTGATGAAACGATTATTAATAATTACTGAATTGTTAATTAATAATTAAAATATATAATCTATGTGAGAATAGGTTCAAAGGAGGATGACATTCTTTATTAGAGTTTACAAAAAAAAAATGTTATATTGAACAAATTGTGTTAAGATTATTTTGAATTTTGTTTTGTATTCTACATTTCTAAAATGTAGATAGGCACAAGATTTGCTTTGAAAGCTGAATGAACAATGAAAAATGAATTCCATATTTTATTTTATTTTTTTTCAGGACTGACAATACTCTTGTATTTATTATTATTATATTATTATTATTATTAATATTATTATTATTATTTATGAGCGAGTTAAGTCAATCACAATTCCATCAAAGATAAATTGTACAAATTAATAAAAAATCCATGTAAAGAATAATATTTTCTTTTCTATTTCACGAAAGAATTTAATTTTTTTTTCTTAATTCGTTCTAATAAAAAATTGAATTATAATTCAATTATTTTCTAAAATTTTAATGAAATTCAATAATGAAATATTTAATTTTAATTTTTAACAAATACAATTATTTTAAAAAATTTTAATTAAAATTATTAAAGATACTTCATTATTTAAAAAAAGTTCAAAGAAATTCCTCAAAAACAATTTAATTAGAATTTTCAAACATTGAAAATTCGACGATTTTCAATACATTAATTTTCTTTGAAAAACCCGCCAAAGGTTTGGAAATTCATTTCATTTGTCGAATTTTTCACTATAATTGAAATTTGTTTTGGTTCTAGTAATAATTAAAAATTTGAAAGTGTAGTATAGAAATTATATTTTTATTTAAAAGTTTTAATTTTCATTTAACATTTGTATCATTTCTAAACTTCCATCTTCTCGTACTTTTAAAATTTGTCTCAAAGAATTATCATTATTTTCAACTAATCTATTTTCATCCGTCATTGATATACTTTGTGAATCTTGATAATTTTTTAATTGTTCTTCCTTTTGAATATGTTCATCTTCAATTAAATCCGACAGATTTGATTCAATATTAATTTCATCCTTCATCAGAATATTTTCAACCTTTGAAATTTGAACGGGAAGTGAAATTTCTTCTTTTGCGTTCCCTCCATCATCTTCAAATTCTGTCGGAAGAAATGTATTTTTCCTTTTAAAATTTTAATCTAATTATTAAAAAAAAAATTTCTTACCTGTAACATTTTCGTTTGTTTTTTTCATTTTCTTGCAACAGTGTGAATTATTTTGTTGACTATTGCCAAGAAATTGAACACCACATTTATCGCAATTAATTTTCTTATTTATATGCTGTCTGAGATGATGAATCATAAATGTCTGATGATTAGTTGAATATCGACATTTGTCGCAGGAAATTAATTTTTTATTATCTGTCGCTGTTAAATTGTTGAGAATATTTTGTTTCTTTTCTTTAGTCGCGGTGACTTTTAATTGTTGTGTTGATTTATTAATTGAATCATTAGTATTAAGGTCAGCATTGTCAAAAGAATATTTACGTTCCAAATAACGTAGAACATTTCCTTTAACTGTTTTCATTTCCATTTCTAAACGATCTAATGTATTTATTAAATTTGCACAACTACGGCAAATAATGTCTTCCTCTGATATGATAATCATGTATCTTTAATATAATTATTTATTTATATTTATTATTTTATAATATTTGTTGTGAATGAAAAAAATAGAGAATATTAGAACAACAGAAAATATAAAAATATTACCTTTCTCCAATGAGTTCTCCTAATTTTTCAATAACTCGAGTTCTTGTACTCTGAGTTTTACACGAGGCGAGGGTATAATGTTTACCCTGCACTAGTGAATCGCAAACAAAACATTGCAAAATACCAGAACAATCGTTATTGCTTTTTACATTTGTTGACAATTCATTGGGAGATTTATCTTCCCGGCTATAATTTTGAGCCGGTTGAATAAATAATGAGTTTGAATTTTCCATATTTTAATACTGTCACAGTAATTGCAATTAATGAGAAAAATGAAAAAAAAACAATGTTTATTTTACACTTTTAAGGTTAGAAAAGTAAGTCATTCATTTCATTCATTTTGACTATGTTTTACTATCTTTATCATTTTTATAAACAAGGAATTGAAAATTCGTTAAATTACTGATTTTTATTCTCACTAGGCAATTTTCTTTATTTTTCTACAACAATAAAAGTGTAATTCTTGTAATTTCTCTTTTGTTTATTATTTTAAGACCGACATTTTTAAAGGTTGCGGCCGGTTTCCACGTGTGACATATGGGTAAAACTTAAGAGGCATTTTCAACGATCCTTCTCATTGGCTGTCATTTCTGGTGATTTAAACTTTGAAACCCAATGAGAAAAGAGAATTTTATATAGAAATGCGCCTTAACTATTTTTGCAACGACATCTGTTTAGGAAACGGATAAACAAGGAACTAAAAATTGAAAATTAACTGTCATTTTAGTTATTTACTTATTTATAATTTTCAATTATTTTTCTTTATAATTTTCACTTTAAATATTTATCATATTTATAATTATTAAATATCTATTATTTAATTTATTCGTTTTAATTATTTGATATGTGTTAGCTTCCAACGTAAGTAATAATCTAATTAATGTAATTATATCTTTTTCAACAATGTTATCTAGGTGTGAAAAAAAGTAAACAAAGTAAATATTTAAATATTTTTGAATAAACATATTATAGAAAAGTTGTTTCCAGTAATTTTTACTAAATTAAAATATCAATTAAATTTAATTGTTGACTTTTTATATAAAAGTACATAAAACATTTCGAATTTTGAGGTTATGTTTACTTGTTTTGTTTATCTCGTTCTTTTTTCTCTTTTTAGTTATAGGATTTAAAATTTTAATTCACTTTTTAAAGCTTAATTTTATTTTTTAAAGATGGAAGAATTAATGGAATTGTACGAAATTGACATCAGGAATATTTTAGAAGGTCAAGTTGAAGCTGAAAAAGCTCTATCCGAAAAATTGTTTTTAGCAAGTTCGAAAATTAATTCCAATATTGCGGAAAAATATGAAAAACATTTCAATTTAGAAAAAGGTAAATAAAATTTTGACTTCTTTCATCACTAAATTATAATATAAAATAGTTTTAATAATAAATATTAATTAATTTATTATTTATTTATTATTTAATTTATTAATATTTTTGTAATTTACCGTAAACGTAGACTAATTTTTGTTTTTGCAGAATTTATGAAACGCAGCAGTGAATTTAAACACGTCATACCTGAATTAAATAATCAAATTTTAAATGCCGAAAAAAATAGTGATACAAAGACTTTGAATAATAAACGTTTAGATAATGAGATGTCGAAGACTGTTGATTGTCGAGATTTGCTCAAAGCAAGAATAGAAGAAAGCAAAAATGAAAGAGAATCTCTCGCTCTTCAAGTGATTGAAAAAGAGAAAGGTAAATGTAAAATTCGTTTGTTTTATTTTAATTTCAACGACATTTTTGTTTCCAAACTTTTTAAATAATTTTTCTTTTCAAATTATTTCAATTTTAAAATTAATGTATTGAAAATCGTCGAAATGCTGCAAATAATATTATCAAAAAATTTGGTAATAATAGAATTCCTTCAAAGAATTTTATTATTTAGGAAAATAATTGAATTCTCGCGAAGAATTTTATTAAAATTTATAAAAATCCTTAGTAAATTATTTTGAAGAATTTCTTTGAATTTTTTTTTAAACTTATGGAGTTTCTTTAAGAATTTTAATTGAAAATTTTGAAAGCAATTGAATTTTATTAAAATTGTGTTGAAAATAATTTAATTCTTGCGAAGAATTTTACTCTATTTATAAAAATAATTGAATTGTTCCGAAGAATTTATTAATATTTTAGAAAATAAATGAATTTTATGTTAATATTTGAAAATTTAAATTCTTTCGACGAATTCTATTAAAATTATTTTGAAAAGAATTGAATTTCTGCAAAGGATTTTACTATTTATAAAAATAATTGAATTATTGCGAAGAATTTTACTATTTATAAAAATAATTGAAATGTTTCGAAGAATTTATAAAAATTTTAGGAAATAATTGAAATTTATGTAAATATTTAAAAATATTTGAATTCATCCGAGGAATTCAATTAAAATTGTTTTGAAAATAATTGTATTCCTGCAAAGAATTTTACTATTTATAAAATAATTGAATTCTTGCGAAGAATTTTACTATTTATAGAAATTAATTGAATTATTTGATGAAATTTTATTGAAAATTATTGTAGTTTTGAAAAAGAATTTTACTATTTATAAAAATAATTGAATTCTTTCAAATTGCATTGAAAATAATTTAATTTTTATTTAGAATTTTTTAAAATATTTTGGGAAATAATTGACTTTTATGGAAATCTTTGAAAATATTTGAATTCTTCCGAGGAATTCAATTAAAATTGTTTTGAAAATAATTGAATTCCTGCCAAGAATTTTACTAAATTTATAAAAATAATTGAATTCTTTTAAAACTTTTATAACAAATCAAGAAAAAAAATTTAATTCTTTCGTGAAATGTTATTGAAAATAATTGAATTTTTGCAAAGATTTTGCTACTTAAGAAAATAATTTAATTTTTTTAGTAGGATTTATTAAAATTTCACAAATTAATTGAATTCTTTCATGAAATTTTATTAAAAGTTGAAAAAAATTGAAGTTTGTCAAGAAAATTAAATAGGTATTTATAAAAATAATTGAATTCATTCGGGGAATGTTATTATTTATGAAAATCATTGAATGCTTGTGAAGAATTATATTTAAATTTTTGAAAATTCAAGCTAATAATTAATTATGTACTTAATAAGTGTTTTTTTTTAAATTTCGATTATGAAATTATTCAAAAATTTATATTTGTAAATAAAAAGCTATATAATTTGCATAATAATAATAAATTGAACATCTCGTTCCTCACGCGTAACATTTGCTAATATAAAATTAAGAATGACAATAAATGTTAATTATTTATTTTTTAAATTATAGAATTGGAAGAAAAGAAAGAGGAAAAGAAAGCGGATTTTGATTCATTGAAAAGGGCCTGTTTTATTTATAAGGAAAAATTAAATATGCGAATAAGGGGAGAATTTGAACGTAACAATGAAGAAATAATTGTGACATTTTTTTATAAAAAATACAATGATAAATACTGCGTTCATCTTTCGCGTAACGATTCAATTTGGAGAGGTTTGTAAATTATTTCAACATTTTTTTTTTCATATTTTAACGAAGAAAAAAATTTAATTAAATACACGATACATTTAATAATGATAATATATTTTCAGTGAATAAAATTGAACCTGAATTAAAGGTTGAACATCAAAAGGAACTGAATGAAATTGTCAATTTCGCCGCTGACTCAAAAGTGAACAACATCACTGTCTTCTTATGTAAAATGAGAAAAATATTTTTCAAACATTATTGTAAGTAGCAAAAATTCTCTGAGATTAACTATTTTTTTCTTCTTCATCTTCTTTGCATTGTCAAAGTGTGTTCATTGAATAATTAACTGTATGTATCTACTTTACGTGAAAAGGGCCAATCTATTATGTATGCACAACGTACGTTGATAACAATTCGTCCCTATTGGCACGAGTTAATAAAAGGTCAATTAATCGCCCACTCTCAATCATTCTATTGCAAACGCTAACGTAACTCAACAGATTTCATTCACTTTTTATTGACCTGGTCGTTTGTCTTCTCTCGATCGTCTTCAATTTAATTACTCTAATATCGAAATTCTCTTAAACGGAAATTTTATTTATTCAAATCTTTATTTTTCATTCTGATATTTCAAATTGAGTTTTTATAATATTATACTAAAGCTGATGCTGAAAATAATGCCAATATTGGATAAAGAAAAAAAATATTTCTAATGCATTACATTTTATTATTATTAAATTATAAATATATTTTTGTCTATAAAATGATACACAAAAAAATCGTCTCTCACATCGTTGAATAAATAAAAAAACAATGTTGATAATCGACAATTACGCAAGCGGAAATTTCTTTTATATATTTCAAATATAATATTAATATTCAAAATTTGAAAAGTAATTAATTAATAATATATATAATAAATTTTATTTTGTAACGATTTCTATTTTTTCGTCCAACTGTTGAATATTATACATACATAATAAATAAATTATATAAACAAAAATATGAAATACATATTTGGTATTATTTAAGTATAGTGAAGATACAGTTGAGTATTAAAAATATGGCTTTATTGTTAAATTAATAATATAATAAATTTACATTAAAATGTACATATTTCATCATTCCTAGAAACGTGAATTTTGCAAACTTTATTATTTTCCCTCACACTGCACAATTTTAGCCTTCAACTGTAAAATGACAAAAATATCCTTCTACGTACCCATCGGCTATTTTCTAAAGCCGTCAAATTTTACTCTAAGAAGTAGATCATAAATTAAAAAAAAAAAAAAAAGAAAAGAAAAGAAAAGGAAAATTAAAACAAAAGGAAATTTAAATTTAAGAGAAAATTAAAAAAAAATATTAACGCAAACAGAATACTAAAGTAAAAAAAATACTAAAGTAGAAAATACTAAAGCAAAAAAGTTCTAAGGAAAAAAAATGCTCAAGTAAAGAAAATTATAAATTTAATAAGAAAAAAGTAAAACAATAAGAGAGTTCAGAAAAATAATTTTTAAATTTATATCTAATAAAAACAATGGTAATAATAATAATAATAATAATAATAATAATAGAAAAAATAAAATAATTATCCGAAAATGGAAATTTCTAAAAAAAATATTTTTTTCTGTAAGAAATTATATAGAATAAAAAAAGAAAGAAATTTTTAAAAGTACTTAAAAATAATATTTTACACAAAAATATATTTTTTCTGAAAGAAATACACCTCGGATTTTATTTTGAATAATATACTTGGAATTTCGTCATTATTAATAACTTAATTATTTGATCACACGGAAAAAATATATTACTCGTGGCATAAGAAAACTAATTACTAATATTGCAACACTCTAATCAACAACTGTTAGTGAATCTTGAATTTATCATTTTTTCCTTTTCAATTAATATTTTACCTCGTTACTGTTATTATTACTATTAAATTACAAATTGCACTGATTACATTTATATTTTTTTATAAAATAAATTATAACAATTTTAATTATATTTTATTTTACAAAATACTATATTATAAATATAACAATAAATATATGTATTCTTATAATAATAATAATAATAATTTAATATTTGTTGAAACACTAATAATAAAAATAATAATAATAATATGTAATTAAATAAATATAATATACATATTATTTATTATACATAGAATGTATATATAATATATGTATACAAAAATATATTTATATATTTAATTATTATAATTATTACCGACAAATTTTTTTTCAATGCAACTTTCAGGTTTTTGGAAAATATTTTACAACATAAAAAAAAAGATCCAACAGTTTTTCTCACACAGTAAATAATTGTTTTCTTCCTCTAAACGTGGTCCCAAAATTCGCAACGCAGTTTCCTCTCTTTTTTTCCTTTTAGCTACATACACACTTATTATTATTTTTTTTTAAATATATACTTCATTTTAAATATACATATATAATTCTTTTTCTTTAAATATACATACTCACGCTTTTCTATAATTATACGAGAGAAAAAAAACCAGCACTGAATAAATTATCAAAACGAAACTAATCAAATAATCAAAAATTGATTAACTTTTCTTTTCAAAAACTTCAATTATCCACTACTGTAATATATATTTTTGAAGAAAATTACGAGAACTTAAGAATTATTGAAACAAAAGCTTCCAACAAAATTTTAAATCGATTTTTTCAATTTTCGATATTAATTTATAATTATTGTCAAATTTTTTCAATTCTCAATTATTTTTCTTTTTTGCATTACACGTGTAATTTTTTTTTCAGCGCACGTTTTTAAAATGTCAATAATTATAGGGGGGAAAAAAAAGAAAAATTCTTTTTTTCCTTTCTCAAAGAGAATTCTGCGTTTCAGAAAGAAAAAAAAATCGCCTCTTAGCTCTTGATAATAAAGAGTAAAGTCGTCTTTGAAGCGAGTGATTTTCTTTTTTTTTTTTTTTTTTGAAATGTGGGTCTTATTTTTTGGGGACATTTGGGTATCATCCCTAGGCTCTAGCCTACCCCTTGGATAATAAAATAATCCTTCGCGTTAAATAACAAAAAAATTTTCCTCGCTTTTTTTTTTTTTTTTTTTGCTTTTACTCGAGGGTCGCTGCAAACGAAACATTGCCACCGGAAGCGGCAGCTGCAGCCGCTAAGAAAAGAGTTGGCGGTAACGGTGGCAAAGTTGTCGATTCTGTCGACATTGTTATCGTCTGCGTTGTTGGACAATCGTTCGCAAAGCCATAAACTTTCGCGTGATTTACCTCCAGTGCCACTGTTAAATCGGCCAAGCCGGCGTCACACAATACTGGATTGTCTGGAAAATAAAAGAAAATATGCGCATGGAAATAAAAATTATTAAAAATTTTTTTTTTTTTTTTGAGTAAAAAAAACAAAAACAAGATAGTAATTAATAATAATAAAGTACATGTTACGGCAATTCCGGTATTGAAAATCATCCAATTGTTGCAAAGAATTTTATGAAAAATTTGATAATAGAATTCCTTTCAAGAATTGTATTAAAATTTTTAAAAATCCGAATTAAATTCTTTTAAAGAATTTCTTTAAATTCTTTTCAACTAATGGAGTTTCTTTAATAATTTTATTTGAAAATTTTGAAAGCAATTGAGTTTTATGAAGAAGAATTTTATTAAAATTGTATTGAAAATAATTGAATTCTGGCAGAGAATTTTACTATTTATAAAAATAATTGAATTGTTGCGAAGAATTTATCAACATTTTAGAAAATAAATGAATTTTATGTTAATAATTAAAAATTTAAATTCTTTCGAGGAATTCTATTAAAATTGTTTTGAAAAAAATTTAATTTCTGCAAAGGATTTTACTATTTATAAAAATAATTGAATTATTAAGAAGAATTTTACTATTTATAAAAATAATAATTGAAATATTTCGAAGAATTTATTAAAATTTAAAGAAATAAATAAATTGTTATGGAGAATTTTATAGAAATATTTGAAAATAATGAAACTTTTTCGAGGAATTAAATTAAAATTGTTCTAAAAATAATTGAATTCATGCAAAGAATTTTACTATTTATAAAATTAATTGAATTTTTGCGACGATTTTACTATTTATAAAAATAATTAAAATGTTTTAAAGAATTTATTAAAATTTTAGGAAATAATTGAATTGTTTTGAAGAATTTAACAGAAATATTTCAATATAATTTAATTCTTTGGAGAAATTCAATTAAAATTGTTTCGAAAATAATTGAATTTCTGTGAAGAATTTTATTAAAATTAAGTGTATTCAAAATAATTGAATTGGATTACAAATTATTTAATTCCTGCAAAGAATTTTAGTATTTATAAAAATAGTTGAATTGTTTAGAAGAATTTATTAAAATTTTAGGAAATAATTGAATTTTATGGAAATATTTGAATATATTTTAATTCTTCCGAGGAATTCAATTAAAATTGTTTTGAAAATAACTGAATTCCTGCAAAGATTTTTACTATAATATTTAAAAATAATTGAAATTGAATTAAAATTAAATTAATTAAAATTTTATAATTCTTTTGAAATTTTTTATAACGAATTAAGAAAAAATGGAATTCTTTCGTGACATTTTATTGAAAATAATTGAATTTTTGCAAAGATTTTGCTCATTAAGAAAATAATTTAATTGTTTAGTAGGCTTTATTGAATATTTTAGAAAATAATTGAATTCTTTCGTGAAATTTTTTAAAAATTTTATTCAAAATAATTGAATTTTTGCAAAAAAAATTGTACGATTTATAAAAATAATTGAATTCTTGCAAAGAATTATATTAAAATTTTTGAAAATAATAAATAATAAATAAATTGAAAATCACGTTCCGCTCGTAACATTTGTTAGTTTTTAATACAATTTTAATCAAAATCCTCGAAAAATAGAATTATTCTTAAAAATATTATTAAAATTCGTCCAAAGGATTTAACTATTTAAAAATTTGTTGATAAAATTCTTTAAGAGAATTTAATTGTTAATGAGTAATCAATTATTCAATAATTTATTTATATTTGTATTTTTTTTGGAATTCAAATAGAAATTCTAATAAAAATTGATTTAAAAATGAATTTCAGTTAAAATTTAGATAATGATTTGAATATTAAAATAAATAAATTTTAAAATTTATTAAATTTATTTCGGAAAATTTTTGCCGACTTTGAAAAAGGGGGAAAAATAAGTAAAAATAAAGGGAGAATTTTTGTTGTCTATAATATGAATGTTAATAAATAAGACAACACCCCGACATACCCTAGACAAGACTAATAAAATGTTAGGAACGTTGGCGTCTAGATTGCGGGTTATCGCACGCCATGTAACAAATAATAATAATACGTTCTCTTTCCAACAAGCAGAGAATTACTTGAACGTTTTATCAACAAGTAATTTATTCCATCGACTCGTCCGGGCTCCCAACTCAACAAGAAGAAGAAGATGATGATGATTCTCCTCATCTTCTTTTTCATAATCATAATCATCACAATTATCATAATCATCATCATCAACAACATTATCATCGTCTTCTTCTTCTTCTTGTTCTTCTCCATCCTTACAACTCGTTTATTAATTGTTAGCGTCCCCAGTAAAATTGGCGCGTATTACGCCTTGGTGAAAACGCGCGAGAAGAACCCAAACAGATCATGTGAGTTACGAATGAACAGATTAAATTTAATTATTATTCAAAATGACAACTACAATTCGATAACTGCCATATTCAATGATCTTTTTGCGTTTCTCTAAAAAAGAAGAAAAAGCATTCAATTAATAATTTCGAAAAGCATTAAATATTAAATATTTATTAAATTTTAGTAAAATATATTAATAAAAAAAAAGGAATAAAATTATTTAAAAAAAGGAAAAGCGTATAAAAATATATTTAAAAAAAACAGTTTTGCGTTTAAATCAAAATTACAAAATTTCAATTACAACCGAAGAAGAGAAAAAAAAACAATATTCAATTATAATCAGAAATAATCAATGGACATTAAATGCTCGTTTACTCCACGTGACCTAAAGTATGAAAAAGTCAATTGACAGCCACAGCGTCGATTAATAAATAGTATAATTTATATCTTCGGGCGTTCGTTGAAATAATTGAAAACTTTCTATATACGCTGGCAGAAAAAAAACAAAAAGAATTTAATAAATGCAATTAAATTTTTTCTAGCCTTTTTCTTTTACTTTAAAAATACTAAAAATTTAACATTTTGGAAATATTCATAAATAAAAACAAAAGCAATTCTTTTTTTTAGAAGTTTCGAATAAAAATACATCTCAGGCGGTGGCAAAATAAAGAAAAATTATTTACATGGAAAAAAAATACTATTTCACTTCCTCTTTATAAAAACAAGATTAAATTTTCTCTCTTCAAGTTCTCGCGTACATAATAAAAACATGAAATAAATCAATTGCTGAATACTGACTTTTGTCAACGATTTAACTGGATCAATGATTTCAGTTGATCCGAAAAAACCTTGACTCATAAAATGACATTCACATATATTTTGTTGTGGAAAAAAATGTTTGTTTACAATACTTATTAACCTCCGTCAAATAATTTATTTTGTAAACGATAAACATTTTTTCCATTTTCTTCAATAATAATAAGAAAGTTTTAAATATTTCTTTCTTTTTGTTTCACTTAATTTTCCAGAATTTTTGTAAATAAAATTTTTGTTTGAACATTTTTTCATACAGGCTTTACACTCAATAATTAATTTTAAAAAAAGTATCAAAAAGTAGCTATCGAAAATTAATTTAAAAAAAAAAAAATTATGTTTTAGTCGATTCACAAAAATTTGTAACTGATTTCAATCAAAAATATTTATTTTTATTCCAATTCTGCTTCGAAATTTTTGAAAAATTCAATTATTTTCTAAATTTTTGTCCTAAAAAATACAATTAGTATTTAAAAGTAATTTTTAAAAGTAAACAAATAAAATTATTTAATAAAACTTAATTTAAATTCTTCACTAGGAATTAAGAAAATAAATTAATAATTTTTCAAAGTAAAAATTTAAATGTTATTGCAGTTTTATAACAAATAAAATTTTCAACGATTTCAATTTAATAATCTTTTAGTCATTTCTGAAAAAAATTCTTTTTAATTCTAATTAATAAGCTTTTAATATTCAATTATTGTCTAAAATTTCTCACTGAAATTCGTTTTTAAATCAATTCTTATTAGAAAGTTCAATTCAATACCAAAATAAATAATACATTGAATAATTTAATGTTTCTCAAAAATTAATTCTTATAAAGAATTTATCAATTTTTTAAAAAATAATTTAATTTCTGTAAAGAATTTTGATATTTATGAAAATAATTGAATTTTTGCGAAGAATTTAATTTATTTTTTTTTTAATAATTGAATTCTCGTGAAAAATTTTATTATTTGCAAAAATAATTGAATTGTTCCGGAAAAATTTATTAAAGTTTTAAAAAATAAATTGAATTTTATGTAAATATTTGAAAATAATTAAATTCTTTCGTGGAATTATATTAAAAATTGTTTTGAAAAGAATTTAATTTCTGCAAAGAATTTATTAAAATTTTAGGAAATAATTGCATTCAAAATAATTTAATTTTTATATAGAATTTTTAAAAATATTTTGAGAATAATTGAATTATTTTTAGAGAATTTTAAATTCTTGTTGAAATTGAATTTTATGGAAATTTTTGAATTCTTGAGGAATTCAATTAAAATTGTTTTGAAAATAATTAAAATTCTTGCAAAAAATTTTACTATTTATCAAAATAATTGAATTCTTTTGAAATTTTTTATAACGAATTAAGAAAAAAATTGAATTCTTTCGTGACATTTTATTGAAAATAATTGAATTTTTGCAAAGATTTTGCTCATTAAGAAAATAATTTAATTCTTTAGTAGGCTTTATTAAATATTTTAGAAAATAATTGAATTCTTTCGTGAAATTTTTTTCAAAATTTTATTCAAAATAATTTGAATTTTTGCAAAAAAAATTGTACGATTTATAAAAATAATTTAAATGTTTTGAAGAATTTTTAAAAATTTTAGGAAATAATTGAATTGTTTTGAAGAATTTTACAGAAATATTTGAAGATAATTAAATTCTTTTGAGAAATTCAATTAAAGTTGTTTTGAAAATAATTGAATTCATCAACAATTGAATTCTTTCAATTTTTTGACGAATGTATTTAAAAATTGCATGGAAAATAATTTAATTTTAATATATAGAATTTATTTCTTAATATTTTGAGAATAATTGAATTATTTGAATTTTAAATTCTTGTTGAAATTGAATTTTCTGTAAATTCTTGAAAATAATTAAATTCTTTCGTGTATTTTTATTTAAATTGATTTAATAAAAATAATTTAATTTCTGCAAAGAATTTTAGTATTTATAAAAATAATAAGTTGAATTGTTTCGAAGAATTTATTAAAATTTTAGGAAATAATTGAATTTTATGGAAATATTTGAATTCTTGAGGAATTCAATTAAAATTGTTTTGAAAATAATTTTATTTTATTTCATTCTTTTTAAATAACTAAATTCTCGTGAAAAATTTTATTATTTATTTAAAAATAACTAAATTCTCGTGAAAAATTTTATTATTTGGAAAAATAATTGAAAATTCTTGTGAAGAATTTTATTATTTATGCGAAAATAATTGTATTCCTGCCTGGAATTTTATTTAAATATTTTAGAGATTTAACTACTATTTAAATAATGGAATAAAAATGAAATTGTTTATGTTAATTACCTTGTAAATAAATACGAAGTACATCAGGCACTCCATGAACTGTACATCGAGTATTAGCGACGAGTTCCGGTATTAAGGAACGAATTTGATTTGCGCTAACATCAGCCCAACATAAACCAGGGAATCCCTGGAAGTCTCGATCCGAAAGTGTGACTAGTCGATTATGTGATGCATTCAATTCTTCCAATAACGGAAGCCACGTCTGTTGATAAGAAAATATTCAGAATTTTATTTTTCGCTCTTGAAAAAGAATTATCGGAAAATTAATTGTCAAATCTACAAATTTTGAAAATAAAAAAGAAATTCAATAAATAAATTGCATTCATTTGAACGTGTTTAAAACTCAAGAGACTTTCAATTTGGAAAATAATTCCAATTACAACGTAATTTTCATTCATAAGAACAATGAGGATAATTTCTTATTGATAACGAGAAATTAATTGCAAGAAAAAGAAAAAAATAATAATAAAATGTCAAATGTGATAAATTTTTCAAGTAGAGAGAAAAGGAGTAAATGAGAAGAAACTTTCATCACCTCGGAAGTGTCTTCGAGGGTGATGAGTTCGTTGTGAGAAAGATCAAGAACTCGAAGGCCTTCCAAGCCACGTAAGTCATGAGGTCCGATCGTTGGTCCGAGTGCATTGTGGCTGAGGTTCAGTCTCTGTAATTCCTTCATACCAACAAATAACGAGCCTTCGAGGCTTCGCAGCTCGTTATGCTGTAATCTCATATCCTGGATACTGGCGCCAGCCGTCTCGTCGCCTTCTTCTTCAACAAGATTCTGCAAAAAACAGTTGTAAGCCCTCTTTTTAACGCCAGGTAAAACTATCTTTTATTTTATTACAACAGCCAACATATATATATACTGACAATGAGTCGTAACAATATTTTCGCGCTCCACTTGGCGAAAAAAAAAATCACCTTCACCACACTCAAATTTCTCACTTTCTTTCTTTGGTGGAAAATAAAATACAATTTTTTAAAACTATTTTTACAACTCTGGGAATTTTGTTTAAGAAAATTTTAAATTTATTTACAAAATTTCTATTTATTAAAAACGATTGTCAAATTATTCGAAAACATCAATAACTTCTTTTCTAAATAAATATTTAATTAATAATATTTTTTCGTAGCAATTCAAATTCTTCAAAACATTCAAATTCAAATGCTTTTGAAATTTAATAACTTATAAGAATATTTATAATAAAACATGAAGAAGTTATTTCTATATAATAGGAATATTTTTACTACAATTTGTTTCAAAATTATTTTCATCATTTTAATTCAATTCGTATTTTCTAGAATTTTTTTAAACAAAAATTCTTCTTTAAATCAAATCTTTAATAATTTTTGAAAAAGTTCTTTTTGAGAATTTTTAAATTCATTTGTTTACAATTCAATTTTACCAAAAATTTCGATTATTTGGAAATTTCTCAATGAAATATATATTAGAAAATAAAAACATCAAATAAGTTTTAAAAAAAAATGCAATTAAACTTTTTCAAATAAATTAATTTGGTTATAAGTATGAAAAATTAAGAGTTTTTAAAAAATTTAATTTGAAACCTTTTCAAAATTCAATAATTTCTTAAAAATCCATTCTATAATGCTTTTAATATTCAAATATTATTTGAATTTGAATAATTTTAATAATAAATATTAAAATCTAAAATTTTAACTAAAATTCAATTTTGAATCAATTTTTATTAGAAAATTCTACGAGAATTCAATTATTTAAATGCAAAAATAAATAATTTATTGAATAATTAAATATTTTTGAAATTGATTTTTCATAAAGAATTTAATCAAAACATTTTTAAATTATTGATTTCTTTTGACGGTTTTTAATAAAATTGTTAAGAAGAAATACATTTTTCGAGGAATTCGATTAAAATTGTATTAAAAATAATTGAAATTCTGCGATGAGTTTTATTTAGGTATGAAAATAATTGAATTCCTAAAAAGAATTTTACTATCCATGAAAATTATTCAATTCCTGTCAAAATTTTTATTATTTATTAAAAATAATTAAATTATTGAAAAGGAATTTATAAAAAAATTGTAAATAATAGAATTCATATGAAATTGAGGAAATTTTTTGAAAATAATTGAAATTTTGCCAAAAAATTTGTTAAAATTTTTTTAAAAATTGAATTTTGCCAAGAATTTTTGAAAAAATTTTTTAAATAATTGTAGTTCGGAAAAGAATTTGATTAATTATGAAAATAATTGAATTTATTCAATTTATTATATTATATTTAATTTATTATTATTTTATTAATTAATTTATTGAAGAATTGAATATTTCTTGAAATTGGATTCTTATACATAACTTAATTAGCAAATTTTCAAATAATTCAACTCCTTCAATGAATTTTAATAACGTTTTTAAGAATAATTCAATTTTTCGAGGATTTATGCAAATTCTAATTTTTAATAATTAAATTCCTGCATGGAATTTTCAGTATTTTAGAAAACAATTAAATATTCGTGTAGAACTTTGTCAAAATTGTTTTTAAATAATTGAATTCTTTTTGAAATGTTGACGAAATTTTTTTTTTAATTTTTAAAAATAATTGACTTTTTGGAAAGAATTTAATTCAAAAATTGTATTGAGAATAATTCAATTCTTATAAAGAGAATTTTCTAAAAATGTTTAAAAATAATTGAATTCTTTTGAGAAATACTGTTAATATTATCTACATTGAAAATAATTGAATTACTGCCAAGAATTGTATTCTTGAAAATACATTTAAAAATAATTGAATTCTTGCAAATTTTATTTAATGAATTTAATTAAAATTTTATTGAAAATAATTGAATTTTTTCAAATGTTTAAAAAGTAATTGAATTCTTTCGATAAATTTTATTAAAATTGTATTAAAAATAATTGTATTCCTGTGAAATTTTTATTTTTTTGTAAAATAATTGAATGTTCGTGTAGAATTTTATCAAAATTTTTTGTTGAATAATTGAATTCCTTTGGAAAATTTTATTAAAATAGAATTTTAAAAATCATTGAATTACTTAAGAAAAATATTTGCAAATAATTAAAATTTTATTGCCATGAATTTTATTAAAATTTTTGAAAATAATTGAATTTTTGCGATGAATACTATATTATTTACGAAAATAATTGAATTTTGCAATGCATTTTTTTTTTAAGTTCCCGAAAATAATTGAATTTTATCCAAGAATTTTGCTATTCATTTAAAAGATAATTGAAATGTTGACAATTTTTTTTTAGATTTTTTGAAAATCATTGAATTTTCACGAAGAATTTTATTTATTTTGAAAATAATTGAATTCTTCTGATGAATATTGTTATTTATGAAAATAATTGAATTTTACAATGTATTATATAAAAATTCCTGAATATAATTGAATTTCGCCCGAAGAATTTTGCTATATTTATAAAGATAATTGAAATGTGGATGAGAATATTTTTTCTTTTAATTTTCGAAAGTAATTGAATTTCTGGAAGGAATTTTGGTATTTTTTGAAATAGTTGAATTCTTTCAAAGAATTGCGTTAAAAATTTCAAAATTGAAACTATGTTTAAAAGAATTTCCATCATTATAATAAAACTAAATTCCTTAATTTAGGATTAATTTTGAAGAAAATAAATATTTTTTTTTAACAAATTCTCAAAGAAGAAAAAATTAGTTTTTAGTGTCACAATTATAAATGAAGCATTCAAATAGTAATGGTAAGAAAGTATTAAATAGTAGTTGAATGCGAAGTCTGTAAAAATTTCACACTCAAGTGCAGGCGCAAAAATAGTGAAAAAGAAAAATAATAACGAACCTCCGAAGGCTTCCCTCGTAGTAATCTATCGATTTTATTGTTGGATAAATCGAGTAAACGAAGTTCTCGTAATCCGCGTAAAGAAGCAAAGGAAAATTTACGCAATTCATTGTGCGTCAAATTTAAAGATCTCAATGATCTCAATGGATAAAGGGCACTGTGTCCACCGCCATCTCCACTTTCATTGCCATCGCCACCCAGTGATTTCAATGAATTGTGACCCAACTCAAGATTCTCAAGATTTTCCACTTCGACAAAGTCCTCATCTGTCAGCTTTAGAGAATACAACACTTCTTTTTTTTAAAATGAAACATAAATACATACATATAAGTTTTTTTTCATCAAAAAAAAAAAAATCTATTTTAATGGGTGAGAAAAAAAATATGTAATCTCCGAGATTACCGATTTCTTGAAAACTGATTTTAAAATTCCATTCTTTCTCTCTCTCTCTCTCTATGAAAAATATTTTTCTTTTCTGTTATTTAAAAATTGACGAAAAAAAAATAATTTTATTACGATTATTGTATTTTTTGTTTTGGAAATTAAATAAACTATTTTGTCTAGTTATTTACTCTCAAATAAATTATTGTTTATTTCAAAGTAAAAAATTTAAATTTTCCATTATTTTAATAATTTATTTAATAATAAAAATTTCGAATTAAAATTAAAATTCTATACGAAAAGAAATAAAATGAATAGAAAAATGTTCTCCCTTACGAATTCAATTTGAAGGTAAAAAAACATTATATACAGAGAGAGAGAGAGAAAAAAAGTGACGTCGCAGATATTAAAACTCGAGTCAAGTAATTAAGTTAACGGTTTAATGATCAATTCTGAAATCGTTGAATGAAGCATAGCGAGCGCATTTATTTGCCATTATTTTTATTATTGTTATTATTATCGTATAGGTATACTCGTATTTTAATCAGCGTCAATAATAAACCGAGTCTTCAATTCAAGGAGTGACGATGCATGTCATATAGTGGCGTATTAATCGGTCAATAAGTCAAAAGAGGAAGTCGTTTAATAAGTCACTAATCCAATAAGCATTTTACCTCGCAAACGCGCGACGGAAATTCTCCATTCAGTAATTGCGTTATGCAGGGTAATTGCGCTAATGCTCGGCACGCTCTCTTCTTTCAACGCCCTCAACGTTTCAAAATACACGCTCTCGTTAGTCGTTACTCGTTACGTTTTGCATTTAATCAACATAAACATTCAATTCGTCACAATTCTCATTTTAATAAAATTTACATCTTCTTCTTTCACCCCAGAATCTTTAGTTTTCAAACTAAATTTTAATCTTTGCTTTCTTTTTTCTATATTAAAAAAATCGTTAATTATTTAAAAGGTAAAAAATTTATAGGAAAAAAAATGTCAAGCTTTTGATATACTTACCTCTTGGATATTATTGTAGGATAATTCCAAGAGTTTCAAACGTCTCGCTTTACTAAGGTTTCCATCAAGACTCTTGATTCGATTATGTTGAAGGAAAAGTGTTTCGAGTCGATGTAGAAAACGAAATTCAGGTGGTAAATGAGTCAACTTATTGTCAGCGGCATAGAGCATTTTTAAATTATGACCCGACGATGGTAATTCACCGTCCAAATACGTTAATTCGTTCGAATTTATAAAAAGCAATTCGAGTTGATTAAGATCTCTGAAATAAAAACGAAAAATTCCGATTTCTTATATTATTTTTACGCATTTAAATCATAAAAAATGAAATATTCTATATAAAAATAATTCAATTAAAAAAAACAAATAGCATTTCCAGACTTCGCACTCGATAATTAATTTTAAGAAAAGTATCAAAAAGTAGATTTTAAACTAAAGAAAAGTAGTAAAAAAAGGTAGCTATTGAAAAATTAAACTTGACGACCAAAAAACGTTTTAGATACTTCAGAAAACTGACAAAAATTCCATTCTATATTTTATTTTTCTCACTTTTTCCTAATTTTCATCAAAAATATTTACTTCTTTCTTATCCTGCTAATAAATTTAATTCCTACAACGAATTTAAATATTTATAAAAATAATTTAATTCTTGCGAAGAATTTTATAAAAATTTTTATATAATTGATTTCTTTCGACTAATTTTATGCAAATTCTAATTTAAATAATTGAATTCCTGAGAAATTTTTATTATTCATGAAAAGAATTGAATTTCTGCAACGGATTTTACTATTTACAAAAATAATTGAATTATTGCGAAGAATTTTACTATTTATAAAAATAATTGAAATGTTTCGAAGAATTTATTAAAATTTTAAGAAATAATTTAATTGTTATGAAGAATTTTATAGAAATATTCGAAAATAATAAAAATTTTCCGAGAAATTCAATTAAAGTTGTTTCGAAAATAATTGAATTTCTTTAAATAATTCTATTAAAATTAAGTATATTCAAAATAATTGAATTCATCACAAGAAATTTATTATTTTTTGAAAATAATTGAATCCTTTTAATTTTGTTGACGAATATGTTTAAAAAATGCATTGAAAGTAATTCAATTTTTAAATAGAATTTTTTAAAAATATTTTGAGAATAATTGAATTCTTTGTAGAGAATTTTAAATTCTTGCTGAAATTGAATTTTATGGAAATTTTTGAAAATAATTAAATTCTTTCGTGTAATTTTATTTGAATTGGATTAAAAATAATTTAATTCCTGCAAAGAATTTTAGTATTTATAAAAATTAAAAATAGTTTTAGTGTTTCGAAAAATTTATTAAAATTTTAGGAAATAATTGAAATTTATGAAAATATTTTAAAATAATTGTATTCATCCGAGAAATTCAATTAAAATTATTTAGAAAATAATTGAATTCCTGCAAAGAATTTTACTATTTATAAAATTAATTGAATTCTTGCGAAGAATTGTACTATTTATAAAAATAATTAAATTTTTTCGAAGAATTTATTAAAATTTTAGAAAAAAATTGATTTTTTTCGAAATGTGTTGAAAGTATTTTTAAATAATTGATTTTTTCGAGGAATTGAAATTAAATTTTTAAGAATAATTACATTTTTCAAGCAATTTATGTAAAATTGTATTAAAAAGAATTAAAATCCTGCGATGAATTTTATTATTTGTGAAAATAATTGAATTCCTGAGAATAATTTTATTATTTATAAAAATAATTGAGTTATTGCGAAGAATTTTAATAAAATGTTTAAAAAGAATTGAATTTGTGTGAAAAATTTTGTTATTTTTAAAAATAATTGAATTCTTGTGATGAATATTGTTATTTATGAAAATAATTAAATTTTGCAAAGAATTTTATTAAAATGCCTCATCAAAATAATTGAATTTTCGGGAATAATTTTGTTATTTAACGACATAATTGAATTCTTTGTAGGAATTTCATTAAAATCTAAAAGAATAATTAAATTATTTCAAAAAAATTTAATTAAAATTGTACTTAAAATAATTAATTTCTTTCGAACAATTTTATTAGAATATTTGAATATAATTGAATTCCTGTGAATAATTCTAATATTATTGTGAATAATTGAAATCCTGCGATGGATTTTATTATTTATGAAAATAATTGAATAGTTGCAAAGAATTTTATTAGAATTTTCAAAATTAATTGAATTCCTGAGAAGAACTTTATTATTTATGAAAATAATTGAATTATTGCGAAAAATTTTAATAAAATATTTAAAGAGAATTGAATTTTTGTGAGAAATTCTGTTATTTTTGAAAATAATTGAATTCTTCGTACATAAGAATTTCATAAACATTGTTTTAAATAACTATTTTTTCGAAATAGAATAAATATATGAAAATTTTCATTTTAAATAATAATTGAATTCTTGTGGAAAACTTTATTTGTGGAAAATAGTTGAATTTTTCGATTAATTAATTTAAAATAGTATTAAAAATATGTAATTGAAATTCTTCGATGAGTTTTATTATTTTTATGGAAATAATTGAATTCTTGCTTAAAATTTTATGAAAAGTTTTTTTAAAAAATTGAATTTCCATGAAAACTGTTATTATTAGTGAAAGTAATTGAAGAATTGTATAAAAATTTTGTTAAATAATTGATTTTTTCGAAATTTTCTTGAAATTGCTATTCTAAATTAATTGAATTCCTGTGGAAATTTTATTATTCGTGAATAATTGAATTTTGAATGAATGTAATCAATTTTGCTTTTAAATAATTGAATTCTTTCGCAAAATTTGATGAAAATACTAGATATTGAAAATAATTGAATCTTTTTAAAGAATTTGATTATAACTTTTGAGAATAGTTTTTTGATTTCTAGTTTTAGCGAATTTAAAGTAGTGGAAAATAAAAAAAAACAGAAATACCTAGTAGCTTTTAGTGGCTGAAATCTAAAAAATGTACCCTAATAGTAGCTTTTAGTAGTGCGAAGTCTGCGTTTCTTAAAATTAATAAAATATTATGTAAAATCGATATTTTCGGCCTCATTGTTTAAATGAAATTTGTTTACCTCAAAGTTCGATTCAATGTTTTTAAATGATTTCTCCCGACGTGCAGTTGTTTTATCAAAGGCGGTAATGAACCAGGTACCATTTCCGATAAAGTATTTCCAGCCATGAGTAAAAATTGTAACACAGGATTGTACTGCAAAATAAGAAAAAATTTTTATTTAACGATATTTCAAAATATCCACAATTTTAATAAATATTTATTCTAAATTTTACTTATGTGACTAATATAAAAATAAATGTCAGAAAATAAATAAACAAAATATTAAATATTCAAAAATACATGATGCAAAAGTTTGCAAATTTATAAATAAAAAAAAATAATTTACAAAAATATGTTCCTTCATTTAAATAATAAAATTTTTAGAAATATTTATTTTAATGAATTTTTATATATCGGGAGAATCGTAATTTTTTTTTGTAAAACTTTAAAACAGTTAAAAATTTGGATTTTAAAATATTGAGAATTAAATATGTTATGAAATCTAAAACATACACTGAAAATACCTTAAAGTCGTCCGCTTCAATGCGACTGATTCTATTTCTGCTAAGGTCGAGAGTTCTCAAAAGCGGAAGGTGAGATAAAATTTTCCTCGGTACTGATGGCACTTCATTGTCCGCGAGGCTCATGTACTGCGTCCGACTTAAACCCGCGAAAACGTCACCATTCACATTCCTGAAATCAGAAAAAAAACAAAAAATTAATCATTTTATAGAAAGCATAAAATAAAAAATAATTTTTAATACATAAATTAGTTTTCAAAATAAACATCTACTTTGTGAAGAAAATTAATTATTTTACCCGAAAAAAAGAAAATACTCTACGTACATTAAATTATTCTTCCCGACTTGTTATAAAAGATTGAAGCACAGAAATTTATTTATTCCCTCATTTATCACTGTACTTTCAATTAAATTATCTTATAATAATTTTGTAATTTAATTATCAATAATTACTGATAAATTGCATTATTTGACAAATTATTTTACAAACTGAAAATATCATTAATTTTTCATTTTCTTTTCTCCTTCTATAATAAAAATGTGAATAGAAAAAAAAATTAATAAATTAAATCTGTGAATTGATTAAAAAAAAATCTAAGACCTTCTAATTTTTTAGGAGAATTTAATAAAAAAATTGAATAAAAAAAATGAAAAAAGTTTAGAAATGTCGCAAATTATTGAAAAAAAATTGGTTTATCGCATATTTAATTATTAATTGATGGTATTATTTTACAATAATCACGCAGACAGTGTATTTGTCGCTCAACATTCTCTCATCTCAATATCGCTCGCCAAGGATACAATATCAAGAGTCAGGTCTGACCAAACTCTACTGGTAACTACTTGAATTTGTAAAGTTCACTCACTTCAATATTTGAGCGACAAAAAAACGATGAAATTCATTTCTTTAATTTTTAATTTACTTGACAAAATTTATTTTAATTAAAAAAGAAGAAAAACATAATTTTCCAACTTTTCGCGTAGAATTAGAAAAAAAGAGAAATTAGAAAAATGAACAATTTTAATTTAATTCCTCGGAAGAATTCAATTATTCTTTTAGATTTTAATAAAATTCTTCCAAAGAATTCAATTATTTACAGAAATAATTTTTCGAAAGAATTCAATTCTGTCGATAAAAAACCAAATTATTCCCGAAAATTCAAATATTTTGATGAAGCATTTTAATAAAATTCTTTACAAAATTCAATTCTTTTCAAAAATAACAATATTCATCACAAGAATTCAATTATTTTTAAAAATAACAAAATTTTTCACAGAAATTCAATTCTTTTTAAACATTTTATTAAAATTCTTCGCAATAACTCAATTATTTTTATAAATAATAAAATTCTTCTCAGGAATTCAATTATTTTCACAAATAATAAAATTCATCGCAGGATTTTAATTCTTTTTAATACAATTTTACATGAATTGCTTGAAAAATGTAATTATTCTTAAAAAATTTAATTTCAATTCCTCGAAAAAATCAATTATTTAAAAATACTTTCAACACATTTCGAAAAAAATCAATTTTTTTCTAAAATTTTAATAAAACCTTCGAAAAAATTCAATTATTTTTATAATTATAGTAAAATTGTTCGCAAGAATTCAATTAATTTTATAAATAGTAAAATTCTTTTCAGGAATTCAATTATTTTTAAAACAATTTTAATTGAATTCCTCGAAAGAATTTAAATTTTCAAACATTAACGTAAAATTCATTTATTTTCTAAAATTTTAACAAATTCTTCGGAACAATTCAACTATTTTTATAAATACTAAAAAATGTTTTGCACGAATTAAATAATTTTTAATCAAATTTAAATAAAATTACACGAAAGAATTTTATTATTTTCAAAAATTTCTATGAAATTCAATTTCAACGAGAATTTAAAATTCTCTAAAAATAATTCAATTATTCTCAAAATATTTTTAAAAAATTCTATATAAAAATTAAATTACTTTCAATGCATTTTTTAAACATATTCGTCAAAAAAATTAAAAGGATTCAATTATTTTCAAAAAATAATAAAATTCTTGTGATGAATTCAATTATTTTGAATATACTTAATTTTAATAAAATTCTTTAAAGAAATTCAATTATTTTCGAAATAACTTTAATTGAATTTTTCGAAAAAATTTCATTATTTTCAAAATTTCTATAAAATTCATCATAACAATTTAATTATTTCTTAAAAATTTAATAAATTCTTCGAAACATTTCAATTATTTTTATAAATAGTAAAATTCTTCGCAATAATACAATTATTTTTATAAATAGTAAAATCCTTTGCAGAAATTCAATTCTTTTCAAAACAATTTTAATAGAAAAATTCATAAAATTCATTTATTTTCAAAAAATTTAATAAATTCTTCGGAACAATTCAATTATTTTTATAAACAGTAAAATTCTTCGCAATAATTCAATTAGTTTCAATAAAATTTTAATAAAATTCTTCTTCAAAAAAATTCAATTATTGTTTTCATAAATTTTCAATTAAAATTATTAAAGAAACTCCATTAGTTTAAACAAAATTCAAAGAAATTCTTCAAAAGAATTTAATTAGAATATTTTAAAATTTTAATAAAATTCTTCGCGAGAATTCAGTTATTTTCCTAAATATAATATAATTCTTTAAAGGAATTCTATTATTATCAAATTTTTTGATAAAATTCTTTGCAAGAATTCGATGATTTTCAATACATTAATTTTAAAATTGAAAATATTTGAAAAGAAAAATTACAAAAAAAATACAAAAAAAGATTAAAATTAAAAATATTTGAAAAGAAAAATTACAATTAAGTTAAGAAACAAAAATCGTGTATAAAAAACAATAAAACATAAAAAATAATAAGAATAATAAAAAGTACAAAGAGAAATGAAATAATAAATAATATCGAATTGTTGCCCAGGTCAAGGACCTATTTTTATTATTATTATTATTATTATTATTATTATTATTATTATTTCATTAACTTCCTTTATTTCAATTAACCAAAATGTTTTGTAATATGAATCGCGCGATATTTACTTGAGACTTATACAAATTAAATTAAACATAAAGATAATCGTGCAACTATAGACATGACATTGTTAATCACTGCCTTGTATATAATGATTGTGATAACGAGAGAGAGAGAGAGAGAGAGAGAGAGAGAGAAAACCATGTGTGCTAATCAGAAACGTGAGTGCTCGAATTGATATGAGATAAATTTTTATCATATTATGATTTTCCCAGCATTCTCTTCAAAAAAAAAAAAAAAATCAATTCTCGCTGTTTTATTGCCAAATAATTTTTTGCGATGATTTCTCTCGCGCGACAATTTATATTTTCCCCTCCTCTAAAGCGTCCTCGAGGCGCCATGCCTCTGGTATTTAAATATTTCGTAAAAGAAAAGCAATAAAAAAAGTGATAAATTTATTGTTTTCTCTCTTTTTTTATTCTGTACAGTAATCAATGATTTTTTTTAATGTAATTAAATATTAATTAAGTATAAAGCTATCCATAGCAAAGTTTATCTGTTTTGATATTAAAATTATTATAAATCTTCTAAAATGTCTTATATAAAGGCAAAATAATACAAAATATCTTGAATGACTTTTTATTTTTGTTAAGGAAGGTCAGAAGAAGGTTAATTGTCATTCATTTTTTTTCGGAGTATTTTAGATTCTCTATATTGATGATAGAATTTTTTTAATGCCTTATTTTTATTTATTTATTACTTTACTATTTATTATTTATTAAAAAAAAAAATTTCACGAAAGAATTCAAATTTTTTTTCTTAATTCGTTAGGAAAAAATTTCAAAAGAATTCAATTATTTTCTAAAATTTTTATAAATTCTACAAAAAAATTCAATTTTTTTTTATTTTTTGTTTCATAAATGTTTGATAATATTTTTCGAAAAAATTAAATTATTTTCTAAACTTTTAATAAATCATTCGAAACAATTCAGTTATATTTCTAAATACTAAAATTCTTTGCAAAAATTCAATTATTTTCAAAATTTTTAATTAAAATTATTAAAGAAACTATATTGTTAAAAAAAAATTCAAAGAAATTCAACAAGAAGACTTTAGAATTTTTTAAGATTTTAATAAAATTCTTCACGATAATTCAATTATTTTCCTAAATAATAAAATTCTTCCAAGAAATTCTATTAACAGATTTTTAAAATTTATTATTTTATCATTATTTACTTTTTTTTACTATTATTTATATTACTAAAAAAATTAAATAAAAAAAAATTTTACTAAACGATTTATTCGTTTTCTTCTTCTTTTTTATGAATCATTATTTCGCTACGTGTTTTTTTTTTTTTTTGTAAAAAATAATTTTTCAAATGACAATCGGCTCTTAAAGAATCTCAAGAATTCCACATGATTTTATGAAAATATAATAAATTCGTGGAAGCAAAAATTCCGTCTCGTAAAAAATGACTCACACGAAATTTTCTCAAATAACAAAATTTTTCTTCAATGAAAATCAAATTAAAATTAGTATCGAATTCTTTCGAAATGAAAATTTAAATGGAATAAAAATTCGCCTAATATGGAATTGAATAGAAATTCTATTAAATAAATATTGATTTAATTGGAAATTCTCTTAAATAACTATTGAATTAAATGAAAATTCTATCAAATAATTATTTACTGATGTAAACAAATATTTTTCTTCTACTATTTATAGATAAAAATTTACACAATTCATTCGTTTCAGAGTTAAATTTTAAAATGACAAAATTTGATCGATTCTTTTATTGTTTTATTGCTTTTAAAAATTTCGTTAAAGCAGATTTTTTCTAAATAACCATTAATTTCAATTGGAATTCTTTTTCAATCAGAATTAAGAAAAAAATTTAATTCTTTCGTGAAATTAGTTTGAAAATAATTGAATTTTTGTTAAGAATTTCACTATTTATAAATTTAAATATAATTGAATTGTTCGAAGGATTTATTACAATTTTATAAAATAATTTAATTTTTTCGAAAAATATTAAAAATTTTTAAAAAAATTGAATTCTTTCATAAAATGTTATTAAAATTTTATTAAAAATAATTGAATTTTTGCAAAAATTTTATTATTTAAAAAAAAATAATTGAACTGTTTCGAAGGATTTATTAAAGATTTTGAAAATAATTGAATTTTTTTCATATATTTTATAGTTAGGAAAAATATTGAATTCTTTCGTGAAATATGTTATTGAAAACAATTGAATTTTTGCAAAGTTTTTATACTATTTTTTTATACTATTAAAAAAAATAATTGAATTGTTTCGAAGAATTTATTAAAATTTTTGAAAATAATTGAATTTTTGCAAAGATTTTAAACTATTTAAAAAAATAATTAAATTGTTTCGAAGGATTTATTAAAATTTTTGAAAATAATTGAATTTTTTTGAAAAATGTTATAACAAATTAGGAAAAAAAATTGAATTCTTTAGTGAGAGAAATTATTTATTTTATTGAAAATAATTGAATTTTTGCAAAGATTTATTTAAAAAATGATTGAATTCTTTCGAAGGATTTTTTAATATTTTAGAAAATAAATTGAATTGTTTTTTCATATATTTTTCTAATTAGGAAAAAAGTTGAATTCTTTCGTGAAATTTTATTGAGAAAATAATTGAATTTATGCAAATATTTTCATAATTAAAAAAATAATTGAATTCTTACAAAGAAAAATAATTTAATTCTTGCGAAGAATTTTATTAAAATCTTTGAAATTAATAAACAATAATAATTTATGTATTAGTAAATTAGTTAATATCTGAATTTTTTTTAAGTTTGAATCTGGAATTATTTAAAATAAAAAATTTTCTAATTTTCATAATAATAAATTATAGCTAGTGTAATTAATTAATTAGAAAAAATTCAATCTAACGAAATCAATAAATTAATTGAAAAGAAATTTTGTAACAGCAAAAAATAATTTATATTCATTTTTTTTAAATTTATAGTCTACTTTTTCGTGTATAGAAAAAAATGCGGAAAATAGGCCAATTTTTATGTAATTCTTGTGCAAAGAAATTTTTATTAAATATCAATTCAGATTAATCAAAATTCCATTGAATTAAAAACACGATAAAATGAGAATTCTATTTTTTCTAGTTAATTTTTTATCTACTTTTTATTTCGTATTTATTTTCAAATAACCAAAGTTTGTCTTTTGTATTTGGACGAAATAAAAAGTACATGTAATTAATTAATTTAAAAAAAATTCAATCTAACGAAATCGATTAAAAATTCTGAATATTAGTAAATTTTTAATTATTCTCGAAAGAGAGAAATGGGAAATATTTTTCTCGAATTTCCGGAAGCAATTTCCGTAAGTATTAGGAAAGAATTATAATGACGTTAATGAGCTTGGGAGAGACTACTCACACAAGATGATCGTGATTAAGGTCAAGTCTAACGATGGACATCCTCAGCTCCTTAAAGTCATGCCTCGATATGTCGCGCAATTGTGAATGTGACACCCTCAATGTTATCTGCTGTTCGGGGGTGAATTTCCCGCTAAGCGCCTCCGCAACCTGATCGAATGATTCCATTTTTTCGCAAACAACTTCAATTCGTTCCAAATGAATGTGTCCATTTCCATTGTTATTATTTCCATTATTACTCAAACTTGGATTAATAATCGGCGCCTCTTGACGGCATGTACAGGGGCTGATTTCCCGCCTGACAGCACAATGAAGACTTGAACTCGCTGCCAATCCCAATAGTGTATACAACAATCCCGACATGATTTCAAAAAAAAATACTCTATATAATTTTCTTTTTTTCTTTTGCCTAGAGATGATCCATGAGAAATATTTTGTCGATTCACGCAGGCAAGTTGTGTGTAAAAAAAATAATCCTTTCGAGTTTTTGCGAAAAAAAAATTTAAATTCCTGTTCCTATTGGTTCCACATTGGACACTCCACACTATTATTTCACCTTTTTTTTTAATCGAAAAATTTATATTTTTTGTTAAAAAAAAAAAAATTGATTCTTTTGAGCACAGAAGCAACAAGTTATCAAAATTCCACTGCACTGACACTATCAACTGGGGCTCATTAGAAACATTTTTCTCTTTTTTTTTCTTTCGTGGGGGTGGTTGAGATTTTTAGTTCCTCGAGGCGGAATTGTCACACCAATTGGACTTTTTTTTCTTTTTGTTATTATTTTTTGTTTTTTTTTTTTGATCGATCAACACACGTATCGAGACGAGTCAGAGTGTCTCGACGAATTATCGTGATCGGCCTTCCTCTTGGCGCCACGGACGCGGCAACGACATTAAGTCGCCACCCGCAGTGCGAGACTTACTTATAGTCTCACGTCGACGCGGCGCCGCGCTGCAGGGAGGGCTTTCCATACACGCTGTACAGCAGCATCCAGTAATGCATTTTTATTTGTTTATCTGTATCAATTTTCCTCAATTATCAAGTGGGTTATGCCCAATAGTATCGACAGTTCTGTAAAGAGAGAGAAAGATAAATATTCAAATTTCTTTCTCAAAAAAACCTTCATTCAAAGACAATTTTCATACAGAAGAATTTTACCTCTGAAAATTGCGGCTTATTAATCTTATTCTTGCTTATTAATTTTGCGCAAAAAAATTCTTAGTCGATTTAATGTTCGAAAAATATTGTTTCGTTCAATTTCCCAAATTTCTCCAGGAAAAGCTTTCTTCAGATAATTTTCTTTTTTCAACTCCAAGTTTTCCTAAAACACAATTACTAAAAATTATTAATTGTTCCAATTTTCATTGTAACTAATTATTTTATTCAAATTGATCATTTCATTCGTTTTAAAATTTGATCGATTGGCCTTTTTTCTATTACAGGCATCACAGTAGCTTTTTTCCTCAGAAAAGGTACTAAAAATAATTGAAATTGAAATTAAATTTTAACTTAATTTAAAATATTGTATTGAAAATAATTGAATTCCAGCAAAGAATTTTATTATTTATGAAAAGAATCGAATTCTTCCCAAGAATGTTATTAAAATTGTACTGAAAATAATTTAATTCTTATCAAGAATTTGATTTAAATTTTAGAAAATAATTAAAGTGTTATTTTAATTTTTAAAAAAATAATATTGTTTTGTTAATAATTTTTATTGGAAATTTTAAAAGTAATTGAATTTTATGAAAAATTTCTCTAAAGTTTCTAAAATAATCGTACTCTATTATTAATTGTAATTAATAATTTTATTAAAAATAATTGACAGAAAAATAAATTCTTTTAAAGAAGAATTTTATTTGTTTTCGTAAATTATTTCAAATTTTTTTTCTTTAAAATTTTTGACAATAAACGAAATCAATTAATATTGTTAAAAATAATTGTATTTTTTCTAGGAATTTTATTTTAAATTTATTAAAAATAATTATGAATTCCTCCAAGGTATTTTACGTTTTATAACAATAAATGAATTCTTGCAAGGAATTTTTGGAAATAATTACATTTTTTTTGGAAGAATTTTATTAAAAATCCAATTCAATTGTTTCGAAGGATTTTTTAAAATTTAAGAAAATAATTGAATTCTTTTGGAAAATTTTATTAAAATAGATATATTGAATATCATTGAATTTAGGAAAATTTTTGCAAATAATTGAAATTTTGCCAAGAATTTTATTAAAATTTTTGAAAATAATTGAATTTTGAAGAAGAATTTTATTATTTTTAAAGAGAATTGAAATTTTGACGAGAATTTCTTTAAATTTTTGAATAATATTGAATTTTTGCGAAGAATTTTATTACTTTTGAAAATAATTGAATTTTTGCGATCAATTGAAACTTTTTCAAAATTCAAATTTATTTAGTGTTTTTAACTAATTTTTAATTTTAATTCTTCGATAAATTTATTATTTTTAATAATTAATTAAATATATTAAAAAAATGTAACTAATTTCAGAATAATTGAAATTTTGAAAATTTTTGCAAAAATTTAAGTTCTTCAGAATTTCTCATGAAATTCATTAAAAATTGAAATTTTATAAAATTTTAAATTAAAATCTTTTGAAGTTAATTTGTTTATGAAAAATTCTAAACGCAACTCTTTTCAAATTCAATTAATTTTGAAATCTATAAATAAAATTATTCATTAAATATTTTCTAAGTAATAATTTTATGATTGAATTCTTTCGTGGAATTTTTTTGAAAATAATTGAATTTTTGCAAAGAATTTTACAAATTTATAAATTGTATAATAATTGAATTGTTCCAAAGGATTTATTAAAATTTAAGAAAATAATTGAATTCTTTTAAAAAATTTTATAACGAAATAAGAAAAAAATTGAATTCTTTCGTTGAATTCGTTTGAAAATAATTGAATTTTTGCAAAGAATTTTACAATTTATAAATTGTATAATAATTGAATTGTTCCCAAGGATTTATTAAAAGTTTAGAAAATAATTGAATTTTTACAAAGATTTTTTAACGAATTAAGAAAAAAAAATTGAATTCTTTCATGATATTTTTTAGAAAATAATTGAATTTTTGCAAAAAATTTTACTATTTATAAAAATAATTGAATTTCTACGAAGAATGATATTATTTATGAAAATAATTGAATTCCTCCGAAGAATGTTATTATTTATTAAAATAATTGAATTCTTGCGAAGAATTTTATTAAAAATTTTCGAATTACTAAACAAGAATAATGAATTAGTAAATTAGTTAATAATCAATATTTTTGAAGTTTGAATTTAAAATTATTCAAAAATTCATATTTGAAAATAAAAAGTTTCCTAATTTGCATAATAATAAATTGAATATAACGTTCCGCGCGTTAGTTCGTGAATAACTTTTCTTATTTCTTCCAAGGGTTGAAAAATGTTTCTCACAAATCAAGCATTGAAAGAAGAAAAAAAAACAATCTTTTTTTTTGCTGCCGATAAAACACGCATTGATATCTCTATAAATCTATACGACAAGACATCCGACTATTTTTATCTACACTTAATTTTCCACTTTCTAATTTTCCTCCATCGCACCTTATCGAGATGTCTTCGAGTACTTGAAAAAAACAATCTTCGTCTCGTAATATTTTTTTTTTTTATCGAAAAGAAGACCTGCATTTTATTTCAATTTATATTATACTTTGTCTCAAAGACTATCCATCATTCATTCTATTTAATTACTATTTGAAAAGAGAGAAAAAAATCTCGTTTCCTCTTTTCTTATCTCTCTCTCTCTCTCTATGTATCCTTCTAAAAATTTTATTGACCACTGCGCCTTTACAAATTGTTATTGATGTTATCTCCGTGAAAAAGAAGCTCTATATTCAATATCGAATACGGAATTTCAAAGACTTATTAAACTCTTGACCTTTACGTTACGCTGCAATGAAAAATAAGATCAACAGATTTTTAACAAAGAATAACGTAAACATTTTTTAGTAGCAAAATAAATACCAAATTTTTTTAATTAAATTTATTTTCTTCTCTACACTCAAAAAAGAAAAATTTATTTGATTTAAATAACCGATTACTTGACTATCAATTAAATATTTAATTGAATCAAATAATATTTATTGGAGTTAATTAATCGGTTCATAATTCATATTTGCTTCAAATACTGAAATTATTGACATTCAAATACCATTTAATTGACTCCAATAAATATTATTTGATTCAAGTAAATATTTAATAGATAATAATCGTATAACGGATAATAATAATAATTAATCCGTTATTTGAATCAAATAAATTTCTTTCTCAGTGAAACTAAAAGAATAAAAAGTAAAAAAGTTAAAATTTTTAAAATTTAAATTAACAAAATTTTAAAATTTTGTTTACTTGAAAAAATTTGTTAAAAAATATTTTTAATTTATTTTTAATATATTTTAATATATTTTTAATATATTTTAATATATTTTTTATATATTTTTAAATATATTTTTAAATATATTTATTAATATATTTATTAATAATTTTTAATATACTTTTAATAAATTTTTTGTTTTAAACTTAATTTGGAAAAAAAATTTGCAAAAAAAATAACCATTAACAGAACACTTTTAGAAAAAAATTTCAAGCTCAAAAAATATATATTTTGTTTTATCAAATCTATAGAAAGATTAATGAAGATTTTCACACTATTAAGTAAAAAAAAAAGAAGAGAAAAAATTAATTAATAACTGGACACATACACAAAGTAAAGTCACATGTTTGAACTTGAAAACCGGAAATAAGCACATTAAACTAAATCAATGATTGCGATGAATTCTTTTTTTTTTTTACTCTTTTAGAAGAGAAAATGAGAATAAGTAATGGGACGAGACGCTTCTCGCATATGGATCGTTCCATAACGAAGCGTATAATACAAATGCGATCAGCGTATTTGCATCGATAAGGGAGAGAGAAAAAAAAGAGGATTGCTCAACTTTTGACCTTTCACAGCCATATATACTTATTATTATAGGGGAATGGAAAATATGAGATAATTAAATTTACTCTAATATTAACAAAATTTACGTATTTTTAATATTGTATCCTTAAAAAATTTTTTCCCCTTTTTTTAACAAGGGACATGTTTTCTTTTTCTTTTTTTCGAAGAAAAGAATAAGATATCGCTGAGAATAGATGATATCGAGGTGGTCGAACCTATCGACACTCCAGGAATGCTGGTTTCGTTTGGAACTACAAGCTTCTGTTGCTACTGCTTTTACGAATCTCGGCCACGTGATCAGGGACGCATTTCACATAATATTTAATTGTACATGCACTTTTTTTTTTATTTTTGCAATTTTTCTATATTCCTCGAACACTAGTTCAACTCTATTTAAACCAATTTTCAAATTAAAAAAAAGGGGATTTTAATTTAACCAAATCTTCTTTTTACTTGACAAAAAGAATTTTGAATTCTGAATTTCGATTTAAACGACTTTTAACGAATTATAATTATTTGTCATTATTTTTTTTTAAATAATAAAACTAACAACCATTCGCACGCTAAAGCGCGCGGCTAACTTCTTCATTGATTTTTAAAATAAAATTTATTTTAAAAATTTTTAATTCAAATTTTTGTTGAAAACACTAAAAAAAATTCAATTTTGGAGAAATTACGAATAATTGCATAAATTCAATTATTTTCAAAAATAATAAAATTCTTCTTATAAAATTCAATTATGTTCAAAATTTGAAAAAAAAATTCTCGTCAAAATTCCAATTATCCTTATAAAATAAATAAAAATTTTCTTTGAAATTCAATTATTTTCAAAAATTTTAATAAAATTCTTGTCCTAATTTCAATTATTTTGAAAAAATTTCTTAATTCAATCATTTTCAATATTTATTATTTTAATAAAATTTTCCAAAATAATTCAATTATTTAAAAAAAATAATTGCAAAGAATTTTACTATTTAATAAAATAATTGAATTTTTTCAATTGGATTTATTAAAATTTTAGAAAATAATTAAATTATTTCAATGAATTTATTTAGAAGTTTTAAAAATAATTGAATTTTTGCGAAGAATTTTACTATTTATAAAAATAATTGAATTGTTTCGAAAAATTTAAAAAAAGTTTAGAAAATAATTGAATCGTTTTGAAAAATTTAATAACGAATTTAGAAAAAAATAATTGAATACTTTGCCGAAATTAAATTGTATTGAAAGTAATTGAATTCTTCCGAGGGAATATTATTATTTATGAAAATAATTGAATTCTTGCGACGAATGTTAGTAAAATTTTTTAAAATAATTGAATTGCTGAGAAGAATTTTATTATTTATGAAATTTTTACAAAATAATTGAATTCTTCTCAGAATTTCATTACAATTTTCTAAAATATAATTTAATTCATTCAAAGAATTTTATTAAAATGTAGAAAATAATTAAATTCTTTCGAAGAATAGATACTATTAAATTTCTTTAATTTATTCAATATAATCAATTTTTTTAATAATTGTATTTAATAATTTTACTATTAAAATTTTTTTAAATTATTGATTGAAAATTAAACTATTTTGAACAATTTTATTAGAGTTTTTGTAAATAATTAGTTTTTTTTTGAATAATTTTAATTGAAAATTTTGAAAATAATTCAATTCAACAAAGAATTTTTTTTCCTTTTTTTTTTAAATAATCGTGTCTGTTAATAATTGTAATTAAAAATTTGATTATTGAAGTCTATTAACATTGAAGAATTTTATTATTTGTAAAAAATAATTTAATTTTTGCGATGAATGTTACTACTAATAGAAAAAAATAAATTGTTTCCAAAGGATTTATGAAAATTTTAGATAATAATTGATAGTAGTAAGAAAATGATAAAAATTAAATTCTTTAGTGAAATTTTTTTGAAAATAATTGAATTTTTGCAAAGACTGTTTAAAAAAATAATTAAATTCTTTCAATGAATTTATTAAAATTTTAAATTAAATAATTGAATTCTTTCGTGAAATTGTATCAAAATTTTGTTGAAAATAATTGAATTTTTGCGAAGAATTTTACTTTTTATAAAAATAATTGAATTGTTACGAAGAATTGATTAAAAGTTTGGAAAATAATAAATTGAATCTTTTTGAAAAATTTTATAACGAATTTAGAAAATAATAATTGAATTCTTTCCTGAAAGTAATTCAATTCTTCCGAGGAATATTATTATTTATGAAAATAATTGAATTCTCACGAAGAATTTTATTAAAATTTTTAGAAATAATTGAATTCCTTTGAAGAATTTTACTTTTTATAAAAATAATTGAATTCTTCCAAAGAATGTTATTATTTATGTAAATAATTGAATTCTTGCGAAGAATTATATTACAATTTTTGAAAATATAAACAAATAATTATGTACTTAATAAGTGAATTTTTCAAATTTTAATTATGAAATTATTCAAAAATTAAAAATTGAAAATAAAAAATTTTGTTAATTGCATAATTAATAATAAATCCAACATCACCTTCCGCGCGTAACATTTTTTAGTTAAGAATTTAATTATTTCGAATACAATTTTAACTGAATTTCTCGAAAGAATGTCAATTTTCTTTTAAACAATTAAACTATACATACAATTTTAATAAAATTCTTCAAATTCCATTATTATTTAAATTTTTTTTAAAGAAATCGTCAAAATAATAATGTGAAGAAAAATTTACTAATAAATTAAAAATAGAACGAAATGTCCAAAATAAGTTCTTTTTATATGGTAAAATCTTCATTATCTGACATCATTAATCAATATAATAGTGTATAGTTCTCTCCAAATCTAAATTTCACTGGTTTTTAATGTGATAAATCACAAGTTACATGGCGCCTCGCACCAACCAAATAAATCATTGAAATTCTTTTGAAAAAACAAATTTTCAAATATGAATTTTTGAATTAAATTTTCGTCAAATTTTCTATATGTGAATTAACGAAATAAAATAAAATATACTATATATGAGAAAGTGTTTTTTTTCTCTCTTTCTGGGTTTTTTTTTAAATGTAAATAAACTGTGTTGAAAGAGAAGTGAGTAAAGATATTGTCTCCATAACTATTTATTTTTGATATGTGGCGCTAGCCGATAAGAACCAATCCCCTTTTGAGTATTACAGATAGATAAATCTATCTCTTGGTGACACTACAGAAGGGAAGCTTTAGATAAAGATTTATCGTTCATCGGCACATAGAAAACTGTCGTAATTTTTTTTTCTCTCCCTCTTTTTTTTCTTTTTCTTTTTTTACTTTCTAAATTAACAATTTTTTTCATGTTTTCGCAAACAAAAAAAATTTTGTTATACCTTAAATCTCAATTAATAATTCTATAATTTAACATAATCGCAAAAAAGGTAATTTCTCTTCTACTTACATAATTAAGAATTTCGAATAATATTCCATTGTTCCAATTCCAAAATTTTGTCCAAGTGAATCCAATCGTTTTGTCATTGTTCTTTTTTGTAAGTCGCTGTTCAGTACTTCCGCATTTAAATACCTAAAAACAAATTAATTTTTAGATTTTTTAAATATTGCAATTCAATTAAAGTTTTTACTTTCTAAACAATAATTTTGATTAAATGATCAAAAAAAAAAGGAATCAACATTTTAGTAATTAAAAAAACAATATGTAAAATTCATATATAATATTATAAATTCACAGCTTCGAGAAAATGAAAGTCATAGTGTAATGATTCAGGAATGTGTATATATATATATCTATATATATAAAAAAAGGAAAAGAAAAAAAATACCGTGGAACGAAAATTCTTTTACGAACTTGATCATTTTACCCTCAGTCGAGTCTTACTTCTTCAGAGAAACAGATCCAATGTTTGCTCCGCGATCCTTCCCGAGATAAAAAAAAAACCAGGTACCTGTAAGTAGGAAGAAAAGAAAATATTTACTTTATAGATTACAAAAAAATTAATAAACATTATTTATTTAGAGAATAAATATTCTATTTATCAAAAATAATAATTTATTTTTCAGTTTTTCATTAATCAATTTTCAAAATGGAAATACGAATTTTTCAATTAACAACGCTAATAGTATTAATTATCACTATCAATGCGACTGCTAATGATTTTTTCGATTTACTCGAGAATGAGGAGTTTCGAATTAATTTAATAAAATGCATCTCTGAAGATGAACCATGCGAATCGCCAATGGATCGGATAAAACGTAAGGAACATTGTTTTTTTACATCTTGTATCATTTTTCAACAAAAAGTATTTCTAAATTTATAAAAGGAAAATTTAAAAATACTTAAAAACTATTTTTTTAATTATAAATTTCCAAACAAAATTTTAAATAATAAATTAAAGGATTGTTTCTTTCCTTTTTATTTATTTTTATTTATTTTCATTTATTTTTATTTATTTTTATTTATTTTTATTTATTTTCATTTATTTTCATTTATTTTTATTTATTTTCATTTATTTTCATTTATTTTCATTTATTTTCATTTATTTTCATTTATAATAAAAAAAAAGGAATTGACACAGTTTTGAAAATTAATAATTTCCAAAATGTGATGCGAAAAATTTAATGTATGAACTTTAATGCATAAAAATTGATTTCTTTCAGCAATGGTGGTCAATGCTGTATTAAATTACTGTCCTAATTGTACGGCATTTGAAGAAGAGCAAGGAAAAAAATTCATGTCTTACTTGCAAACGCGTCATCCCCTAGAATGGATAGCAGTCGACGATCGTTATATTTATTAACTATTAATATTACTATTACAATTAGTAATAATTACTAACAAATAAAATAATTTTGTAATTATTGTTATACTAATAAGTTTGTAATTATATTGAAATTAATGTATTTTTCTAAACACGAAACAGAAATTTTTTTTTTATGAATAAATAACTATTTACAAAAAAAAGCGTTTGTTTTATTCCAAAAAATCCAAATTTAATTTTTTTTTCTCTAACAATTCTCAAACATTGAATAGTAATTTTTGATTAAAACTTTTGAAAAATTCAAATATTCGAATTTCCCGAATTTTTCATTTTTGTTATTTTCTTTAAATATTTTCTGTATTTTCTGTATTTTTTGCATTTTTAACATTTTTATTATTTCTACTTTGAATATTTAAAAAGTAAAAAAAAAAAGAATCTTGTGTGGAAATTTGAATTAAATTGAAAAGAAAAAAAAATTCGTGCTAAATATATATTCGTCTTGATAGCGGACAATGGACTCGAATTGTTATTGTCAGATAATAATTATTCACCGGGCAGTAAGACGAGGACAAATCAATGTTTCATCCCGGTTGTTGAATTTGGGATCCGTGACCGTTCTTAATCCTCAGGGGGCACAAGTACACTATAGGGGGCAACTACTTGTGACAGTTAACAAATGCGAGAATGCGGCCTGGCGCCAACGCACACAATCTCAAATAAACGCGCACAAATAATCTATTTCAACTCACTCAACAATTCTCATATGTGAGCCTTCATGAAACAGATTTCATTGCACGCAAAAATCCCATTGCTCTCCAGTTCTAGAAAATAAATAAATAAATAAATAAAGCAAACAGAAAAAGGAACTTATTTTCACTAAACAATTTTAAAATCTATTTTTATTCTTTTAGAGAAATGATTGTGTATCGATATATTTTACCAAGATTTAGATATTAGAGCTCGAACCAGTAAAAGTATTTAAAAATAATAAATACGAACTTTACGGACCAAAAATGAAAAATTACGGACCAACTGACAAAAATATAATCAGGCCGAGTCAAATAAAGGAACATTTTACTTAAAACTAGAAATTCAATTTTTTATAACTATAAAACATGAAGAAATCGATAACTCCGAGTCTTCGACTCGGAGTGATCCATTTATTCATGTTTTAATTTTTTTTTTAATTTTAATTAAAAATCTTAACAAAATTCAATTATTTATAAAAATTGCAATTATATTAGTAACTTCTCCTAAATTTAATTATTATCTAAAACTTTAACTAAAATTCATTTTTAAAACAATTTTTATTAGAAAATTTATGAAAATAATTGAATTATTCCGAAGAATTTTAGATAAGAATTTATTTTTTGAAAATAATTAAAATTCAATTCCTGTAAAGGATTCAATAATGCTTTTGGTAAATAATTTAATTCCTGTGAAGAATTTTATAAAAAGTTTTTAAATAATTGAATTCCTGATAAAAATTATAATAATTTTTGAAAATAATTTAATTTCTGCAAAGAATTTTAATAAATTTTTGGAAAATAATTGAATTCCTGTGAAGAATTTTATTATTTTTGGAAAATAATTGAATTCCTGTAAAGAATTTTATTATTTTATTATTTTTGGAAAATAATTGAATTCATGTGAATAATTTTATTAATTTTTGCAAATAATTGAATTTCTGCGAAGAATTTTAATAAATTTTGAAAATAATATTGAATTCCTGTGAAGAATTTTATTATTTACGAAAATAATTTGAATCACCGTAAAAATTTTATTATTTATGAAAAAAATTTTGTACCTAAATATTGAAATTCCAGTGAAATTTTTATTATTTTTTGAAAATAACTAAAAGTTTGTGTAGAATTTTATTAAAAATTTTTTTAAATAATTGAATTCTTTTGGAAACTTTTATGAAAATAGTAGATATTGAAAATCATTGATTTGAGGAAAATTTTTGAAAATAATTGAATTTCGAAGGAAGAATTGAATTATTTGTAAAGATAATTGGAATTTTGACGAGGATTTAAAAAAAATTTTGAACATAATTGAATTTCTGCGAAGAATTTTATTACTTTTGAAAATAATTGAATTTCTGCAATGATTTGTAATTTTTCTAAAATTCTCCAAATTATATCGTAAAATTTACGAACTTTTCACCTTTTTTTTAATCAAATTACGAATTTTACGGCCGATAATAACTAAAAGTAAAAATTCGAGAAATGAAAAATTGTTTTAGTAGGAATCGTAGCGAAATGGAAATATTAAGTTGAGAAGAATAATTATTGTCCTTTGGCTTTGTTATTATTTTAAAGGACGAATAAATTTGATAAATTTAATAAATTTTGTGATTAATGGTGTAATAAATTAAGATTTAAAGAAACATATGTTACCACTCAGTAGTTTGTGTGTGTGTGAAGTGTTTTGCTTTTTTAAATGCCATACTTTTGTTGTTGTTGATGTTCTTCTTCTTCTTCTTTTTTTTCCTCCATTTTTCTCTTCGACAGGCGCCGGACCGCAACGGTAGACAGGACGCGCCACACTTCCTGCATACAAAACTGCAATAGGTCCCCATTAACATTCTTCGCGACCGCGTTTTGTATTATCTTGACCAACATCTTCTCACTCCATATCAAGTTGTGGTAAAAATCAAATAAATCTCACGTACCCTCCTCCAAACGTGTCTATATAATGTTTACAAAATACTCCTGTCAAAATAAATCATAAGCTTCATAATTTATGTATTAATAACAATTGCGACTGTTTATGCTCGAGAGCATTAAATCTTTTTCTCTACTTTTTCTATACATTCTCGAAATTTATAAATTATAATAACCTCAAGAACATATAAATTATTAACTAAACAATTTGTACAAAAAAAAATAAAGTGAGATAAAAATATCATCTCGAGATATAATAATAGAAACAAAAATTAGTCGCATTGAATTTTTTCAAGTGGCACAAAACTTTTTTGTTTCCTAACTTTTAAAATAATTTTTCTTTAGAAATGTTTTCAATTTTAAAATTAATTTACTGAAAATCATTAAATGTTTACAAAGAAAAAAAAATTTGAGAATTGATTGAATTTCTCCGAAGAATTTTATTATTTATGAAAATAATTTAATTCTTGCAAAGAATTTTATTAAAATTATGGAAAATCCTAATTAAATTCTTTAGAAGAATTTCTTTTAATTTTTTTTAATTAAAGGAGTTTCTTTAATAATTTTAATTAAAAATTTTGACAGTAATTGAATTTTACAAACAATTTCTTTCAAGTTTTTAAAATAATCGTGTTTCTTAATAATTGAAATTAAACAATTAAATTATTGAATTTTATTGAAATTTTTAGAAAATTATTAAATTCCTATCAGAATTTGATTTTACAATTTTCTAAAATAATTTAATTAATTTAAGGAATTTTATGAAAATATAGAAAATAATTGAATTGTTTTGAAAAATTTTATTACAAAATTTAAAAAAATTGAATTGTTTTGAAGGATTTTTTATAATTTTAGAAAATAATTGAATTCTTTAAAAAAAATTTATAACAAATTAAAAAAAATTGAATTCTTTCGTGAAATTTTGTTAAAAGTTTTTAAAAAATTGAATTTTGGCCAAAAAATTACTATCTATAAATATAATTGAATTCTTTCAAAGAATGGTATTAAGTAAGCATAATAATTATAAATAAAAATAAAAAAATTGCAAAAGACAACGAAGTGGCATCATAACCTAAAAGGCAACTTTTAATATACGCAAAAGAATAAATTTCAACTATTAAATGATTAACAGTACTGAGATGTGAAATTTCGAGCAATTTTGCTGCAAAACTTGTTAACCATTTAAAAATAAAAACATAAAAATAAGAACAAAAGGATTAATAATAATCATAAAAATTTGTTTCGACTGTCGGTTGTAAAATATTTTTTGCAATAAAAAAAGTTGTAGGTTATTTACTAGTAAAAAATATTTTTACTAACTTGTGATCCTTGTGATTCTTATGAAAGTAACTGTAACAATTATTCAGTGTTTGAAAATAAAAAATAAGACTTACGAACAATAAAATCATCGAAGAAATTCTCTGCGTGGTCACATTTCTTCGCAAACGGAATTGCGGATACTAAAATTTGCCATAACAATTTTATAGACATTATTTTAGACGTTTTAAAACACATTATCTCCCGTACACTCCCATAGTTATATATTTCAATCTTTGTTTCTTGCAATTATCTAAAGTCAACGAAAAAACAAGAGAAGTGCGGTCAGTTAATAACGAATTTTAGAACAACAAATCGTTGAAATTGCGCCTAAATCGCTTTATGTAAAGGTTAGGTTAGGTAGTACAGTAATAATAGAAATTTCTTTGTTTTTAAACTTATATCCCTCTCCTTATTGGCTTGCCGAACGTTGGATAAGCAAATCGATGAATTTCATTGGTGGACAAGTTTTAAGCCTATTTCCTACTGGCTGCATTTTGGAGCGAATTTCAAATTTCAAGGATTTTTCATTCAGCCATAACCAATGAGAACAGAGGTGGAAATTTATTATGGAAATTTTCCAAAATCCGTTACATGTTGTTCCGTTTAGGTTTTCTAATTTTTCTCAACACTTTTTATTTCAGTCTTTCTATAAAGTATTTTATTCAAAATTAAATTTTGGAAAAACAAAACGATAGATTGACAAAATATAATTTGTTCGCTTCAATGGCAAAAACGTAGGAACAGTGCAAGTTTCATTGTAACTTTTGAAATATTACCGCAGTAATTTTAACACGTGACGGAAATCAACCTAACCTTAAATTTAGAACTCATCGTCGAATGTTTTGTTTATAAAACCGGTTAATTCGTTATGTGCCAGTCCTTTGTTTGTCGATTATTGTAGTTTACTTGTATAAAATATGTAGTTGTCAAAATGTAAATTTAAAACAAAATCGTTTTCGTGAGTTTTCTTTTTGTTTTGTGTGCAAATTGTATTATAGAAAATAAAGCAAAAGTATGGAGGAGGCAAGTGTCAGTGATCAAAATACTCCAACGACAATGTCGACGCAATTAGATTCAGAAGAAGCTGAAAGATGGTAATATCTTATTAATTACTTAAAAACCTTAAAATCTTTAAAATGTAGATTATAAAAATAAAAGTAAGATAAATTTGTCAAATTCTCAGCATTAAGAATTCGGAAGGAATGTGGAATGTCACTTACGAACCAGTAATCAATGTTTTCTGTCAAGATAAAAGTATTATAACAAACGAACAAATTCACAATCTTTTGCAAGCTTTTTTGAGATCTGATTTAAATAATATATTGGTTCCTGCCTCTGGTAATAGTGTAATGTTCGAGGAGCATTTAAAACGTCATTCAGGTTAGCAATTCTTTTATATCGAAATATATTTTTCTTGAGTTTTTAAACTTGCATTTAAATAAATTATTTTTTTCAGCTTTTTTAACATGGCTATTTGGTGTATTGTTTACATTAACTGGTACTTCCGAAGACGAGTTGGTACTTGAGTACAGTATTGATATACAAGCTAAAATGTTAAAATTACTCATGACATATGACTTAAAAATATATTCGATTATTATGGCCGAGTATATTATAATTATTGAAGGTAGGTCATAAATTATTTTCCTCTTTTCAACATCATGGTTGGTATAGAAAATTATTCAATTCAATTATCTTTATAAATAAATAGCAAAAATTCTTGGACAACAATAAAAAAAAATCTAAATTTTGTCTGGAAAGCAGGGAAAATTAAAATTTTTAGTAGCAACCCTGAACATTTATCATATTTTTTAACTTATTTATTAATTGATTGTCTTTGTGAATATTTTTTTTCTCTGAGACAGAATTAGTGAGATTTCGAAAGCTCTTCGCGGACAGAAGAAAACCTGAATTAAACAAATTTAGAAGTGATATAAATGTAATTGGTAGAATGGAACTTAAAAATTTACCTACAAAAATCAGGTGTCTTGATTCAACTCTAGAATCCATTTTGAAGGTAAAATAATACTATAATTTAAGAAAAGGACAATTAATACAAAATTAGTTTATACTTTATTTCAATTTTATGTAATTCTTTTTTATTTCTTTCATTTAATTTGAATTAAATTCTAATTCTAAATAAGTGAATTTTATTTTCTAAATTAAATTTCCATTTATCTATTTATTCATTTTATTTCTATTTAAATTTTTTTATTCTAATTTTAGATTATGCTTAAAACGAGAGTATATAAATGGAGTTGTGAATTTCCACTATGGAATAATATTATCGATGTCCTTTCCGTTTCGTCACAGAAAACTAAAATTATTTCCTTTGATGTAATATTTGAACTACTCGACTTTGATCTAAAGAGCGATTCAGTAAGTATCTTTTCAATATTAATTATTGAAATAAATATAATTAAATATAATTTATTATAATAATTTCGGAAATTATTTTAATAATATTAATGAATTTCGCTAAAGCTTCTTAGATAATTATTTAGGCGAACAATTCTTGTAATAAAATTAATTTCTTTATTTGCTCCTTTGATAAATTTCTCAATTTTGTTTTTTTTTGTAAGGAATTGGACAGAATGTTTAAGGCCGTGACTGAAATGACTAATTTAATATCAGTTTGGAATCAAGAGGGAACACTTTCAAAGGATCTTTTAAAAATATGCCCGATAATTTTTCCGAAATTACTTAAAATTGCCCGCTTATCGAAACCAAGTGTTCAAATAACGAGTTTATGTTTAGCACTTGTCAATTTAATATCTCAGAAAATTATTGGTAAGCAAAAAATCTCTTCAATTTTTACAATTTAAAAGATTAATTTTGTTTTATCGCAAATGTACTTTATTCCTTTTTCACGCAGGAGACGAATTAAAGCAAGAAATCTACGATATTATTTACGACTTTCAAAGGCATAATTACATATTTCCGATGCTAACTGATTATCAATGTATCATTTTATCGGAAAATTTACCGGTGAGTAGAATTTTACTTCATTTTAACTGGAAGAAATTAAATTTTTAGAATTTATAAGAAAATTCTGAATTTTTCAGTCTTTTTTGTTTGCCTCATAAACTAAATAAAATTCCTAGCAAAATTTTAATTATTTTCAAAAATTTTCCTCATTTCAATTATTTTTAATATAATTTTTCAAAAGACTTCAATTATTTCAACAAAATTTGAATAAAAGTTTTACAGAAATTCAATTACTTACCAATTTTTTATAAATTTCTTCGAACTAATTCAATTATTTTTATTTTTTAATGAAGTTTCTCGATAGAATTTAAATATATTCAGAGAATTGAAAAAAAATAGTTCTGAGAAATTCAATTATTTCGAAAAATTTAAATAAAATTCTTTTAAAAATTCTATTATTTAAAAAAATGTTGACAAAATTCTTTACAAGATTTAGTTAATAAAATTGCAATTTTTAATAAAATTTTCCTATACAATTCAATTATTTTTAATACAATTCTTCTTAAGAATTCAATTATTTAAAAAAAATTGGAATAAAGTTCTTCGCAAGAAATCAATTATTTTCATAAATAATAAAATTTTTCTCGAGAATTAAATTATTTTAAAAAATTTTGATAAAATATTTTATATAAATTTGACAAAATTATAATAAAATTGATCATTAAATACAATTATTTTCGTAAAATATAACATTCTTCCTAGGAATACAATTATTGTCAAAAATGTTTGTAAAAATCTTCGAAACAATTCAATTATTTTCGTAAAAGATAAAATTCTTCGAACCAAATCAATTGTTTAAAAAATTTTAATAAAATTCTTCCCAAGAATTTAATTCTTTTATGAAATAAACATTTTCAATGAAATTCAATTATTAAAAAAAAATTTTTTTTTAATTCTTCGACAGATTTCAATTATTTTTAAAAATTTGAATAAAATTCTTCACAAGAAATTAATTATTTTCATAAATAATAATATTTTTCTCCAAAATTCAATTATTTTCAGAAATAAATTTTTTCATAAGAATTCAATTCTTTAAAAAAAATTAAAGAATTTTATCAAAAAATTTGGTAATAATAAAAGAAAGATTTTATCAAAGAATTTTATTATTTAGGAAAATAACTGAATTCTCGCGAAGAATTTTATTAAAATTTTTAAAAATCCTATTTAAAATCTTTTGAAGAATTACTTTGAATTTTTTTTAAACTAATGGAGTTTCGTTAATAATTTTAATTGAAAGTTTTGAAAGCAATTGAATTTTATGAAGAAGAATTTTATTAAAATTATATTAAAAATAATTAAATTCTTGCGAAGAATTTATTAAAATTTTAGAAAATAAATGAATCTTATGTTAATATTTGAAATTTTAAATTCTTTCGAGAAATTCTATTAAAATTGTTTTGAAATGAATCGAAGAATTTATTAAAATTTTAAGAAATAATTAAATTGTTATGAAGAATTTTTTAGAAATATTTGAAAATAATGAAATTTTTTCGAGGAATTCAATTAAAATTGTTTTAAAAATAATTGAATTTTTGTAAAGATTTTACTATTTAAAACAATAATTGAATTGTTTAAAAGGATTTATTAAAATTTTAGAAAATAATTGAATTCTTTCGTGAAATTTTATTTAAATTTTTGAAAATATGAACAGTATTAATTAATTTTGTACTTAATAAGTGAATTTTTTGAATTTTGACTACGAAATTATTTTAAAAAATTTATATTTTCAAGGATTTCAATTCAATTCTAATGAATGATGTATTAACGGACGTTAAGAATAATGCAACAACTGGAGAAATTGTAAAAGTATCAAAAATCAGTAAATTATGGATGAATTTACGTTCAACATTTATGAAGAATCTTGAGAAGAAAAATTTTTCCTACATTCATGGATTTCTTGTGTCAACAAATTTATTATATCATTGGTTCATTGAGAATAAAATTGAAGGACAATTATTCGAGGACGATATGAATATTATTTATAAATTTTTAATAAACAATTTAGATGATAATGATTCAACGATAAATTCTATGGTTTTTCAATGTTTCATTTGTCTTATGAATCATTCTGAAGTGGATAAGGAGAAAATTTTGAATTTCTTATCAACACCATGGAGTATTAAAGATGAAAACGCAATGGATGTTGATTGCAATGATTATCATAATAGGACAATTAGTTTTGAGACAAAACTTAAATGTTTAGAAGTTATTTGTCGATATGAATCGGGAAAAAATGGTTTGAGAATATTAAAGGATTGTATTTCAAAGTCTGATATTCAATTCTCGATTGCTGCCATTCCGTAAGTGTTTTTTTTATTTAATTTAATATAAAATTTTGCAAAACAATTTTTTGCTTTAATTCTATTTTACTTTCCTCGAAGGAATTGTTTACTATTGTCAAAAAATAAGAACGTCAGGGTGGAGGATATTTTAAAACTAATGTTCTCGACGATTTCTTGCAATTCTCCGGAACTTCACGAGATTGTTGCGAAAACACTAGGCGAATTAATTTGCCTTTTATCGAAACATGCAATGCTAATCAGGTAATTAATTTAATTTACTCAATATATTTTGTATTTTAATTTTATTTAATAATTATTGAAAAACGTGTTTCAAAAATTGAAAATTGTTTCAGAGAATCGTGGAATAAATCGAATCTAATTGTAAAATGTGATGTTTGCGATAAACCGGAACAAGGGAATGATTCGAGAATTTATAATTTATCATCGAAATGTGAAACAATAATAACGTCATTTTTTAATATTTTAATGCCATCGATTCATGAGAAAATACGTCTTCAAATGTCGAATAATTTTTTGCGCTTCTCCAATCACATTAAAGAATTTAATACGAATAAGACGGCAAATCTTTGGTTATCTTATATCAATGACAAAAATCCCAATGTACGACAAAATATTGGTACAGTGATTGGTTATTTGTTGCAAAATAATATTGCACAATTGCAACAAACACATGTTCTGTCGGACGACGATGTGCCAATTGAATTAGAGAAATTTGTCGATTCGGTTATAAATATTTTACATATTTCGCTAATAGAGGCTATCGAGAAAAAAGATTCATTGTTGTTGAATGATTTACTTAAAACAGCAACGAACTTTGCATGGTAAGATTTTAATTTTAATAGTAATTGATTCAATCTATCTTCTTCTATTTAATCTGTTCGCAGTTTGAAGTTAGTTGTTTTTTGCTTTTTTGTTTCCTAATATTTAAAATAATTTTTCTTTTGAAATGTTTTCAATTTTAAAATTAAATTACTGAAAATCATTGAATTGTTGCAAAGAATTTATCAAAAAATTTGAAAATAATTAAATTACTTCGAAGAATTTTATTATTTAGGAAAATAACTGAATTCTCGCGAAGAATTTTATTCAAATTTTCAAAATTATTTGTAGAAATAATAAATTTTTTCGCAGGGATTCAATTATTATTTAAAAAAAAGTTTTAATAAAATACTATTCAAGAGTTCAATTGTTTTCATAAATAATTAAATTGTCGATTTTAATTTGGAAACATTTTACTAAACGAAATGGTTTTTTTTTTTTTGCAGTGTTGAGCTTTATCTAACGGAAAAGCGAATTTTGAGTCTTATTGTTTACATAATATTGCATCCGAATACAAATACAAAAGAAATCGCATTGGCAAATGCAGCTTTTGAAAAAATTGCCGAATTTTATCATCTTCTTCCAATGAAAATGTATGTTCGATATCGAAAACATTTTTTAAACGTAAGTTTCTTTTCTACTTATATTATCGTAATTTTAGAAAATTTCGTTTTTTTTAATAGTCCCATAATAATAAATTTTTGTTGCTGTTAATAAATTATTAACAAATAAATAAAGATTTTCTAGTATTGAATTTAAATAAACGAAAAATTCAGTTTTTTATTGACAGTTAATTATAATTTTGTAATGATAAAAATTTGTATTATTTCAGATAATTGTACAGTTGTCAGTGAGAAATTTTCTGAATTATAATTTCGATTTTATTACATCTCTGTATAGAATTTCTCAGGCAATTGGATATGAAGGACCAACACAGTTATTGAACAAGGAGCAACATTTTATTGTTGCTTTTTTAATTCCTCATATCGTCGAAATTCCGAAGACAATTACGTTACTTGAAAATATTGCTGAGAAGAATTTTTTTGAAAAGGAAGTATTATTAAAAAATTACTTTCCTGTGAGTATTTTTTTCGATTTTATTTATTGTGTCTAATTTCAAAATAGTCACTTTTAAATATTATATTTAACTAGCAAATTGATATGTGCGCCAGAATTTCATTATTCTTATAAATAATAAAATTCTTTAGAGCAATTAAATTATTTTCAATACAATTTTAATAAAATTTCTCCAAAGAATACAATTATTTTTAAAAATATTGATTAAATTCGATTATTTTCAAGAATTTAAATATAAATTCAATTATTTTCGACAATTTTCATGAAATTCTTTTTTAAAAAAATCATTATTTTCAAATAATAAAAAATAAAATTCCCTCAAAAAATTCAATTATATTCGAAAATTCAGATGAAATTCTTCGAAAAAATTCAATTATTTTTATGAATTGTAAAATTCTCCGCAAGAATTCAATTATTTTCATAAATAATAAAATGTTTCGGAGGAATTCAATTATTTTCAATACAATTTTATTTATGATTTTAATTTTCCAAGAATTTTTCACGAAACAACTCACATTTTTTCATGGCTTTAAATTTATTTTTCAATTTTACTTATATTATTTTGAAAGAATTCAATTATTTGAAAAAATGTTGAAAAAATTCTTGAAATGAATTCAATTCAAAACTTTTTTAAATAATTGAATCCCTGCAAAAAATTTATTATTTCTGCAAATAATTGAATTTTTACAAAATTTAGAGAAATAAGTGAATTTTTTAGAAGAATTTTATGAAAATTGAATACCTGGGAAAAATAATTTTCCCTGGAATTCAATTAACATAGTATTTAAAATAATTGAATTCCAGCGAAAATTTGATTATTTTTAAACATAATTGAATTCTTGAATTGGATTTTATTAAAAGTTTTTTAAATAATTGAACTTCTGTGAAAATTTAATTATTTTTTAAAATAATTGAATTTTTGCGGAGAATTTTTATAAGATATTTAAAAATAATTGAAATTTTTGAAGAAATCAATTAAAATTGTATTGAAAATAAGTGAAATCCGGAAATTTATAATAAATCCTAAAAATAATTGAATTTTTTTACGAAGATTTTCATTATTTATAAATTGACTTTTTGCAAAGAATTTTATTACAATTATTGAAAATAATTGAATTCTTGATAAAATTCAATTACTTTTAAAATTTTCAGTAAAAATTATTAAATTAAAAATGGATTTCAGTTAAAATTGTAGATTATAATTGAATTTTAAAAGAATTAGAGCCTAAGTTTTTAGAAATAATTGAATTTTAAAAAGGTTTCAGATTAAAATCTTTGAAAATTTGAATTTTTCATATTTTTAACTAATAATTCTGTGGAATTAATTTTTTCTTGAGAAATTTTAATTGCTGTTTTTTTAAACTATATTAAGAATATTTAAATAAATTCTTTAAAACTAATTAAGAAAAGGTAATTTTTCCATCATAGCAAAGTATTTTTTCATTTTGTATTTGCAGTACATCTGTATTCATTTGTTACTCGACGTAGAACAAGAAATTGGAGTGAAATGTTTGAATTTCGTTTTAAAAACAACGAACTTAAGAATACAGTCATTAATGAACAGGTTTAATTTTATGGTAAATATATTTTTTCGTTCTTTCTTTCTTTCTTTTCTTACTTATCTTTATTTATTTATTTTCTTGTTTCTTCATTTATCTAATAACAATATTTAATTTTAATTTTTAAAAAACTGGTTTTTTAAATTGTCCCTTTTTTTTAAATCAGGCAATTTTTGATCAATTATTTTTGCGATTCAACGAAAAAGAGGATGTAATCGAGTGTCTCAAATTGATATTCAAATTGAAGGGAGAATCAGTGAGATTCGATACAAAGAAGGAAATTGTGAGTTGAAAGAAAATTCTATTTTAATTTCTTTTAATGAATTTAATGAAAAATAATTAATTTTTTTTTGCTTTAATGTTTTTGGAATAATTTCAGACTGAATATTTAAAGCCGTATTTGCATGGAGTTTTAGTAACGGCGGAAATAAATTTAAGACAAATTGTCGACGAGGAAAGTCAAAAATGTGCAATCGCCTCTCTAGTGGCATTAATTCATTTTATGGGACCACAATATATTACTCCATTAAGATATAAATTTTTGTCGACACTTCGAATGCTTCTTAAATTTAGCAGACCTGGATTTAGAAAAGTCACATTTGAAGCGTGGGATGCATTTATTCGCAAGTAATTTTAAATAAAAAATTTATATGAATATTATTAATTTTACATTATAATTATAATCTTTATATGTTTCTGTAAAATTTTCAGCACTTTGATTCATGATTTAGGCACTTTATTGCCAGCAATATTTTCCTCGGTTGTGCCTTTATTGGAAACGTATCCTAAGGAAACGAATGAAATGCTCGAGTATTTAGTTATAAAAAATGAGGGAGCTCTATCGCCGTATATTCCGGAATTATTTTTCATTGAGGATATAAATGTCTCTAGAAATATTTCAAACGTTGTGACGACTTGCATCAAGCGAAGAAGGTACAATACATTTTTAATAAGTGTTTCTTAAATTTAAATTGCTGAATAGATTTTTCTAAAAAAATTTAAAATTATTTTCTGTATCATAGATCTGAATGTATCAAAGAAAATCTCGGATTGTGGATTAAAAGAATAGGTCACGAAATTGATAGCGTCAGATTACGAGCTTTAGTTCATTTAAAACCATTTTTGGCTGAAAATCGAAGAAAAATTAATGGATTGATTCTTGCAAATGCAAACGTTCATCCTTTGATTCTTGAGGTAAATTATTTTCATTATTGATTTATTTATTTTATAGTTAATTAATTGTTGTAAATTAATTTATTAAAATAATTCTCAAAATAATTTTTTTCTTATTCGTAAAATTTGTTTAGTTATTGGATATGCTTCTTGCTGGATGTCGAGATAAAGACGAGGCAATTCAATTAGCTTATGGAGAATGTCTTGGAGAACTTGGAGCTATTGATCCTAGTCTTCTACCAAAAAGAATCGTATCCAGAGGTAATGTAACAAAAAATATTTTTGTCTATCTACAATTTAAAAAAAAAATAGTTTTTGATATAATTTGTTTATATTAAAATTGAATCATTATTTTCAATTTCATTTTTAATTACATTTCTTGAAAGAATTTAATTATTTTTAAACAATTTAATGAAATTCTTTAAAAAAAATCCAACTTCTTTATTAATTAATTTATTTACTTTTTTATTTATCTATTTAGAGGACAGTAACTTCATAACAGATGTGAACGAAGAATTTGCGTGCGCCGCACTTGTTGAATTTGCAAAAGGCTTTCAAATGCAAACAAATTCACATGACGCCGATTGTTTTTGCCTTGCAATTCAAGAAATATTAAAAGTCTACAAAATTTCGCCAAGCAGTTCAAAAAGTATATTTTGGGAAAGTATGCCTTATACTGTTCGTGAAATGATATATCCATTTTTGACATCTCACTATATAATGGATTTTTTTGAAAATCACATCGATTATCCACTTCCAATTTACGGGTATGTATAATCTATATTTTAATATTATTATTTAATTGATTCCGAAATTTATTAAATATTTGTTTCTTAAAAATTCAGTGAATAGAAAAAATTAAAATAGTAAATATTAAAAAGAAAAAAATTGTAAATTGGTTTAAAAGTTGGAAAATATTTTTGAAACATCTTTCAGAACTGATATGAGTATTACCTTTGAAAAATGGGCGTTCAATTGGATGATGAGCATGTTTGCAAAGCTTCCTGACTCGAAACTAAAAAGTATTTTAAAAACTTCGTCACCGGCATTAAAACGAGATGTGAGAATCGTCGAATTTTTCATTCCACACATAGCAAGTGAGTTCTTTTTCTAAATTACAGGCATCACAGTTTCTAGAAAAACAAAAATTCTAAAACAATACCTTCAATTTTTTCCATTTTTGACAATAATTTCTTTTTAAATACTTAACTTAATTCTTGAACTAATTTTATTTATAGATTTCAAAATTAATTTAATTTTAAAAGAGTTGCGTTTACAATTTTCATAAATCTAAATTAACTTCAAAAGATATTAATTACAATTTTTATAAAATTTCAATTTTGAATGAATTTCATGAGAAATTCTAAAGAACTTAAATTTTTGCAAAAATTTTCAAAATTTTAAATTATTCTGAAATTAGTTAAATTTTTTTAATATATTTAATTAATTATTAAAAATAATAATAAACTTTAGTGAAAAACACTAAATAAATTTGAATTTTGGAAAAGTTTCAATTGATTGCAAAAATTCAATTATTTTCAAAAGTAATAAAATTCTTCGCAGAAATTCAATTATATTCAAAAATTTAAATAAATTCTTCTCTAAATTTCAATTCTCTTTATACCTAAATAATAAAATTCTTCTTCAAAATTCAATTATTTTCAATAATTTTAATAAAATTCTTCGCAAAATTTCAATTATTTGCAAAAATTTTTCTAAATCCAATGATTTTCAATATACTATTTTAATAAAATTTTCCAAAAGAAATTCAATTATTTAAAAAAAAAAATGATATTAAAATTCTACGCAAAAGTTTATTTATTTTCATAAATAATAAATATTTCACAGGAATTTTATTATTTACAAATTTTTTATAAATTTCTTCGCAATGATTCCATTATTTTCATAAATAATAATCTAACTCCTCGCAGAGTTTCAATTATTTTTAATACAATTTTAATCGAATTTCTCGAAAAAATTCTTCAAAATTTTATTACAATTCGTCGAAGAAATTTAATTATTTAAAAATTTTTTGATAAAATTCTTTACGAGAATTCAATATTAAGAAACATTGAATTTTTCAATGTAAATTGTTTTTTTTTTTGTATTTAAATAATTGAATTCTCGTAGAAATTTCTAATAAAAATTGATTTAAAAGTTAATTTCAGTTAAAATTTTTTGAAAAAGTTCAATCATCTTCACGGATAAAAAAATTATTCGCAGAAATTTAATTATTTTCAGGAACTTTTATAAAATTCTTCGCAAGAATTCAATTATTTAAAAAAAAATTAATAAAATTCGCAAGAATTCAATTATTTTTATAAATAATGAAATTCTTCTCAGGAGTTAAATTATTTTTCAAAAATTTTAATAAAATTCTTTGCAAAAATTCAATTATTTTCTTAAATAATAAAATTCATCGCTGAAATTCAATTATTTTAAAAAAATTTATCAAAATTCGTCGAAAGAATTTAATTATTTAAAAATTTATTGATAAAATTCTTTATGTGAATTCAATGTTAATTGAATTCACAATTTAAGTAATTGATTTCTCGTAGAATTTTCTAATAGAAATTGATTTAAAAGTTAATTTTAGTTAAATTTTTACGTAATAATTGAATTTCAAAAGCATTATAGCGTGAATTTTTAGAAATAATTGAATTTTGAAAAATAAAATAACTCCGAGTCGAAGACTCGGAGTTATCGATTTCTTCATGTTTTATAATTAATATTCTCATAAATTGTTGAATTTCAAAATGATTTGAATTTGAATGTTTTGAAAATCCTTATTCCTATGGAAAAAGAATAATGATTAAATATTTTTTTACAAAAGAAGTTATTGCTGTTTTCGAATATTTTTCCTGTTAAAGAAATTCGTAAATAAATGTAATAGAACATTTTTTTGAGCAACTAATCATTTTTAATGTGAATCGCAGAATATTCTTTAGGCAAAAAAATGAAAATTTTGTCTGGTAATCAGTAAAAAGTTAGGGAAAAAGAAAATTAAAGTTTTGTGGCAACTCTAATTAAAATAGAATCATTTTTAAATAATTTTATATTAAGTTACTGTGATGCCTGAAATTAACAAAAAAATTGATTATATTTATTTAAGTAAAAATAAATTAATCATTTTCTAATGTCATTTAGCGTTTATTATTCGAAATGGGAATGAAAATGAGTGGAAAGAAATTGCACAAGAAATGTTGGCTGTTATAACTGAAAATGCAAAATCAGTGGATACACTCTTGAATACTCGTCCTTTATACAATGGCACAACGGAATCAAAAAATACAAGAGTTTCGGATGAAGCAAAACACGTCAGATGTTCCCAGGTATTAAAATATTAGTAAAAAAAAATTTATTATTAAATTTAACAATTTCTGTTTTTTATTTGCAATTTTTACAGGTAGTTTTTTCGACCCTTGATTATTTGCAAAGGTGGTTAAGAGAAATGAGAGTTGATTTAAATGATAATTACAAATCAATTAAAGGTACGTTTTTTATAAATAAAGTAAACTAATTAAACTATGTAATTAAACTAATGTTCAAAATGATGAATATATTTTTAGAATTTTGCGACATGTTCGATGGCTTTGTTTTGGCTGAAGGTTCTTATAAAACATACGAATTTCATCGTGCTTTGTTATATTTGGAACAACATATGGCTATTAGTAAAAAAGGTCTCACTGATTTCAAAGAACGCGATTTATTTGTTGTAAGTTTTTTTTGTCTCTAAAATAGAAGAAATTTTCATTTTTTAAACAATTTTTCGGAGCAATTTTTTTTTTTGATATTTCGCAGAAAATTTATCTACAACTCGACGAACCAGATGGTGTTTCTGGAATTTTAGCTTCTCAAAATGAAATTCCCTCTGTCGAACAATTAGTCTTGGCACACAACATCAGTGGTCAATTTCAGGTGATTTCGATATTAAAATATTAATTAAAATAGAAAAAAAATATTTTGTTGTTCGGATTAATAAGAAAAATAATAAATTTCCTAACAGGATGCTGCAATTTGCTATGAAAAAATGGCTCAAAGAAAAAATAAAGAGCCAAGATATTTGAAAGGAATGATCCAATGTTACCTGAGTCTCGATCAGCCATTAACTGCAATGTGTATCACGAAAGGATTTCTCGAAGATAGGTAATTATTTAACAAAAACGAATTTCTAATCTAACAAATCTTTTTTTTTTATCCATTTAATTGATAATCTTTTTCTTTGTGATTTATTTTCCTCAGACCTGAATTAGAACCAATAATGTCAGATTATGAATGTTTTTGGCGACTCGCACAATTTGGTAATGTCGAGGGTAAGGAGAATGTGAAGCATAATTATCTGGAGGATTTGAAGAATTCTGTGAAACCCGATTTAACGATTGTTAAGAAAAAAATACTCTCGTTACTCGCTGCATCTTCGCATCCTGGCGCTTATGAACACAGCTATTCGTCAATAATGAAGTATGTTACTTATATTACGTGAAACAAGCAGAAAACTTTACAATAATTTTTAAAAAAATTAATTTTTTTCAATCTTAAATGAAAAATCTTTGTCTAGGTAGATATATAAAAAAATATTTTTTCTTAATATAGTAGATAAAATATTCAGAATTCCTATAATAATGAAAATAATTGCAAATATTTTTTGTTGTATAATATAAATATATTTTTTATTTTGTTCAATATAGACTGCATATAATAAACGAATTTGAGAAGGCGATTGAAAAAATATTGGTAAATGTTGACACAGTTCCGAATATTTTTGAGGAATGGGAAAAAAGATTTCAACTAGTAAAAGCCTCGAGTGGAGTTGAATTTGTTTTGAGTATGCGAAGAGCAACATTGGATTTGGCATATTTGTATCAACGAGAAACAACGAATGTGGAAAATACAACTTTAAAGGAGGAAATTGGAAAAATTTGGATTAAGAGTGCAAAAATTGCTAGAAAGTAAGTTGAGAAATAAATTACCATCTCTTTGCTAATTTTATGCGAATTCTAATTTAAATAATTGAATTCCTGAGAAATTCAATTCATTTTTATTATTCATGAAAAGAATTGAATTCTTACGAAGATTTTTACAAAAATTTTTTTATACAATTGAATTCTCTTGCGAAATTTTATGATAATAGTAAATATTGATAATAATTGAATTTCGAATATTTTTTTGAAGTAAAAAATTTGATTATAATGTTTGAGAATAGTTTTTTTATTTCTAGTATTAGCGAATTTAAAGTAGTGTAAATTCTCGAAAAAAGCTGAAATAGTAGCTTTCAGTGGCTGAAATTTAAAAAAGTACCCAAATAGTAGCATAACGTAAAAAAAGTAGAGACTAAAATCGTTTTGATTTTTATTTCCTTTCAGAGCCGGATTGTATCAACAAGCGTACATGTATATTTTGTCGGCTGGGGAAATATGTAAACCACAGGAAATTTGCACCGAAATGGCTCAACTCTATTGGCAAAAAGGAAGTCAAGAATACGCGTTTGCAACATTGAAACGTTGTTTGGACAGTTATTTTCCACCTGCCGAGGTTTTTAAAAGTGCTCCCGTCAATGAGAACTTAAGCGAAAAAAAACAATATGCAAAGGTGGAAAATTAATTTTTATATTTTTTGAAATACTTTCAATTTTCTTTACAGTACCTAAATTGTGTGTTTTCTTTTTAGGCGAAGCTTTTATTTGCGAAATATAATTACGAAACACAAAATGTACAAACAAGGACGAATATAGGAAATTTTAAGGAGGCAATTGAAGTTTGGCGAGGTTGGGAAAACAGTTACATTGCATGCGCTCAGTATTATGAATCGCTCGTTAATAAAATGTCAGAGGATGCGAAGGATGTCGATGGACGGTATGAATTTATAAAATATTTTTCTGATTTATTTAATTTCTTTTTTTTTCAAAAAAAAATCTTTGGAAATTGAATGTTCTTTATTTTTCAAAATAGTGACATACAGATTCAATCATTATTATTTTATGCAAAATCATTGAAATTTGGTTGTAAGCATATACATCAGTCGATGCCAAGAATGTTGACAATTTGGTTGGAATTTGCATCAAGAACACAGAAACGAATAAAAAATAAAACTGCCTCGGAATATCAAAAGGAAGGTTTAAAACGACTTACGTCAATTTTGGGTATGTGTAAAAGAATCTACAAAAAGAAAAAATCAAAAAAAAAATTTTGTTTACTAAAATTTATATTCTACAGAAAAAGAACATTTTTACAAATTTTTAAATACTAGGAATTAAATTTAATTAATTTTTTGATTGTAGAATCGTATTTGGACTATCTTCCAACTTTCACATGGTTAACAGCATTTAGTCAGCTTGTTTCTAGAATATATCATCCTTCTTTAGATGTTCAAAGAACATTAAAGATGATTATCGTGAAATTGATTCTTGCACATCCACAACATTGTCTCTGGATGATAGCCTCAATTTCTCAGGTACTTTTTTAAAAATTTTTATTGTTATTTTCTTTATCACTATTTTAATAATATTTGTAAATAATTTTTTTACATTGTTTTTTTGAAAAAAAACAACAATAAAGTTAAAAGTATTTTAAAAAATTCTTTAAAATACAAAAATTGCAAGAAATTTACGTTGATATAAATAAATTTTTTTTTCAGTCGGAAAATAAGCAACGTAAAACGCAATGCAGTGACATATTGAATCATGAGAAGATTTGCAATTCCGAAGTGATGAAAATAGTTAAAGATTTTCGTAGACTGTGGACATTTATAATTGAACTCTCCGATAAACCAGTTCCTGAGGTGATTAAACGACAAATTTCTATTCTATTCCTCTGTAGAAATCGAAATTAAATTTTAACAAAGAATCAAAAGCAAAGAAAGTAATAATTTTTAATTGACATTTAAAAAGAAAATCTAAGATTTAAAAAAAAAACTTGTTATTTTCAGAACCAAAGTAAGACGACCGTTAGTGCTTTATCGAGTAACTTGCCAGCGCTTTTTAAATCTACTGGATTCAGTAGAATAATGATGCCAACGTCCGAATTTCGAAAATTACATCTTCCTTTAAAGGGAGAATCATTCAAGGATCACGAACCATTCTTAAAGTAAAATTTTTCTTTCAATTAAATTTCAAATTTAACTAGATTTAAATTTAAATTAAAAATTATTCTTCTCTAAGAATCTGGAAATTTTTTTTAATTTTCGTATTTTTAGATAATTTTCTTCAAACGTTTATTTCTATTTTACATTTTATTAAATTGATTTATTTACAATATAGATATAAATTATTATTTTATATAATTTTTTAAATTTTTTGTACAAATTTCTTTGTACAAATTATCTTTTGTTAGAAATTAATTTCTTTTTGTAATTATCAATTTTAATTTAGGAATTGGGTGAGCATTGATGGAATTAATGAATCGATAAATGTAATGCAATCACTTGTGAGACCAAAGCAAATTTCGCTGAGAGGCTCAGATGGAAAGAATTATCTTTTCATGTGTAAACCAAAAGATGATCTTAGAAAAGATTTCCGTTTAATGGAATTCAATGACATTGTAAATAAATATCTTCAAAAAGATCCAATGTGCAGGCAAAGAAGACTTTACATCAGAACTTACGTGAGTCATTTAAATTTATAATTTTTTTTTTCATTTTATTTATACTTCAATAGATTAATTAAACAAAGAAATGAAATTCTTAATATTAAAATTCCTATGCAAAGAATTTTATTAAAATTATTTAAAAATAATTGAATTCTTGATAAAATTCAATTACTTTCAAAATTTTGAGTAAAAATTATTTTAAAAAAACTCCATTATTTTCAAGATTATTAATATATTGTTATTTTAGAGTGTCGCACCACTAAACGAACAATGTGGATTAATAGAATGGATTCCAAATTTAGTGGGTCTTAGGAAAATTATTATTGATTTATACAAGCGAAAAGGAATTTACGTCAGTAATCAAAAATTGAGAACTTTACTATGTGGTTTGTATTTTTATTATTCTTAACTAATAATTATAATGATAAAATTTAATTTTTAACGAATAAATAATTAATCGAATAGTCATTTAATTAATTTACTAATTTTAAGGTAACAAAGCAAGTCTTCTAGAAAAAAGGAAATGTTTCACGGAAAAATTAATTCCTCATCATCCTCCAGTTTTGAGTGAATGGTTCAGACTCACATTTCCAGATCCCTACGGATGGTGTGTTTTTTCTAATTCAATTAATAATCAAAATAATCAAAATGTTTCTTCTGTAAAAATAATTTGTTTACTTATTTTTAAATGTCAGTATTTTTTTGCGCAAAAAAAATATTTAACTTATTTAATGTAAAGAAAATAATTATTATTAATTATTATTTCAGGTATGAAGCTCGCACTGCGTATATTAGAACAACGGCAGTTATGTCAATGGTGGGATACATTTTGGGACTTGGAGATCGTCACGGTGAAAATATTTCGTTCGATTCAAAATGTGGAGATTGTGTTCACGTCGATTTCAACTGTCTCTTCAATTATGTAATTTATTTATTTACTTTTTAATTTTCAATTATTTGCGACTTTTCAAAAAGGAAAATTCTCATTTAGCTAAATTTTTTTTTTACTGGAATTTTTGTTCAATAAAATTTATTATATTCAGGGTTGCCACAGGTCAGGGAAGTCAGGGGAAAATTCAATTATTTTTATAAATAACAACATTCATCACAAGAATTTCAATTATTTTCATAAATAGTAAAATTCTTCTCAGAATTTGAATTATTTTTTAAAAAATTGATAAATAATCAAATTTCTTTTAGGAATTAAATTATTTTCATCGCAGAATTTAAAATATTTTTAACATAATTTTAAATAATATCCTCGAAAAATGCAATTATTCTTAAAAATTTTATGAAAAATTGACGAAAGAATTGAATTTTAAGAAACATTCAATTATTCAATAAAATAATAAAATTCGTTGCAATGATTCAATTATTCTCATAAATAACTTTAAATTCATCTCAGGAAATTAATTATTTTCAAAAAAAATTTTATATAATTCTGCAAAAGAATTCAATTATCTTGTTAAACAACAAAATTCTCCCCATAAAATTAATTATTTTAAGGATTTTTAATAAAATTCTTTTACAAAATTCAATTATTTTCATAAATATCAAAATTCATCACAAGAATTCAATTTTTTTGAAAAGTAATAAAATACTTTGCAAACATTAAATTATTTTCAATATTTTTTAAAAATTTCTTAGCGAAATTCTTCTCAAGAATTAAATTATTGTCAAAAATTTTAATAAACTTCTTGTCAAAATTTCAACTACTTAAACGAAATTTAATAAAATTCTTCGCATAAATTCAATTAGTTGCATAAATTATTATTTAAATGCTTCTCAGGAATTCAATTATTTTTAGAAATTTTAATGAAATTCTTCAAAAAGTTTTCAATTATTTTCAAAAATTGTTATAAAATTCAATTATTGAATAAATTATTTATTTTTGTATTTAAATAATTGAATTATTTTTTAGAGAATTCTAAATTCTTGTTGAAATTGAATTTTATGGAAATTTTTGAAAATAATTAAATTCTTTCGTGTAATTTTATTAAAATTGGATTAAAAATAATTTAATTTCTGCAAACAATTTTTTAGTATTTATAAAAATAGTTGAATTGTTTCGAAGAATTTATTAAAATTTTAGGAAATAATTGAAATTTATGGAAATATTTAAAAATATTTGAATTCATCCGAGGAATTCAATTAAAATTGTTTTGAAAATAATTGAATTCTTTCGAGGAATACAATTAAAATTGTTTTGGTAATAATTGAATTTTTTGTAAAGATTTTACTATTTAAAAAAATAATTGAATTGTTTAGAAGGATTTATTAAAATTTTAGAAAATAATTGAATTCTTTCGTAAAATTTTATTAAAATTCTTGAAAATATAAACAGGAATAATTAATTTTGTACTTAATAAGTGAATTTCCTAAATTTTGATTATGAAATTATTTAAAAAATGTATATTTGAAAATAAATCAGAGTGAATCAGAATATTTTTTTAGTGTCAGGGAAAAAGTGAAAATTCTGTCTGGAAATCAGGGAAAAACCAATTTAAATTTTTGTGGCAACCCTGATATTTCAAATTTTATTTTGTGGAATAAGAAAAGTAGATTAATTAGCGGACTTTTTTTTAAAAGTAAATAAAAAATTGTTTGTTTAGGGTGAAAGATTCGAAATTCCAGAAAGAGTTCCATTTCGTTTAACTCACAATATGACGGACGCAATGGGTGCTTTGAAGTACGAGGGACCATTCAGACGTTCCTGTGAAATAACAATGAGAGTATTACGTGAACAAAGAACAACGCTTCAGAGTGTATTAACACCATTCGTCTACGATCCCCTTGTGAATGAATCGTCGAGAGAGCGTAAGGAGCGTAAAGCAGCGGCACTTAAAGTCGAAGATGAGGAAACTAATTATTTAGTATTGCGAATTAATGACATTCTACATCGTCTTAATGGACAAGTGAGATCAGTGGAGAGAAGTGAAAACGATTACGAACGACAGAACGAGAATAATGTTTACCTCAGTGTTGAGGGACAAGTAAATCTCCTCATTCTTCAAGCCACAAGTATCGACAATCTATGCCAAATGTATCAAGGCTGGGGAGCATTCATGTAAATTGAGAATTCTTCTTTTTTACCTTCATTTATATTTATTATTTAGGTACGTTATTTTTTTTTATAATTTCCTATAAATAGTGTCGTTAAAAAAAATGAAAAAAAAAATGTTGTAAAAATGGAAAATTACATTATTATATTTTTAGAAAAAAAAATTATGGACATTTTCGTTCGATTTGACTTTTACCGCTTTCCTCGTATTCTTGACTTGAGAGCCACATTTGTTGGAATGTGCCAATTGAAGCTAAAATTGAACCGCCAATCCATGCGCCAAAACGTCGTTCAGCGCAACCATTTGCGCTTATTAATTTCAATCGCATACTGGACGGTATTCTAACGGAGAGGTCGCGATTTAAACGTTCGGGGAAGCCTTGTATAAATGAATTTCCACCTGTCACAACGACACTGCCATAGAGTGCTGGTCGCACATCAACGTCACACATTCCCACACTGGTCGTCACAATATGACCAACTCCCAGCATTGTATTGCCCACCATACCGCCTCTCATTTGCACCATACTTGGGTCGAAGAGCGCCTCTGGTATTCGAAATCTTTCACTACTGAAGTCCTGAAAAAATCAAAAATTTTATTATTCATTCAGTTCCATTGAATTAATAATTGAATTCAGGGCTCGAACAAGGAACGTAAATCCCATAAAGGTCCGTAAATTTAAAATCGAATTTTTTAAAAATTATTTGATGTTTTTATTTTCTAACATATTTTCACTGGTTCGAGCCCTGTGAATTTTGGAAATTAATTTAATTACCTGTCGATAACCGGTTGGAAATTCGTATTGCACGGCAGGGACGGTGCAAACGATTTTTTCATCGTACGGAGTCTCGGAAACTTGAAGGCAAGTCGCCTGGAAGTCCTGAATAAGTTTCTTAACCATATAATTGTGCCAGGATTTTGTAACGTCCGGTATATTTTTCTTTTTCACCCATCGCGGTTTATCATGGTCCTTGACAACTTCTTTACTGCCAATCATATAAGCTGGCGATAAATCGATTTCCTGCTCCTGTTAATTAAACGAAAATAATTAATTTAATAATACTTAAATAATTAAATTAATTAAATAATTAAATTTAACAGTAAATTAACGGTAATGTAATTTACTGTTAATTTAAATAAAAAAATAAAAATTACAGAATTAAATAAATAAAATACGAAACTAACTTGTAAGAATTGTCTACACTGCATACTGATATAATCGCCACCGAGTGGAGATTTAACGATCGCTTGTGTTAAAACAAATCCATCTTGTACTGGTACCGCGGAAGTGTGAGTTGCACCACTGTCAACGACAATTCCAGTCGCTCTTCCATTTGCGAATGCCGCCAAAACGGCATTTTTCACTAGAAAAAATGCAGGAACGTTGTATTTTTCAAACATTAATTCCGTCAATTTTTCACGTTTACTTCTCACATTCCATGGCGATTCGGAAAACAATACTGGATGATATTCAGCGTCCGATTGAATTACACGCGAATAAGTGTAATCTAGTACCTAAAAAAATCCACATAAATATTAAACTCAGTCCTCGAACAACCAGTGAAAGTATTTTAAAATAATTGAAATTTTGCCAAGAATATTTCTAAAGATAATTTGAAATTTTTACGAGAATTTTTTCAGGGTTGCCACAAATATTTAATTTTATTTTTTCCTAACTTTTCCCTGATTTCCAGACAAAATTTTCACTTTTTCCCTGACCATAAAGAATATTCTGATTCACTCTAAAAATTATTAGATACTCAAAAAAACATTCTATTACATTTACTTACGAATTTCTTAAATTGTAAAATTATTCGCAAACATCAATAACTAAATTTTTAAATAACTTTCCCTGACTTTTCCCTGAATTCCCTGACCTGTGGTAACCCTGTTTTTACAAATTTTTGAACGTAATTGAATATTTAATTAATTTATTTAATAAGGATGAAAATACCTTTTCGAAATGATCCCAATCCTCGATCATGCCGTCCTTCATGTAACTGACAACTTCCATATTTTTTCGAGGCACATGAAGTGTCGTTGTGTCAATATAATATTTCGATGTCGATTGACAAATATTATTGTCGGGCTTTTTGTCATCGATATCCATTGCCTCGACCGGAGCAGCCGTTCCATTCCCATCTTCACCAATTCCAACCACTGCTGGAATTTCTGCCTTTGGCGTGTCTTCTTGTGCATAACCAACTCTCAATGAATTATGACCCAAGTCCAAGACAACTGCACCAATTTCATCACCTCCGTAGAGCATCGACATTCTGAATTTTACTAAACCGAAAAAAATTATATACTATTGATAAAATTATCTACAATTTAAACGTTAGGTGTAAAAATAATTCCCCTTTCACAGGACAATTAATTATTTCTCGCATTATTCATTTTCCCTCGTTACTTTTATTTTAAATTCCTTTTTCCGTTCGAAGAAATATATTAAAAAGATTAGAAACAAACATACTCCGAATTATGTATAGAGAGGTTAGGTTTGAAAGAATGGAAAGATACAAACATGGATAAATCCTATAAATAAATAATTATAACAAGTATAAACACATACTTGATCAATTATCGGAGAAATCGAGTCAAAAATATAAATAAAAAGGAAAAAATAACTAAATTAGTCAAAAATTGATAAAACCGACAAAAGTTGACCAAAGTTACATGAATTTTTTCCAATGGTAATTAATAGAAAAATATCAAAAATATTTCATGGATATAATAAATATTTATTTTTACTCACTGTTTTTTCACTTTTTCTTTTAATTTTTCTACTTTTTGAATAAAGTTTGTTATTGATAAACGAAAAACATAACCTCTTTAACTCACACAAGACGCCGAGTCGGCCATATTGAATTCTGTCAAATCAACAATTGCGCATGTTTCATTGCTTTTATTTTATTGGTCCAAAATAAACCGCGACAATTTAAAATAATTCAGCTCCAAAACCGCATTATCAATAAATAATTTTTATTTTTATTATTTTAGTAATTAGAATATAATAATTAATATTAGTAATTAATACACAGGAGGTGTATTGAATTTTTTTCTTAAAACTACACTGCTTTAGATGAAATTATTCAATAAGCGTTTTTTTCAATTTCAACCAACTATGTGCGCACGCGCCTTTATAATCATGGCTGACAATATTGTAACAAATAAGAATTATTTTTAATTTAGAAATTCTATTTTAAATTTAATAAAACAAGAAAATATGGGAAAAAAAGGTAAATTGTACACAAGATTTATGTTAAATTATTAATACAGTTCATACAGTTTAATATACTAAAACGTTTTTTATTTATTTCATTTATTTTGACAAAAATTGTTATTGACACTTTTTTTCTGTTGGCACACCTGACTTAGGAAATCCAGTAAATCTTGTTTGTTTATTTGTGCACAGGTACATACACACACAAGTATATTTTCAGTTAATATGCGTGCAAATTTAAGAACCACGCGTGAAAAACCGGTGTGCCTATTCCTTTAAATTCAAATTATCTCAATGGCTAATTGCCCAGTGAAAATTTTGGATGTAAATTTATTAAAATTTGATGAAAAAATGTGACTAGTTTGCGATAATAAGTTCTAATTTAAAGGGACAAAAGCCGAAATTAAAAAATGAGTGGGGTTTGTTTGCCTGTAGCGTCGGGGCGCCTCGGTCTATTTCACTTTCAAAATGGCGTCGAGTGTCAAATCGTCTAGAGACGGGAAACAATGCGGAGGCGAAAATGCCTTTTTCCATGTTTTATCTTTAATTCATTAAGAAATTGAATGAAAAAAAATGAGAAAAATAAAGTGCATAAAAACAGGAATGCAATTGTATTTTGTGTAATGGATGAGAATAACGTGTGTGATAGCTGAAAACTTTAATTTAAAAAAAAATTTTAAAGAAGGTAGTCACGCGTGTTTTGTGTGTGTGTGAATGAAGGGAAGAAATTTCATGAGATTTTGCACCACTTTCGGAGTCTGTGACACTTGCTGGTTCAATGGAGCGGATTTTCATCCTCGGGGTGACTTTATTGACAGTTGTTGATCAAGGTGAGTGTATTTTTAACAATTTTTTTAAGGTTATAATCGCCGAAAATTTTTAAACAAAAAAGAAAAACAATGTTTTGTTTACATTTTTTACACTGTTCTCGATTGTTACAAAAAGTGTAGTTTGTTCAAAAAAATGATTAAAATTTTTAATTAGTTTAGATATATGATAAATAATCAAATTTTAGATGTATATGTGAAAAATAATTATTACCGCATCTAATTGTTACTGTCAGATTTCTTAACTTCGTTTGGCATAATAAAAGTGCATTTTTTTTTTAACTTTCAGCTATTTGAACCTTCTTATCTATAATTGTACATCTCGACAAGTCTTTAACAAGAGTGTGTAGAAAATATTTACAATTGCTAGATAATGCACCACTTGCGTAAACTCATTGATTCTCTAACTAGAAAAAGCATTATAAAATACATAATATATGCATGCTAAGTGACCTAATGATTTATGAGATATTTCATAGTTAACATTTATGCATTTCTAAAATATTAACGCGCATACTTTGATCTTTATCTTTCTTTCATATATAAATACAGACTGTCACTTTTCCTATACATTTAATTAATTTAATTTGTTCATTAATTTTATAACTTCACATCAAATTGAATTAATTAAGTAGATAATGTAACGAATTTAAATTCAATTAAAAATAAATATGAAATAAAATCAAAATGCATTCAGAATTTCAAAAAATTACAACTGAGTTTAAAATCTGATATATAATTTTTTTTAAATAAAATAATTTACAATTCTTGGTTTTAATTTCTCTTTTTTATTATTTTCACTTTTTATTAACAGTGAAGATTTTTAGATTTATCAGTAAAATTTATTTAAATCTACGAAAATATTGATTTGTTGTAAAGAATTAAAGAAAGAATTTATCAATTTTTTAAAAAATAATTGAATTTCTTATAAGAATTTTATTATTTGGAAAAATAATTGAATAGTTGTAAAGAATTAAAGAAAGAATTTATCAATTTTTTAAAAAATAATTAAATTACTCAGAAGGATTTTATTATTTATGAAAATAAATTATTTTAATTTTAAAGAATTAAAGAAAGAGTTTATTAATTTTTTAAAAAATAATTGAATTCTTTCCAAGAATAAGATTTATTTTTTTTAAAAATAATTTGATTCTCGTGAAAATTTTTATTATTTAGAAAATTATTGAATTTGTGATAAATTAATGAAAGAATTTTTAAAAAAATAATTGAATTTATGTGAAGAATTTTATTATTTATAAAAATAATTAAATAGTTATAAAAAATTAAAGAAGGATTTATCAATTTTTTTACAAAATAATTGAATTTCTAAGAAGAATTTTATTATTTATGAAAATAATTGAATTCTTGCAAAGAATATTATTTAATTTTTTTTTTAAATAATTGAATTCTCGTTAAAAATTTTATTATTTGGGAAATTATTGAATTATTGTGATAAATTAATGAAAGAATTTATCAATTTTGAAAAAAATAATTGCATTTATGAGAAGAATTTTATTATTTATGAAAATAATTAAATAATTGTAAAAAATTAAAAAAGGATTTATCAATTTTTTTTCAAAATAACTGAATATTATGAGAAGATTTTTATTATTTATGAAAATAATTATTGAATTCTTGCGAAGAATTTTATTTAATTCCTTCTAAACAATTGATTTCTTTGAAAAATTATAATATTTGGAAAATTATTGAATAATTATTAAAAATTAATTAAAGAATTTATCAATTTTTTAAAAAATAATTGAATTTCTAAAATGAATTTTATTATTTATGAAAATAATTGAATTCTTGCGAAAAATTTAATTTACTTTTTTTTAATAATTGAATTCTTGTGAAAACTTTAATTATTTAGGAAAATAATTGAATAATTGAAAAGAATTAAAGAAAGAATTCCAAAAATTATCAATTTTTTAAAAAATAATTGAATTTCTTAGAAGAATTTTATTATTTATGAAAATAATTGAATTCTTGCAAAGAATATTATTTAACTTTTTTTTAAATAATTGAATTCTCGTGTGAAAAAATTTATTATTTGGAAGATTATTGAATAATTGTGGAAAATTAAAGAAAAAATTTATCAATTTTTTGAAAAATAATTGAATTTTTTAGAAGAATTTTATTATTTATGAAAATAAGAATTATTATTTTCATTCAATTATCATTAATAATTGAATAATTGAAATTTTTGTAAAATTTAATTGGAAATAATTGAAATTTTTGTAAAATTTTATTGGAAATAATTGAATTTTTAAAAGTGGTTTAATAAAATCGTAAAATTTTCAAGAATTTTAATTCGGACAATTTGAAAAATTAATAATTAATGGAGATTAGCTTTAAAAATTTTTAAAAGTAGTTCTTAAAATAATATTTAATTAATGTTAATCATCCTTAATATATTATTATTTTCTCTTTTGTTAATATTTAATTTCTAAATTTTTATAATTTTTAAAGAATTTTTAATTACTTTAATTAAAAAGTTGGAAGTAAAATATTATATTTACACGAGATTCAAATATAAGAGAAAATACCTAAGAAATGTTTAAGGATTATTTTTTTTTTCACCAAACTGGGTGATTAATAGCAGTTTCTATATAAAATTTCCGTATTTACTGAAGCGAAAAAAATGTTTTTTTTTTCTTTTTAAACATCTCTTGACTTTGCTTTTCGTTTTTACCCTAAAGCCGACGGCGTGAGCAAGCAGAGCAAGCCTTATTGAGATTATGGGCGTAAGAGGGTGACGACCTACGATTTAGTGCCAGGGTGTGTTTCCAATTGGTCCAATCAGAATCCCCCTCATCTATGGGACTTGGATGAACATATATATATATGTATACAATATATAATAACAGCATATCGGAGGTCTTATACAAAGTGCATCAAAGCGCACAAAGTTATAAATCTTCAGAGAGAGAAAGAGAGAGGGAGAAAAAGTTTAGGGGCTGTTTTTTGCTCCATGATGTGTGACTCAAACACGAGACGCAAGTCTTTTTTTCTTCATCTGAGAGTTAATTTATTCATGAATTTCTTTATAATGTTTCGTATCTAGAATCTGGAAAAAATTTTTTTTATAGTAGATAAATTTTCTTATGGAAAATTAAACAAAATGTAAATCTAAAGATTTAGATTTTCTTATGGGCTGTTTGATTTATATTGAAACGAAATTATATTTAGGGAGGGATTAGAGTTTGAAAGACTTTTTATATTCAATTTTGTCAATTGTTTTATGGTCTTTAAATTGTCTTTAGGTATTTGGGTCTTTTCTATATTGAGAATCTAGAGAGGGAGAGAGAGAGAGAGAGAGACCTCAATTGTTGAGATTATTATCAGTAGAAGGGAAGCTGTCTGTTAATAAGCTTATTGTTGGCTAATTTGATTGGATTGTTAGGTTTGATTATGATTAATCTCCCGTTAATTTCAAATGGCCGGATTTCGTTTCGAAATTCCGTTGTAATTGCACATATATACATATAGTTATGAACCACAAGTTCTATAAACATGAATAAAATTTTTCGTCACTAAAAAAATTTCAGGCTTCGCACTTTTTTTAAATCTACTATTTCTGCTTTTTTGAGAATTTACATTACCCTTTAAATTCGCTAATACTAGAAATCAAAAAACTATTCTCAAAAATTAAAATCAATTTCTTTAAAACTATACAATTATTTTCAAAAAATATTCGAAATTCAATTATTTTTAATATCTAGTATTTTCATAAAATTTCCCAAAAGAATTCAATTATTTAAAAACAAAAATTGATAAAATTCATGCAAAATTCAATTATTTTCATAAATAATAAAGTTTCCACTGGAATTCAATTAATTTAGAAGAGTATTTTCAAAAAAATTTCGAAAAAATGAAATTAATCAATTAACAAAATTTTTATACAATTCTTCCCAATAATTCAAATACCTTCACTAATAATAACATTTTTCATGGAAATTCAATTTTTTTAAACAAATTTTTTAAAATACAAATCAAGAATTCAATTATTTTCATAAATAATAAAACTCAGCGAAGAATTTTAATTATTTTTAATACTATTTTAAATTAATTAATCGAAAAATTCAATTATTTTCACAAATAAAGTTTTCCACAGAAGAATTCAATTATTTAAAATCAAAATTTTCATAACTATTATAGTTCGAAAAAATTAATTATTTAAAAGAATTTTTATAAAATTCTTATGAAGAATTCAATTATTTTCAAAAAATAACAAATTTTTTCACTGAAATTCAATTCTTTTTAAACATGTTTATAACATTTTTCGTCAATAATTCAATTATTTTCATAAATAATAAAATTCTTCTCAGGAATTCAATTAGTTTTGAAAATTTTAATAAAATTTTTCGCAATAATTCAATTATTTTCAAATATTTTAATAAAATTGTTCGAAAGAAATTACTTATTTTAATTTTTAAATACAAAATTAAATATTTTTTTAAATAATTCAATTATTCTTTTAGATTTTAGTTAAATTTTTCCCAGGAATTGAAGAAATTATAATTCTTCGAAAGAATTTAATTATTAAAGATAAAATAAATAAATAAATAAATTCTTATAAAGAATTCAATTATTTTTAAAAATAACAAAATTTTTGACAGAAATTAAATTCTTTTTAAACATTTTAATAGAATTTTTTGCAATAATTTAATTATTTTTGTAAATTATAAAATTCTTTCCAGGAATTAAATTATTTTCATGTAAATAATAAAATTTTTCCAGGAATTCAATTATTTTCATAAATAATAAAATTCATCGCAGGATTTCAATTATTTTTTATACAATTTAAGAAGAATTGCTCAAAAAATGTAATTATTCTTAAAAATTTAATATAGATTGCTCGAAAAAATCAGTTATTTAAAAAAATGGTTTTTTAAAATTCTTTTAGAAAAATTCGATTATTTAAAAAAATATTAAAATTTTTCACAGTATAATTCAATTATTTTCAAATAATTGAATAAAATTGTTCGAAAGAAATCAATTTT